AACAATTAACAGGTTAAACAGTACAAGAACGGTAACATTAATATTTGCGGTAAAGGTGTCAGCAGGCTAGACGGGTATGTGACAGTGATAAATTTCACCAATAGAGAGAAAATATTTAAATTGCCTGGTCCAAAGTGGCCAGAAGAACAAGTTAACAGAGAACAATTGACACTTAAACACAGAAAAATACTTTAAAATTGACAAAAAACGTTCCATACAAAAATTTAGGCCTAACGCAACGACTCATGTATTTTTGCTAATTTCTCCAAAAGTTGTGATCCGAATTTGTTCGGAATGGTCTTAAAAGCTGGGGGAAATGTTCCAGCAGCTTCTCCAGACCATCCCAAACCTTAACTCAAAGGCTGAAACCAGTAGGCCCTTTGGTTACCCAGTTCAAACCTGAATGGAGAATTGCCAAACTAAAAATTACTGTAACTATCTTAAAACTTGAGTAAAATGACTCAAACTTTCTGGGGAGCTTTAAGAGCAGTTAATTCAACTTAATTTAACTAGTTTGGCAAGGACAAAGCAAAATAAAAGACTTTAACCTTACTTGACTGGGTAACACAAACTGAACATATTACAAGACAAAACAACACTAAAAATTGTACGGCACACAGAAACAAAAGACTACCAGAGTAGTAGCCTAAGACAATTACATTTACTGAGCAAAAATTGTAAGCCTAGGCCTACCACAAAACAGTCAGAAGGACCCAAAACTGACTTGGCAGTTTCTCTCAAATAGCGGCCTTCCAACAAACATTTCTCAGTCAATTCTAGGCCTAGCATTTCGGGCAAAGCCCTGAATTATACAAAACCACAGAGAAAAGGGAAACTAACTATCAAAAGTCTTCCACGACCCCAAGACTAGGTTCCAGACCTAGTGCAACATGTGCACTAGCCTAAGTATCAGAAAATAGTCCAAACTTACCCATCAAGCGCGCTGGGCGCTCTTAATTTACTGCATAGTAGAGAATATCTTCACACAAGTAAGGAAAAGGCAAAAATACAACGCAAACATACTACAAAATTAAGATGAAAGACGATGCAAAATTTATGCCGATGCAGCGCTAACGAAAGTCTCGGAGCCTCTGAATCGTCGGCGGTGGGAGTAATAAGAACAAAACCCACAGCCTTGTTCGGGGTCGTGGAGTGAGAAACACTGAACTAGCCTACTATAAAAAAAACACTTGAACCATTGATCATGAGTCGTGACATTCGCCCGGTGGAAATAGTCACGGCTCAGTAGCAACACTGCACGGATCCGTATCCAGTGTCTTTGTAATGTGGGTTGAAGAGAAAAAATCCCCGAAACCGGGACAAAAGCATTGCCAGACAGGATTTTACGGGAAATTTTAGTACCAACCTACACCAAAGTAAAGCTCGCATTCTAAGCTGGCAGGCTGGCAACGATTATAACGTCTCCGTCTGAGGCTAAGCTCACACTGACTCAATATATTTCTGTTGGTCTGGTACCGACTTTTGTCGGCGCGCGCCACATTGAAGTGCTAGCGACGCCGACTAGAGTCGGCATTAGCAGTCAACGTGTTAATGTTAAACAAGGACTGAAAATGCTTTTTAATCATATTGATAACTTAGCCAAACTTACTTATCTTTATTGCTTTCGATTCTTTTCCAAGAAAATTTCTCTCCTTCTTATTTGGCCCCAAATAAGCAGACAACTTCATCGATATTGTTTACATGTGAAGTACTCTCATACATTAACACCAAACATTTGCAATGCTCCAAGCTTTACAAGAAAATTTACCTGGAACAAAAATAGGTAGTGTACATCATTCAGGCCTACTTCTTGTTAAAAGTAAAAACAGAATATAGAACTATAGCTCAAGGTAGGGCATATTTTCTTTGTACAAATATTTGGATTGGTAGATAAAAACTTAAAAACTCGAAGGCCACTGGTTCTCTCGGACCCAAGTGTCATTACCCAGGTGGAACTAATAAAGTGTGTTTTTATTAAAACATTAATAGCTTAGTATAAAATAAAGCTTTCAAGTTTGATATATAAAAATAAATATAGCCTATATATATATATATAGTTTAAAATATAAATCAAGCTTTTTGTTGGTCGCAAAACATAAACAAATAAAAAGTAGAAGAAGGTAGCTTCTAATGTTATTCTTATGGGACAAATTTAAACATGTATTTTGAGGGTTTTATAATTACTACTGAACGGAATCGTCTAAATTTTATGGTGTCATAATTAAGATTCGTGCAATTTTTTAACACTATAGGTGCAACGGTTAGCTTGAGTTTTTTATGCGAACACTTACACACACACACAGTTAAGCGGACAACTAATCCACGACTCCACTATACACAACACGATACATAGATGACATATTATTTTTTTTTAATTTCTTTAGAAAGGTCTAGAGAATAATTGATAAATTTTGTGTTTTAAGGGTAAAAAATGAGAAAACCCCATTTTTTGGCCTAGGCCCCTTCTCTGCATAGAACCATAGATAAAACATACTCCCTTAGTAGATTAGTCATCCTAATGGAACAGCTGAAGCCAATTTTATTGTTAGTTCTGTACGTCCAACTATAGAGGTTATGTTTTGTTTACAATTTGTTTCTTGTTATTGCAGTCATTTAAAACCTCGTTTAACCTAATAAAACGATATAATCATAAACAATAACTGGTCTCCTAGTTATATAACCAAATAGTAAAGCACAAATCATGAAAATAACCCTAAAATAATATGAACAAAATGTTGTCTACACTAGCGATCAGTGTGGACGTACATGAACTAGACACAAAAAACAAGCTTCAAAATTTACAATGGGATGAGGAGTCTACTTGTGTTGCTTAGTCTATGATAGAACTCATTAAAACCCGGTCCCATGGCCCGATCATGCTAGTTCGCGAACTCATTCAGATTTATCCCGCCTTACACCTTCAAACCGAATTTTCATTTGGTTTTAGGTTATGAAAGAAACATAATACAAGGATATTTGCCTTTGCCAATTACAATAAATTGTAAGTATGGTGGGCTAATATGAAAAAAGTTGACCCATAGGCCTAATTGCCTAATTTGTAATTTTATTCATGTACTCAGGTATGTGTCACAATTTCATTTTCTTAGGTAGCCTACATGTTTTTTTGCCATAAGTTAACTGCATGGTTTGCTGCCTTGTTTACTGTGTGAAATTAACCTAACTTAAGTTTTGTGACGTTGCCTATTGTAAGTTATTTTATAGACTACTAAATTTCCATTCATACTTGGCTTAAAATACCTAATATGTATCGTCGCCATTTCATTGAATAGTATTAACAGTATTGATGGTAGAATAAGTTAAAGGGTACAGTTTCTTAACTGGGCTACGCTAATTTTATTGAAACTATCGATTCGATTAGTAAACCTACATGCGATTTTTTCACCATCAGCAAGTTTGGTTGGTTAAGTTAGGTTATGATAATTTAATTTTATCATAAACTTAGATAGGTATATTTGAAAATATCTATTATTAATCAATATTTTTAATTCAATACTGTAGTTTAATAAAATATATTAACTTAAGTTAGCGTAGCCCAGTTAAGAAATTGTAGGCCTACCCAAGTTAAATCTCTTGGCTCAGTATTATCACGCTTACCATTTCTAAGGTTACACAAATGATACAAACTTGATAGCCTACTTATATCGAATATAGGCCTACTCGAATACTTAATACTCATTCAAATGAGTGTAGGACGTAAACTTAAGGGCTGCACTTTACTTTACGTCCTACACTCATTCGAATGAAAATATCAATCGATATATCGATTATTAGATAAGTTATATCATTTGGTTAGTTAGGTAAGGTTAACCTAACCTAACTAACCAAACGATATATCGAATGAAACAATCTAATAATCGATATTTTCATTCGAATGAGTGTAGGACGTAAAATAAAGTGCAGCCGTTGAATACATTCACTGATATTTTTATTAAGTTAATTGTTTAGGCCTGTCACAGGAAATCTGTAACTTTAGTCACAGCTACCTTAAGCTTAAGTAGGCTAGGCAACTGTACCTACTAACTTAACCTAATAACACTCAAGCAAATAATAGCCTACTGCATTTTGTTACTTTGAATAACAAGGCCTAGGAACAGGATTGGATTAAAACACAACTTACTGGATTTCAACACCTCAATCTCAATAGTTTTGGAATTTTTTGATGTTTACAATTTATTAATAATTATTGTTCCTCTTCTTTATCTTCTGTCAACACCAGCCGGACTATTGACAAGATTCATTAATTTTCAATGCCGTTATCCTTCACTTCATTTTCATATCTTTTAACTTCTCACTATAAATATTTCTTGCATTTTCATTGTCATATAGCATGTAATTGTTGCCATTTCTCGTATAAAAATCGTTTAAAACATTTAAATAAATAAATGTTTAGGTTATAAATTACGATATCGCAGTTGTCAGTACAGTCAATTACAATAATTATCGTATCCTACCATAAAATATCGTATATATGGTAGACCTGACTGAAGCGAGCAGCTGATGCAATTCCCACAATGCAACATTCTCTTCAATTATAAGCTATGCCCCAAAATCAGGATTATAAGGTATGACTCAAAATCAGGATTATAAGCTATAGAACAGAATCGGAATTATAAGCTGCGCCACTATTTGACCATTATAAGTTGTGAAACTGAAAATTTGTCATACCTTATAACGTTTTAGAGAAATTGTGGCATAGCTTATAATTTTTCGTGAAAGTGTGGCATAGCTTATAACTGATTATAAGCTATGCCACATTTTCAACATTATAAGCAATGGAACAAATTCACGATTATAAGCTATGACATTATAAGCTATGACACCCCACGAAATAGTTTACCTTTTGTGCTCTCCAGACTGGCGTCATGGTCATTCTCTCCTCTCCCTCCAATCCAAGCTCCATCCAATCTCCCTCATCTCGATCTCATGCCAAATCAAATCAATCAGTCAAATCAAATCTGAATTAATCCTTTCTTTGCTTTCTGCTACAAAAAAAACTGTTGTTGTTCTTCGAGTTTCGTTCTGTTACTGTTCGTTGGTTAAAACTAAATTTATTGTTCTTTAATTCCAGAAAAGTCCTCACATCATTGTGCTGTTACTATAATTAGGCTACAAGTAAGAATATCCGCCTTCAGTTAAAAATTGTAGCCTGATAGATTTTTTATTTGATTGAAATAAGCGAAATTGAGGATCTAGGCCATAAACCTAATCAGACAACAGAGGGATCCGATTAGGCTAACTCAAATTCAGGTAAGCCTAGAAAAAGAAAAATCAGGTTAAGAGTTAAAAGTAATAAATAAATAAATGTTGACACCCCTATTAATATATAGATTTACAAAAAAATATAAGGTTTGTGCGCTCCTAATCCTATTAGGCCTAGACGTAGCCTATCTGCTATTGAAGGACTAATTTCTGAATCTGACACCTGGTTGGTGATACCATTTTAGAATTATTGTGTGTGTGTGTGTGAGAGAGACAGACTTAAGGGGTACACTTGGCATATCTGTTGGCACAAACAACCGAATGAAAATATCGATCGATACCCTATATCGATTACCTATTCGATATAGGCCTATTGTTTGGTTAGTTAGGTAAGCTTAACCTAACCTAATATTAGGTATCGAATTAAACTATCAAATAATCAATATTACTCATTTTTTTGTTTGTGTCAACAGATTCGTAAGTGTAACTTAGGCTGCACTTTACTTGACGTCCTACACTCATTCGATTGTTTTTTTTTCGATACGATATTTTCATTCGATTGTTTCATTCGATATATCGTTTGGTTAGTTAGGTTAACCTTACCTAACTAACCAAACGATATATCGAATGAAGCAATCGATTAATCGATATATCGATCGATAATATTATTCGAATGAGTGTAGGACGTCAAGTAAAGTGCAGCCGTAACTTACCCTGGACTAAGGTTAGACCAAGTTGAGATCCTGAAACTTATGTAAAAATACAATATAATAAACCCCTGTTCCCATGGTCCGATCATGGCTGGTTTTCGAGTCCCGGGGCTAGGTCTTCCCGTGTCACCTATGGTAATAAGTTAGGTAGGCCTACTTGCCTAAAGGGTAATTCGCTAAAAGATAAAATCATTCTATTTTTTATGTGAAATCAACATAACCGTAACATAAACAATCATAATAAATCAATGATCAGCTGGTAACACTAACATTCTAGGAGCCCAAGAGTAAATAGTCACGGGTCTGTATCACTCCGCTCCTCGTTTCTTGGTGTGCGATGTGCTCCGCGACTGTGGTTCCGTATATTTTTGCAATTTGCAGTGGTTTCTGTGGATTAAAAAAAATTTTAAAAAGGTATTTTATTGTTTATTAGGAACGTAGGAATGGTTTAAAAAGGCTTTAAAGAAAATTTCTGATTTACAACCTACCAGAAAAAGAATCTCAAATGCTTATTTGTCATAGTGCAGCAAAAACAGCAGTTTTTAATACGTGTGTCTAATAAGCGGGTCTATAGCTCTCTTCTCCTTGAGGCGGCTCCTGACATGCGCCATTCGCCAAGCACTGAGCACTGAGTGTGGATACTGTAGGTGATTGTCTATTTGTCAAGCAACGAATATTTGCTGTTCCTGAAAGGAACAAAAAACTAACGGTTGCTCGGAAAACAACACATATATGTGTAGCTAGACGTCAGTAGTTCTTTTGACGTCTACTCTTTAATCGACAAATAGCAAGACAACTAGATCGCCAAAATGTCAAATATTCGTGCTTAGCAACTGGCACATGTCTGGAGCCGCCTATAATTGTGGAGTAAGAAGCCTTTTCGTCCTTTGGGAGCAAAAGTCAGGTTGTAAACTTTGATTGTAAGCAACCACATTTATTGATATGTAGGTATCGATTGATTTAATCAGCTGTAAGTTAGCTTTTTGCTGCATTATTGTCAATATTTCGACATATCGATATTGGTAGTAAAATTTCACTAATATAGGTACCTAACACATGTTGTAATAGACAAAATGATTAAATTGCTTACTGAAAAGCCTAATTACATAAACAAAATTTTAAACAAATGGAAGTTGTTAAAGAATGACTTAGTTTGGTCGCAATATGCCTATGATGAAAGATACAGTTTATTACATAGGCAAAAAGTATATTTTCAACCCTTGCTCATTTTCCGAGAAACTTGAGCTCGGGTGGAAAAGAGTCACTTTAAGCCCTAGTGATGAAGTAACTTTTACAGAACTATTAACTTATGGCTAAACAGTCAAAACCCTTAAAATAATAATGGTTCAAGGTTTAACTTGAACCGAAAATTCTTATTTTTATTTTGGACCTAAGTTACTATTCATACTTTTTACTTCTTTCAGCTTAATATATTTAAATATTGTAAGTATTAAAAATGTCCACTGTCCATCTCATCAATGAATAATTATTCCCCCTAATATTTCCTTGGTTGTTTGCCTCTTTTAAATTAATATTTTTTTCATATTTCAGCCCCAATGTTGGAAGTTACCTGCAATGACAGATTGGGAAAGAAGGTGAGAGTAAAATGCAATCCCGATGACACTATTGAAGACTTGAAAAAATTAATTGCAGCACAAACTGGTACACGATGGGATAAAATTGTACTTAAAAAGTGGTACACAATATTCAAGGATCATATCAAACTACAAGATTGTATCCTTTTATCTAAACCCGATTCAAACAAATATATTTTTATTATAATTCGCTTCTCAATACAAACTGTTTTACAGAATTACTTTGACAATACAAATCAAACTGTAACATAAGAAATGCAAATCTGAACATCCTACAGTATACAGAAATATAATAAGGTACTTTCCTGTTAAAGGGAACATTCATTATTATCGATGATTTTTTTTATATATCGATATTTTGTTTTCCGATCCATTACAAATTGACAACTAATCTTGTTTAGGTGGATTAAGAAATGAAACTGTTCTAAGCTAACCTAAAATAACCAACCAAACTTGTTGTACTATTTAAAAATTCCTTTTGATAACAGAAAAGGCAAGTAAAACACGGAATTTTTAAATGTCACACAGCAAGTTTGGTTAGTTATGTTAGGTTATTTTTTTTAGAGCAGTTTCATTTTATTATTGTTTGTTGTTAGGTACTGAACAATATTTATCGTAGTTGTCAGCTGATATGTTTCAATTGGTTAATATCGATATATCGAGAGAAAAAAATCATCGAAAATAATGAATGTTCCCTTTAACAGGAAAGTACCTATAATAACAAAAAAACTTAATAGAGGCTAAAAAAACACATAAATGTGTCAGTTCCGCAGAGAACCTAGGATATATCATGAAATAATAGTTTGATATGAATATCCATTGAATTATTTCATTTAATATAGGCATAAGTTAGGCACTTTGAATGACAGTATTGACTTTCTGCTATGGGTCTTTTCAAAATATAGGGACAGAAAAATCTCCTCCATCAATGAATTTAGTGATATGTTAAGTAGTTCGTATCCCATAACTAGTTTCATGATGGGTTAGCCTCTGGATCAAGGTAATGCAAATATAAAAAGTTTAATTTACCTGTTGCGTCAATTGATCCTTAAGTTATGAAATAACTACGGCCGTTTCGTAATGCTAAACGAGTACATCTTCAGGTTGTCTATGAACGTTAAAATACGGCCTTCTCATTCGTGGGTGGAGTCGTCAGCACATTTAGGACACATAACACGAACACATACGAAACATTAAAATATTTACAATTAAAAACTTGGCCAAGTAGTCCGAACACGAGAGTTGTGTAACCGGTAGCGTTAGATGATGAGTCATGACTGACCCGTGTCGGGAGTTGGGACCCCCTCCCCTTCTCTTCCTTTATCTTTGCTCTGGTTTCTTTTGTTTTGGTTGATTATTTGGATGGCAGTGTTGTAAATTATATTTGATTTGAAGGACTGCTGTTCATTTAATATATGGTCGGGTTGTTTTGATGCACTGTAGATCTCGAATTCTTCTATAGTATCCATTTGTTTGCCTTTATTGTTCGTGTTATGTGTCCTAAATGTGCTGACGACTCCACCCACGGATGAGAAGGCCGTATTTTAACGTTCATAGACAATCTGAAGATGTACTCGTCTAGCAGTACGAAACGGCCGTAGTTATTTCATAACTTAAGGATCAATTGACGCAACAGGTAAATTAAACCTTTTATATTTCCATAACTAGTGTTTCGTACCTATATTTTTTTAAACATGTGTACCAAACTAATGGTCTTTGTTTGTTATGCTGTAATGTACAAGTATATTCATTTTATGTATCTGACATTCCCCCCTTAATGTATTTTGTCATAAATAGAATATGTTCTTTGTGCTTCAAAGGGATGTCACACACTACTGGTTATTGTTGAATTACCTTAACTCAGATTGACAGATGAAATACATGACGGAATGAACCTCGAACTTTACTATCAATAAGTGTCTGTCAACTAAGAACTGAAGCAAACTTTTGTATCTACTGTAATTTTAATTTATGTAAGTAATTAAAGTGGTAATTTTTTTAATTTCATCCTGAATTCGTTCAATGCTCCTTACCTCCTTTACTGTGCAGCCAAGAATTTTAAAATTCTTTGGGAATATTAAAATGTGCTCAGTCTCTTAAAACAGGGTAGCTGAGTGGTTATAATAGTGCTCGCCTTACAATCAAAAGGTTGCCGGATCGATCCTGAGAAAAGTCAGTAGCTTTATGATGGTTTGAAACCGGATTCAGCTGTCCCTGATCATCAGCGTGGCTAAAACATACTCCCTTAGTAGATTTATCATCCTTATGGAGCAGCTGAAGCCAATTTTATTGTTAGTTCTGTACGGTGCCCTGTAGAGGTTGTGTTTTGTTTACAATATGTTTCTTGTTATTTCAGTCATTTAAAACTTTATTTAAACCAAATAATATAACCTAAACCATAAACAATAACTTGTCTTCTCGTTATAACCAAAAAGTTAAGCACAAATCAAGAAATTAACCCTGAAATAAAAGGGACAAAATTTTGTCGACAATAGCGCCATAGATAAAACATACTCCCTTAGTAGATTTCTCATCCTAATGGAACAGCTGAAGACAATTTTATTGTTAGTTCTGTACGGTTTATGTAGAGGTCGTGTTTTGTTTACAATTTGTTTCCCGTTAATACAGTCATTTAAAACCTCGTTTAACCAAATAATACGATCTAATCATAAACAATAAATTGTCCCCTAGTTATTTAACCAAACAGTAAAGCACAAATCAAGAAATTAACCCTAAAATAATAGAAACAAAATTTTGTCGACACTATCGCCCAGTGTGGCATACATGAACTAGACATGAAAAACGAGCTTCAAAATTTACAATGGGATGAGAAGTCTACTTGTGTTGGTTAGTTTATGATAGCGCCCAGTGTCACCATACATGAACAAGACACAAAAAAACAAGCTTCAAAATTTACAATGGAATGAGAAGTCTACTTGTGTTGGTTAGTCTTTATCATTGGGCTTTGAATGAATGATCCTGGCTAATGAAGCCGCTGATCTTAGAAACAAAGATCATATCACTCCATTCAACACTTATCCTTCACTCATATTTGGTTGACCTACGTAATTAGGTGGAGTTCCAATCTCAATTGAGAATGATAATAAAACAAATAGGGAAGATAAAATTAATCATTTTGATTTTGAATCTTTAGGGATTTGTGCAAGTGATGTTTGTAATAAAATAGGTTTGAAATCAAAAACTACCATAGTTGAAATCGATAACTTTTTAAAGCAAGTTATTAATAGTTTTCTATTTCCATGTGCATTTATTACTTTGTTGTCATTAGAGTTATTCAGGTCTTGTGAATTTTTTACAATGATACAATCTTTTTGGTGAATTCTCCACATAGAGAATAAACTAATACCGTAGATATCATGGTAAGACCTAGACTTAGGACTGATTTTTAGAAGTTTGTTTTCATGTCTGCCGAGGGCAAAAACCCTATCTGTTCAAATTCATATACAGTAGGCTACATGTGTATGTTCATTAGCACAATAAATAACTAAGGTAAAAATTATTAAATTTGGCTCAAACTTATACCATAGACTAACCAACACAACTAGACTTCTCATCCCATTGTAAATTTTGAAGCTCAGTTTTTGTGTCTATATTATGCCTGGTAACACTAACTGGCGATCGCTAGTGTGTACAAACTTGGTTTATATTATTATAGGGTTATTTTCATGATTTGTGCTTTACTAAATGATTATATATCTAGGAGACCAGTTATTGTTTATGAATAGATCCTTTTATTTGGTTAAACGTGACAAATTGGAAACAAAACCCGACCTCTAAAGTGACCGGACAGAATTAACAATAAAATTAGCCCCAGCTTTTCCATAAGGATGAGAAATCTACTAAGGCTGCGGCCACACAGGCCAAAACTCTTAGTAGCATTGAAATGAATAGGCGCGTGCAACTGTGGGTTAACACACTACACGTGGCATTTCCCATTACATTATAAACAGCATTAAAATGCTGTTTATATTTGTTGTGTTTTCACAATGCACTTGTGCGTGAATACAACGTGTAGCTGTAGCCTTAGGGAGTATGTTTTATATAAGCCTATACCCATCTACCACTCTGGGAACGGGACTTTAAGGAAAATAGCGTTTTTTTTTATACTCAATGCATAGCAAAAATAAAAATATATCGATCTTGTAAACTTGTGCGATCTGCTGCTAGCGGGGCTGGACCCGATTGCCTAACTAGTAATCTAGATCCTGAAATTGTGGTATAGTATAACCCCACACTCTCCTATCATTATTCAGAATTTTGATGGCCAGATAATACCAGGTGCAAAGATAATCAGGCTGACTCAAGCGCTCCACTGCAGCAATCCTACAGACTAGGTGAATTTAAAACTTCCGTGGTCCACTTTTTCGTACAATGCTTAGTTAAGAAAATTATTTGCTTTGTTAAGCTTAGAAAATAGTTTATAAAGATTGCAATTCTATGTTTTGAGTGTTTTAGCTATCTTTTATTCGATCTTTATTAACTTGGTTTGATAGGCAGTTTAAATGCTAGATGAAGTGCTTTTTTTTAACATTTTTTTCATTAAATCAGAAACAGCCATTTTAAGTAATATGAATTATTTAAAAAAGAAACGGCATCCATTCTGAAATTTTGAATTGTACTGTACTTAGTTAATTTGTTTTTAACATAGTTATTTTCTACCTTAACATACACACCAAGTTTCAAAAAGATTGGTTGAAACAATCTTAAGATAGAAATGTCAATGTAGAAAATGGCGGATATCTGTTTTAAAAAGCAATTTTGGAAAAAGTTTCATTATTGTTTTTCTATTTCGACCTATAGAATACCATGTCTTGGAGTTTGACTTTTTACTTTACAGGACACCCGGTATATTGCTTACGTGTTTATAAAACTGTTACTTATTATTGGTTAGTGATGAATCTCTCTTTCTTATGAGTGTAGTAGCTCCCGCTCTCCCAAACTTGGTAAAAAACCGTTTCTAATTTATAAATTCAGACTGAATAGGAATGTGTGTATCCATGTTTAATTTTAATTAAAATATTAAGGCCGCTACTGACCAGCTTTCTGCCTTACAAATATATTTTTCCTACAGTCACCCGACAAAGTTGGCTTCCTTGTACTGTTTATAGTACAGAAAGCTGCTAATTGCTGCATATTTATATTTTTCCGTACGGTTTATACTTTGCCGCACATCAGGATTCCAACGAAACAACATAAAACAGCGTGGTTCTATTATGCACGTAATCCGTGTACGCTTGGAAATAGGTTGGCAACACTTAAAGATAATAATACTATGAGCAGCTGATTGACTATTATAACTACGATTTAACCTTTCATTTCGTGTTTATAGTTTCGGTATTTCTGAACTTTCTGGACTTTTCTTTTAAACGTTTTTAAAACATTCCTATGATCTTAATAAACAAGAAAATACCGTTAAAACATTTTTTTAAGGCGCGGAATTCACTGCAAATTGCGAAAATATACGGAACTACTTTCTCAAAACGCGGAGCACATTTCTTGCCGAGGAAAAATAGCGGAGTGATACGGACCGCGGGTACTACTTTCTCTAGGGCACCAGTGTTGCCAGCTGAACCTAAAAACGTGTTGTATAGTGTTTGAAAGACTAATTATTTATATGCTTTATAGTGACTGTAGGAAAAATATAATGTGTAACACGAGTGAAAAAGGCCTTTGCTGCACTCGAGATCATTCCGCACTCGCCTGCGGCTCGTACGTAAACATTGCTCTCGTGTGCAGCAAAGTGCCACTTTCACCACTAGTCACACAAATAACTATTAATTATCTATTACAAGTCATGAGGCAAATTATTATTGAACAAACATAGCTGTATCCTTCATTAATACAAAATATTTCAAAACACCAACTGGCGTCATGTTGATTGTGAACAATAACAGCATAATAGGGATATTATAGTCTGGGCTCTTGTCATTACAAAAAGGAACACTTTTTGCTGACAATTCCTTACAATGAAAAATATTTTAGCCCATAAAGTTTCGGGTTATAAAACAAAAAATTATACTTAGGGCTTGCTCAGATAATAGGCCTATAAGTAACCAAGATCTAAATCTAAAAGGACAAGAAATAAATCACAACATTTATCAAAAAATTGTATTCTTATGTTACCAACACACTCACACACATCAACGCTCTCATACAAACTGAAAGCTAAATTCGACAGACATTATCACAACAGAATAAATATAAAAGACATATACAGCAGTCGTGGTAACATCTGTCGGTAACAGTCTTCATTCATAATAAATAACAAAATTGAATAATATATTCAATTAAACAGTTTTTAACCTGTTCTGTACAAAATGATAAAAAGCATAAGTGATACTGAAGACTATGTTGTATGACAACTATTTCAGTTTGGGGATGAAATACTGAAATTATATTTCATGTTTCATGGTTTAGTTGCACGGAACACTGTTCATGAGGATGACTTAAAGCTACGCGTGTGCAGTCTTTACAGCTCGTCTTTGACGTCGTCGTCTTCACCGCCTGCCGGGGGTGGAGGACCACCTGCTCCTTGGTACAGTTTTGCGATGATTGGTTGTACGACATCTTCCAATTCCTTCTTCTGTTTCTTGTACTCTTCTGCATCCACGTCCTGGTTGTCTTCTAGCCATTTGATCTTCTCTTCGATGACTTCCTCCATCTTAGACTTGTCGCTATCACTCACCTGTAATAGGGGGTTGAATTGTTAAACAATATTCATTTATATTATACCACAACAGAAAGTGTAATATAAAACAACGTAATAGTTAGTTACATTCTTAACAAATATGAGAGTTGAGTACATCAATTCAATATTGATATTACAATAGCACAGCGATTAAGACAATAATCATAGCCTAAGTATACGGGCAGGGAAAAGAGAATAGTTTGGTTTAAGACTAAAAATAGTGTTTACTTGTTATACATTTTGAAGCTAATCATGCATTTATTTTGTGTAACAAAAAAGTAACTTATGGAAATTAATCAGGGCTGTGCGAATCCAGAAATTTTGGTTCGAATCCGAATCCGAATCATAGTTGTACAGAATTTACCGAATCCGGATCGAATCCGAATACTTAAATTAGTTCCGGGTCGAATCCGAATCTAAAATTTATTGCCATTACCGAATCCGGATCGAATCCGAATCTCAAATTTACAGCTGTTATCGAACCCGGATCGAATCCGAATCTTAAATTTAGAGCCGTTATCGAACCCGGATCGAATCCGAATCTCATATTTACAGCTGTTATCGATTCTGAATATTTTAACCAGTTCCGAAAGGCAATGTCTTTCGGAACTCGACAATCTTTAAGACATAATATGTCATCATTTATATTATTCAGAATTTGGTCAAGAGAGGATTCTTGAAATGTTAAGTGCTGTAAAACAATAACTGTTTGGTTTAAGCTTAATAGGCCTATATTTGAATTTTCAACTAAGGATTCCCAAAGATAGCTTATATATCTTAACTGACCTACTTTTCCAGACTGTACTGTCCACTCTTGTATTAGTTAACCCACAGTCAGCATGTCCTACTTGTTTATTCTCTTTTTAAATATGTATATAGTGGATTATATTTTGACTGTTGGAGTAAACTAATAACGTTTAACATGTAATTATTTGCTCAAGATCTCTCTTCCTTCTAAATGCTAGAGAGTGTAATGTAATTGTGAAAATAAAATACTAAATACTTAATATTAAGTGTTGTAACTGGAAGACCTCCTGACGATTTTGTAAATAAGACATTCTACAGCTACGGAATATCCTATCTACCACTCTTGGAGAAGATTCACCCCTTCAAAGACTGCTGTCCGCCCCTGGTGATCTCACTCCACGCTCCAGTCTACAGCCACTCACCAGACATCTCCACCAAACCCACGGAATCAACCATAAGAAACTTTGTATATACTCACTCATCTAATAAATTGGTATTATTCTGACATGTTCCTATATTTTAAGATATATTTTGTAAATTTAAGTATTAATTTCTTTTTCACTCCATAATAAAATTTTCTCATTCTCCCCTATGAACCCGCCCCCAACAATAACAATATCACAGAATGAGAATGACCAAGATGTTACTATGTTAATAAATATTACTTCTTAATTGTAGTTTACTATTTTTTATTATTAGGGGTCTGATTTTTAAATAATAAAATAAAAATATAAAATGGTTTTATAATTTATTAATATTATAACATAATAAATTAGAAATATGACATATAAATGTAAAACAAAGAATAAGAATTTTAGAATTATAAGAATTGTATGTATGTTTTGTTTTGTTTGCCCAAATCTTCCCTGGCAATTGGCAATAACTAAGATCAATTGGAATAAAAACAACTGAATGATTTATCCTGTACTAAAATGAACTCTTTTATTCATGAATTCTTAAAACAAACAAATATGAATAAGAATAAACATAACTAAAAGTAAATTCTCCTTACTTTTAATTTTACAAGACAAAACCTACTGTAGGATAATAGACAGAAATATGAGGCTAGGCAAAAGGCCAAAACCAAAGCAAGAAAATAAAAAGTTTAAACTTAACTAACCACAGAACATTTTCACGAAGGTTTGACAAATTACATTTATGTGTTAAGTACAGTTAAATATGTTAACCAATTTAATATTAATTACTTTAAGGAGCTGAGATTATATTTCATACTTGCAATACAGAGTGATAATTCATTCACAAAATAAAAACGAAATTGGCCATTTAACAGAGAATCAATTTATGTTGTTAACACTATACTGAACAAATACTCTCCATCATATGAAAAAGTAGCCTATATCATATTTATTTACATATCAATTATTTATATATCCAAACAAAACAAACAACAAAAATAAATGCAAACAAACAAATGAAATATTATTGTACAATACAGTACATATAAACAATGTGCAATATTGTTTAAATAAATATAAATTTTTCAAATAATAATACCTCAATAAACTGTGTTCTTTGGCAACGCAAGTGGTATTCAGTACATCATATTATTTTGAAATAATAATAAATAAAAACTAAATTATTGGGGTCTATATCTCAAGAGCATTTTTTGAGAGTGTAAAGTTTAGCACATTTCAAAATGTGCCAAGTGAATGAGATAATTTTACATTACTTTAAAAAAACTGTTCTTAATCCGTGTGAATGGAATATTTTAGTCTTTGTCTTTATAAACATTAAACAAAAACAGAAGCTGCTCAGCATGTTCAGGTGTAAGAGATTCTCTTCTCTGCGTAATGATGTTGCCCGCTGCACTAAAGAGTCGTTCGCTACTGGCCTGGGTTGCAGGTATGGGAAGGTAATTTTGCGCCAATTTAGATAGGATGGGATATTTGGAGGAAGCTTGCTTCCACCAAACAAAAGGATTTACTGTTTTCTCAACAAGGCCGTCTTGAAAGTAAGCATTTACTTCCTGAATTCCTGGGCTGAGAGATGGTTGCATTTGTTTGGATGCTGCTTTGTTGAAAGCACTCCAAATGTCATTTTCTTTGGAGCATGAAGGCTGGGTTTCTCTGGAGACATCAGGCTGCTGCACACTTGAATGGTTCATCGATTGGTAAATGGTTTCAGCAAGCTGTTCAAGTTTTTTTACAATCAAATTCTTTTCAAGTAAAACACATTTAAACCGAGGATCTAGAGCTGTACAGATTTGATTAATACTGTTATCCTTGTATAGTGGAAATCTTGTTTTCAGGGAATTGAGAAGATTTTTTGCAAATGATACACTTTTTCTTGTACTATTTGATTTGTTGCTTGGGCCCGAAGCAATTATATTTGTTAACTTTGTTTCAATTTCATGTAATACTGGGATAATCATAGAAGACGTAGGATATTTATCGGCAGACATAATTCTTGTGATCACTTCAATTGGTTTCAGCGACTCAATGTAAGCTTCTGCTAAACCCCATTCATCTTGACTTAAAATTGATATTGAGTGATGTGACGTTGCCAGTTCCGTGTTTATCGCAATTTTGAGCTCAACAAGCCTTTCAAGCATTAAGAATTCGGAATTCCATCTGGTGTCTACCATTTGAATGACGTGTTTTGGGTTCATTGACAGTTGTTGCTGAATTTTTTTAAATCTTGATGTAGCAGCATTGCTCTTATGGTAATGCCCTACAATTGACCGTGACTTTTGCAACATTTCTTGAGCTGCTGTGTCACTGTTGACTGCAGATTCCACAACGAGCTGGAGTTTATGTGCGAAACATTCTCTGTGAACCCACGTGGTTTGTTTAACCGCATTGACAATATTTTTTCCGCCATCGGTTACCATGTAAATTGGTATTACCTTTTCTCTTCTTTCAGACAATCCCCAATTATACATTTCTGTTTTTAAGAAATTAGAGATGTTTTCACCAGTAGCCTTTTCCTCAAACAGTTTATTTCCTAGGCAGAAACTTTTACTATTAAAATCTTTATCTATGTAGTGGCATGTGAGAGAGAAATAAGAGTCACCACTCCTAGATTTCCATCCGTCCGTAGTAAATGCAAGACTTTCTAGGTAGGGTAAGTCTTCATTTATAATTGATTTTACTTTTGTCATCTCTTCGTTGTACAATTTAGGTATTATTGATCTTGAAAATGTTGTTCTGCTATGGTGATTGTATTTTGGAAAACCAGCATTTATAAGACGTTTAAAACCTGGCTCCTCAACAATCGAGTAGGGATGCAGGCCTTGCACAATAAAAGTAGAGACTAGCCCATCAACTTTCTTTTGCTCTTTACAGTCCAAAGGCCACTTAGGAATGCCAATGCCAAGACCGATAGTTAGTTTTTGTTGAATTTTTTTGTCTGTTGGTATTTGTAGACTTTTCTTTGATTGCTCTTCATATTTTTGTTTTTCGATTGTATAGCTCTCATAACTTTGTTTGTGACTTTTCAAATGTTTGATTAATGAAGATGTCGTTCCACTTGTCCCTTGTTTTAACATTTTTTGACAAATTTTACATTTTCCTTCAAATTTGTTAGGTTTTTCAAAGTAATTCCATAGAGGATTTGCATTTCTTATCAATTGGATTGGTGGGGATGGGGATTGAATTTGTGAGGTCGATGGGAGGATTTCATTTTCATTACTACGAGAACATTTATTGATGGAAGTGGAATTAGATTGCTTGGTTTGTGTTATAAAAATCGGAGCAACTTTTTGCTTCTTTTTTTGAAGATTTAGATTTTGTCTATCATCAGCATCTTTTCTCTTGCATTTGTTCTTATTAGAATCTTCATGGTTTTCTATATGGTCACAGTAGTCTGGATCTTCATGAATGTTGTCATAACTGTCTAGGTCTTCAGTAATGTTGTCATAGTCGTCTAGGCCTTCAGGAATGTTGATGCTGTAATAATCATCTAGGTTTTCAGCAATGTTGCCATCATCTTCAGGAATGCTGCCACCATCCATTTTCTGTAGAAAAAGAACCTATGTCAGGCAAGCCGATAAATGATTTTTTCAAGAAAACGTTGGAAAACCAGGGAAAAGTGGGAAAAATTTTTTTGGCGAAATCTGTCATGTGGGTACTAGATTTAATCGGTAGAGCGAGATGAACAAGAATATGCACAAAGTTACGACCTCATAAGCGTCAATACATCAGATCTTGAATACGCTTTCAAATTCTTGTTCAGCTCGCTCTACCGATTAATTTGAGTACACACACAACCAATTTCGGCTTAAAAATATTTTTCCCTGTTTTCACGCTTTTCCGAGCCTTTCCGACGTTTTGCGCTGAAAAAAACATCATTTTCAGAATCAAAGTGTTATTTCCTACATTTTGAAAAAAAAAATTATTTTCTGAGGGTGTACCTAGCCTACTGATAAGGTAAGAATGACCTAAATTACATTTTTCATAGCATATAACCTAACCATTACGAAAAAAACCGGCACTCTATCAATTTATTGACATAAATTTAAGGGTGAAGGATACATTGATACATTGCCTAATTAAACGTTAAATTCTTTAATTTTGCCTGGTAAACTAACTATTAAGAGTACCTAAGTTAATGAAAACGTAAGCTGCCCATTACATAATACCAAGTTAGGCTACTTAACTTATGTAAGTTAGGCTAATAAAAAATTTAAAAAAAAATATTTTTTAAGTCAGGAATTTTAATTAATTTTCACATTTTTAGCCCACATTTTCTGGCTTGAAATAGGGAATGGCCACAAAAGTGCAAAAAGAAACAATCCTTGAAATGGGATAAAACATAGGATCCTATAAAATTTAATTTAGGCCTAGGCCTAGTTATTTCAAGTTTTGAAACCAGGCCTAAACAATTAGGCATAAGATAGGCCTACCACCTAGGCCTAAGTTACTCGCTAAAAGTGATGACCTAAGGTAAGTTAAATTGCCAAATATCGTGACTCGTCCAAATACCGTGATTCTCGTATTATCTCGCCAATAATAAAAATATTGCTTTTAAAAATAATACAGTTGAACCTCGTTTGTACGAACCTCAATAAAATGAATTTCTCGATAAGACAAATTTTTTTTTAATCCCCTTGACACTTTCATATAGGCCAATGCTAAAAACACCTCTAGGCCTATACAACGTAGTAATTAAGTTAAAAACCTCCATAAGACGAATTTGTTTGTGACATGGGCTAGGAATGATTACCCTCTATACAACGAATATTCTTAGCACAAAACCTCTACAAGACGAACGTGACCTCTATAAGACAAATTTATCATAATCTTAACCTCCATAGTATGTACGGTACGTAGTTTTCAAAACAAATAGATGCTTGTCTCAACATGAAACTCCCTCACCCATCCCTCCTCTTTCCTCAGTCATTGTTTGGAAAAACATATGAGCGAGGAGAAACCTCTATAAGAAGAACAACAGCAGCATTAAACTTTGATAAAACGACCCTCTTTATTAAGAATACTTCAATAGTGCACAATTTTCCCGTACCCCTTGAAATTTGTTTTGTACTTAGAGGTTCAACTGTATAATAAAAAGGGCAGTTTACCTTATACACCCAGTGTTATTCCTCTACATAAGCCTAAGTTTGTATGACTTACAAATTAGCAACTCACACTGTGAGGTAAGGTTTATGTAGCCTACTGATAGCCAAGATAGGGTTCAAATGCGACATATGAGCCTAAGTCCGTAAGTTATGACTATTACAAGTTAACATCTCACCTCACACTGTGAGGTTAAGTTTATGTACTGATAGCCAAGATAGGGTTCAAATGCGACCTAGGCCTAAAGAATAACACTACTTATGGTCAGGTTCATATTATGAACCAGGCAACAAAAAATCAGAGTAGGCCTACACAAGTCGTTTTAAGTATCAGCCGTCCAATTTTGACCCATTGCAGATTAGGCATAATACCTACCTTACATCTAGGCCTATAAATTTGAAATCAAATAAGTTAACTTACCCTAAGCTAAACCCAATCTAACTTAAGTTTTCATTGAGATCCTCAAAAAACAACATTGGCCTAGGCCTATTACAAAATGAAAAAGATTGAAGGTGATAAGACTAATCTGGATGATCAACTTACTGGAAGCTTTACAAACTACTAATAGCCTAATCAATAATTTTGTTTAAAAAAATAAACAGAAATAAATAGGCCTAACTTAAGTTAAAAGTGAATCCAATTCTAAAGTATTATCACTTTAAACTTTTTTTGACGAAATCTATCCAGTCATTACTGGTCAGCGGTGGATGTATAAAGGTATCAAACTACCTATATGATATAGGCTAAGTTAGGCTATAAACCAACTAATTAATTACTTATTTATTACTAATTAATTATTAGTTATCTATACAAAAAAATCCTTTATCAACCTTTTACGTAAGTTACTTAAGATAAGTTTAGGTTATGTTTACACTTTACTTTAACTTATACTTGAATGTGGCTATCTTTACCAGTGTACATCATATTGTCCATTTAATCAGAAGTGCATCATCAAATCAGAACTATAAATTAGATTAGATCAATAAAGTACAAGACTAACATAACTTAGGCCTAATAAAAAACACAGTTTAACGTATAATTATTAATTTATTTATTTACCTAAGGTAGTCTGGCGTCCATTTTCATTGTCATACTGATGGATGAGTCGACTGTCGAGTGCTGTCAGTGTCGGTGTCCCGTTGTAGTTTCGTTTCCGTTCTATTAGTTGTCGTAATAAGTCACTCAAGAGTTAAAACTTCAATGTTCCAGTCCCAATCCCAATTAATTCCTGGTTCAAATTAATCAACTCTGACAGTCGACACTGATCAAGAAGCAAGAAACCCAACCACGTCTGCCATTCAGTCTCAGTGTATCCACCACACGACCAAAAAAATAATCCCGCCTGCTGGTTCGAGAAATCCCGTTTAATCCCGCTTCCGGATGATGGAGAAACCCGTTTTATCCCGTATGGTATTTTTCGTTTAAATTTATGTTTGACGAATCATGTTTAAATAGTTGTTTAAACATCGATATTATCTTTTGCTACAGGAGTTTACCAATTGGAGTTCGTTTTCCCTAAAAATAAGTAGAAACAATTAAAAACAGACGTCATAGCTGAAAAATCCGTTTTATCCCGCATCCAATTTAAATCCCGCTCGTGGTCTAAAAGTCCCGTTTTCGGGATAATAATCTGAGTCACTGCCGCCATTTCGTTTTCTGTTGGTTCTTGGTTCTAAAACCGACTGACGGAACAAATAAAACTGACCGAGTGAAGTGAACGGGTGTTCACTAATTAAACGACGGAGCCAAAGAGTCGATTGTCGAATCAAATCAACTGCTCCATAATAATCCGCTTGCAAAACTACCGTTGCGATGGCCGATGATATAAATTCAAATATCGAATCCCAACTCGGATCTATTTCCAAAAAATTCGAATATCGAATCCGAACCCGGATCTCTTACCGGTAAATTCGAATATCGATTCCGAATCCGAATCCAATTAGAAACAGTAGATTCGTTCTCGAATCCGAATCGAATCTCTAAAAAGATTCGGATTCGATTCGTTTTTCGAACTATTCGCACAGCCCTGAAATTAATATACTAGAGGTCGTCCAGTGGTCGAAACTCAACCACAAATATGTAATGTACAGACCTCTCTATTTTCACCCCACACTGTAAATAAAACATGTGATTGGAGTTTCTTCCATTTTTGTTTTGATTTTCTGTTTATATTTTGTTGTTATTTCGTCACCAGCATGGCAACCCACAAGATCAATGTTAATTTTTTCAAAATTTTAAATTCATTTTTTGTGTTTATTTTTGAGCCTATTTAAATTTATAAAGGGATTCTGCACATCTACAGGAAAATATCATTCCAACAGTATGTGTAGATTTTCCCTGCGATACACACAAGTTGAGAAAAAAGGTTTTAAAGAATCATGCTTGCCTATTAATATATAGATTAACATTGTGTTGGCCTAATTAAGTTTCACTCAGATAAAAGTAGTACCTAAGTACCATAATCTTAACTGTTGCTTGCAACTACAAATACCTCAAGTTTGATGATAATCTAACCACAATAGTTAAAAAAAACAGTCCCTAAGTAATAGAAAATTCATTTTGGCGAAGTGTCTCGTCTTAACTCATACTCAAGCTCTGACATCCGTACCTTGGCTCCCAGTTTATCCTTGTCGCCGAGCTGGTTCTTGAGCGAGTAAGCGTAAGATTCCAGTTCGTTCCTAGCCTCCACCCTTTCCTTCAGCTTCTTGTCATCATCAGCAAACTTCTCAGCGTCCTTGATCATTCTCTCAATGTCATCAGGGGTCAGCCTGTTCTGGTCGTTTGTGATCACAATCTTCTCCCTGTTTCCGGTTCCCTTGTCTTCAGCAGATACCTGATACACATAATGTAGTCATTAAAAAGTGTAATTTCACAAGTTATCTCACATCTCAGTGAGTACTTGAACGGTTAACCAAATAAATATCATTATTACCTTTTGAGGAGGGTCTTAAAATAGTTGTTAAATACGCTTCTTTCAATTTAATGATGAGCATTCCCTTTTAATTTGAACTTTTTAAAGCAAATACTAAGACTGATATGATTAAATATCAAAACTAGAATAGGGCAAGAAAATTTTGGAACTGTCAATAACCCATAGCTTTACTATTGTTGGTCCTAATTTTTCAGGATAGAAAAATCCATCTAACTGCTATATGTATTATTTATGTAGCCCTGATAGAAATGTGTAACTTATAAAATACATTTTTAATTCAAATTGGTGATTTTCATAACTGACTACCAAAATCAGCGACTTAATAGTTACTGGTAGACAGCACGTATTACTAAAAAAAAAAAACAATGTCATGTATGCTGCCCTGCTAAGCACAGTTGTGGTAACTGACATCTGGGTAAAATTGAGAAAATAAGGGTAGTATGTTTAAAACTATGCCATACAGTTAAAAATTGACTTAAAACAATTTTTTTGTCACATCTTATGTATTTTTTAACGCTAAATCTTTTTCCAAAATTATTTTTAACATGAAAACATTCTAAATACTTAAGAAATTAGATAATGCTTTAGATCTTATCAATTACAATCAAATATACTAGGCCATATAGTGGCAACTTAATTTTCCTAAGCCAATATGTTGTATCTCTGCAGATGCCACAAACTGGTCCAGCAAAATCATGGTTATTGTTTCAAATGCAACACAATATAAGGATCCCAAAATAAACAAAATTTCTGGATTGAAATATTTTTGATACTATGATTCTGTTTTGGCAACAAGTTGTTGAATTGTTTTTTATGGGGGGTTGGAGAGGATACTGGTATTTAAATAAATATATATGAATTATACCATTAGTGATGTTATTACAATTGTTATATGATTAATTAATCTTCCCCCTTAAATTGTTCAACACCTACTAAAACTTTTCTCAAATAAGTTAGAAAATTGAAATATAAAAAAAATATTTGTATTCATTATTAATTATTATATGTTAAGCAGGTGTTCCACCACTGTATCTAGTATCGCAACTATCACAACGTTATCGGTAACTTATCACAAATGTCTGTACCGGTAACTTATGCATTATGAATTTACCTATTTAAATAATTATTTATAATATAGAAGCACACGACACTACATATATGTATGTTAATCCATGTAGGTGCGTACATAACTGGTATAAAATTATAAACAATTGTATTATATTTTCCAAAAAAATTCTTTATAAGAAGAATTAATTAATTACCATGCTTTAACTGTACAATAATGATAAACATATTTTATTTTATTTTAATACTTTTTCAACTACTTCATTACATTTTAAAACAAAAAAATTTAAGCGTTATAAGCTGTTATATAAACATGAATGATAAAACATATATAGCTAGTATATAATCCAAATTAAATGCATGCGACTTAAAAAATTGCCAAAACAGGGATAAAACCCATTAATTAAGATTAAACATCTCATATTTAATCAAACATCAATAATCAAACAAATTAAACATTTATTTCAACATTGTTGAAACTTGTTTTTTAAGAACTACACAAACTATTGTCTAATAGTTTTGTAAACTATTTAAATATTGTAAAAAAATTGATTTTAAAATTGTTGAAACTTGTTTTTTTTTAAGAACTAGACCTAAACAAACAATTGTTAAATACTTTTGTAAACAATTTTAATATTGTTTGTAAAATTGTTTTAAAATTCTTTATAACAAAACTAAGAATAAAACAATTTTAAAATTGTTTTAAAATAGTTACAACTTGTATTAAAACTTATTTTGTATACTGCATAAAACTGATTGTTAAACAATTTAAAGATAATTTCAATCTTACATTAAAATTGTTGTAATTTGAAGTTTAAATCAAAATGCTTTTTATTGGTTGTAAAACAATTATTGCAATACAACTTTTGAATTTTTTTTAACAATTTGTATAGTCATTTTGGATCAGCAATCGACGATCTGTCAATCTTGTTATCCTTTCCTCCCATCAGGTTTTGCTGAGACACCATTTTCCTTAGACATATCTTGAATAATCCTATCATTGGTTTTGTTATAGCACAAGGTTGTAAAAAAAATACTAGCCACTTTTTGAGACGTTTTTGTTATGTGTAATTTCCATAAGTAGGTACATCTTCATTAAGATCATCAGATTGACCTGTTAAAATCTCAATTTCATTTATCAAGCCTACATTATCTGAACCATAAACCCCTTCACTCAAGTCATAATTTATTTCATCAGATTGGCCTGTAAAAACTTAACTTACAGCTTAATTTATTATGCTTACATTATTGGCAGAATAAATGACCTCTTCTAAAGAAAGGCCCATCATTTAATAGGCCTACAAGATACTCTGTTAAAATTTTGCAGTCAAAAATGATACTATTATCAATATCACCAAGTGGAATGTCAATATAAAGGAAATTAAATTCATTATATGATAATAATAGGTCGCCTCAATTAAAAGAGACAAAAGCTTTGATTCCAACAACACGGCACTTGTATAGGAATACTCGGCCAATAATGGGGATGATGCTAAACTAAATTGCCGTAACTGATGGATTGCTAAGGCATTTTGTGGTAACATATCATTCCTAAGGGAAATCGTTGTATCTGTTGTTGGATACAACTTAAATACCCTAGTAAATGTAAGTTACAACAACTGCGCTTGGTAAAACACTCCTAAACTGCAGATACGGCAAAGAAAATAAGCATTTTATAAATAAATACAACAACATATACGGCATTTAAGGCTATTTATATGATCCTAAGTATGTGTAGAATCACATGGAAACCATATCTCATTTTCCCCAAAAATGTCAGTTACCACAACTGTGCTTAGCAGGGCAGTATGAGCCAATTACCTGCAAAATACCGTTGGCATCGATCTCGAACGTAACCTCAATCTGTGGCACACCTCGAGGAGCGGGGGGGATTCCTGTCAAGTCAAACTTGCCCAACAGATGGTTGTCCTTGGTCATTGGTCTCTCACCTTCGTACACCTAAGGGAAAATTAACAGATATTAGGAATAAACATACTCTTTTTTACGAGTTTATGGAAAAATGAATTTTTCATGGCACTCCAAGAAATCCAAGTTATCATTAGGCTTTATTTGAGTGTGATAGGCTTAAAGGAAATCAGTTAGCTTCATGTATCGCTACGATCAGATAGCTCCATGTATTGCTACGTCTTATCAGAAGATGCAGTTTGCTTTAAAGATTTATCTTAACCACAAACAAATTACAAGAAAACTCTGTTTAAAATAACAACAATTTGGTGATTCTAGAATTGGAGCACAAGGATGTAGGCCTACCTGGATGGTAACAGTGTGTTGGTTGTCAGCTGCGGTAGAGAAGATCTGAGACTTCTTAGTGGGGATGACAGTGTTACGAGGGATGAGCTTGGTCATGACTCCTCCGACAGTCTCAATACCCATGGTGAGAGGGTTGACGTCCAGCAGGACAATGGCGTCCGTGTCTTGCTCTCCAGACAACACACCGGCCTGCACAGCCGCTCCATAGGCCACCTGCGTCAGACACAATATTTAGTAACCACAAGAGAGAGCGTTCAACGAGTTGATTTTAACATCCGAGTGTTGGAACGAGACTAAACTACCCTTTAAAAATTTTAAACTAACAAAAATTACACACAAATTGTGGAACAAATACAAATTTAGTCAAATAGGCAACTCTTATGTTACCGATTTACATCCAAAATCATCTGAGGCTACAATATAAAATATTGATTGATAATAATGGATGCAAACATTGAAACCAGAAATCTTTACACGTAAAAATTATGATAATTGTCTTGAGACTGAGATTGTTTAAATAATTGCCAGCAGTAGGCCTAGGCTTAGCTCTGTCTAGGTATTCTCAACTTACAGCTTCATCAGGATTGATTCCTCGAGAGGGCTCTTTTCCGTTGAAGAACTCCTTGACCAACTGCTGAACCTTGGGGATACGTGTACTACCACCGACCAACACAATCTCATCTACGTCCTTCTTGTTCATGTCAGCGTCTTCCAATACCTTCTGGACGGGCTTCATGGTTGATCTGAACAAGTCCTGCAATCAGAAATCAGAGATGAATAAAATTACGATAGGAATTATTTTGGAGTTTTTTGTTGATGTTATTTGACCCAGGGACTGTTAAAAATTAAAACTTAAATTTTAGTTAGGCCGACAGCCACTGTATGGTTTGTTATTTGGGATAAAGGCTTCAAAACGAATACCGTAGTTAAATGGTTTGACTGAAAGACAAAAATCTAAGTTCCAAAAATCCTATCTGGAGTTATAAAAACACAAAATACATTCAAATAACTAATTTGATGAAGGTTTATGTAAACTATCTTCAAAATCATTAACATTTTCTTCTTTTCAGCAAATAATACAAGATGTTTAGTATTTTGTGATAGGCTAAATAGGCCTACAACTAATTAATGTTCCAACAAGGTTGTAAAACAAATGAACTCACCATGTTCAGCTCTTCAAACTTGGCACGGGTCAGAGTCTCAGAGAAGTCTTCTCCCTCAAAGAAGCTTTCAATCTCAATCCTAACTTGGTGACTGGACGACAGAGCTCTCTTGGCCTTCTCAACCTCTCGTCTCAACTTCTGCACAGCTCGGTTGTCCTTTCTGATGTCCTTGCCCTTCTTCTTCTTGTACAGCTTGATAAAGTGGTCCATGACTCGCTGGTCAAAGTCCTCGCCTCCAAGATGAGTGTCTCCGTTGGTTGAAACCACCTGAGGGACAGTTAGTTGGGGATAAATGAATGACAAATTTACGTACAAGAGCTAGGGAATACCATATTTAAGGTATGCTGAAGTAATGACTTTAAATAAACATAGCTACAAATGAATTTAGTTTTAAAAGTATTTTGCCAAACAAGATGGACAATATTTTTAAATTTAAACAAGTTTTTTTCCAAGTTACTAAAACCTTCAGGATTAGCCCAACAAATTTACTTATTTTGGACACAACTATGAAGCTTTTAAAGACTAATGCAAAAGCTTTAAATACAAAATAAAAACAAGAACTCTCAACGTGTAGAAAATAGTTTGCAAAACTACCCAGAAATTAATCATTAATTTTCCTGAAATGACACTCCAATAAATATTGTAAACACACCTACTAAACACAAATTTTAATATTTCAGATCATATAAATTACTTTAAAATCAATTCAGCTCAATTAATTTATCAAACTAACCTCAAACACGCCGTTATCAATTGTGAGGAGTGACACGTCGAAGGTACCACCACCAAGGTCAAACACCAGCACATTCTTCTCTCCTTCTCTCTTGTCCAGACCGTAAGCAATGGCAGCGGCTGTCGGTTCATTGATGATTCTCATGACGTTGAGACCAGCAATAATACCAGCATCCTTGGTAGCCTGTCTCTGGGCATCGTTAAAGTAGGCAGGCACTGTCACCACGGCATGTGTAACCTATAACACAATAATTATTGTAGATGTCTAATGTGATTATAACAGTAAATCATTCTAAGACTAGGACTTTTTGAGAGGATAGCAGGATTACCTGAATGTAAAAGAGTCCAAACTGGCACAAGAAACGCACAACTTTGCAATATATAGCTACACTAAACATTAGAATATTTCACTGTCAGCATTCTCAGTGGACCTAAAGAAAACTCTCTCTATTAATTTGAGAAAGCTGTCAGTAATGTTTTGTGTATAGGCTATAATGTAAAGTTTTGTGTTTCTTGACCAGTTTGGATTCTTTCCAATTCAGGTTAAGCCTTCTATTCCCTCAAAAAATCCCAAAAACCTAGGCCATTGTGCCTCTATTTTACACTTTCATTCTAAACCTAGTAGACTTGAGCAAACAATTTAAGTGGCCAATATTATGTTACGTCATTGTTACATTGACTATAGACTCTATCGGATGTCTTGTTTCAAGTTAAAATTACCAATTTTAACTTTGGACCACTATGACCAATTTTATTCTCAAAAGTGATTAGTTTTGATAAAGTTAGTAATTAATTTTTTAGCAAGTATAACACATTTATATCTACATTATTATTCAAAAAGTAATTTTGAAATAAAAGATTGTTTAAACTTCCGATAAGGATCAGATATTCTTATTTTTAACAAAAAATACCAACTTAAGGGTTAAAGGAAATTGGAAATTGAGATGAGAATTTAATTAATCAGGAATTTATCTTATTGCAATCGTATTACAGTATATATGAAGGATTGACTCCAGGTATATATATATTTAAATTAGTAATCAAGCTTTTAAAAACCATCTCACCTTCTTTCCCAAATAAGCTTCTGCAGTTTCCTTCATTTTTCCAAGGACCATAGCTGAGATTTCTTCCGGAGCAAAAACTTTGACTCCCTGAGATGTGCTTACTTGAATGTGAGGCTTGCCATTCTTCTCAACGACCTGAAATTTAACAAATATATGTTTAGCCATAAGTTAGGCTTACATGGTATTTAATTGGCTAAGCTTAGGTGTTAGATTCTGATTGACTTTCTGAGCTACTAAGAATTTGAGACATTGTGTAGCTTATTAACTCTTTAGTTAAACCATTTAGAACTAGAGAATAAACTGAACCACAAGTTATAAAATCTATTCTTGTTCTAGATACAATAAAAATTAATTTCAGACAAGGCCTATAGAAATGAGCTTCCAGTTCAAAGTAGCCTAATAAACTATCGCACACCTCACAGAGCAAGGCAACACGATTTTTTATAATAGGCCTATTAAAAACAGAAATCCATCTTGGGGAAACAAATTAGTACACTGTTACTGATCCCAGAGATCAAGATTGTGTTTACAATTCTGATCGTGAAGCTCTAACTTAAGAACCATGAAAAAATATTTAAATAAATAAATAATGCTTTATTATCACATAACGTTTTGATTCATAGCATGGCTGAAAAACAGCAGGATTAAAACTAACCTAAAATATACAATAATATGTATTATGCACTAAAATTACTCTTAAACAAGTTGGAAACACTAATATGTTTTACTAGTCAGAAAATCAGCAAGGCTGCTTTTAAAAGATTATGAATTAAAGTTTTTAGAGTTGTACCCACAAGTTTATGAAAAAGCTTTCCCCTCCCATATTGCGCTATTGAGTCAAAATATTCATAGCATGACAGAACTTTATAAATCTATTGAATTTCTTAAGAAAAATATTTGAAAACAAGCTGAAATTAATTTTTCAATGAATGCACTGAATTTCTCCCTAAAGAGTACTGTGTCAGGACCTCTTTCGTTGGCTAACTAGATTCAACCACTCTTGGGAGAAAAATTGTAGGGTTGAACTTCTATTGAGTTAAAATATTTTAATTACCTTGAATGGGAAGAATTTGATATCTGACTGAACGGTGCTGTCACCCCAATCTCTGCCAATGAGACGCTTGGCATCGAACACTGTGTTTTCAGGATTGGTCGTAAGCTGGTTCTTGGCAGCATCTCCAATAAGACGTTCTCCCTCAAGTGTGAAAGCAACATAGGATGGTGTGATTCTGTTACCTTGGTCATTGGCGATGATCTCTACTCTGCCATTCTTGTAAACACCAACACTGCAACATTTAAATTTAAGGTTGAGGTTTGAAACATAGGCTACTGTCTTCTAGAGAGGCTACTGTGCCCTAAACTTTTACTTAGGTATATTTTCCAAAGCCTAGGCCTACTAACTTAAATTAGGCTAATTCTTGCATAGATATACAAGTTAATATAGACCTAAGATTAAGTTAATTTACTTGAATTTTAAAATATTCTGTTGGACTTAAGATTATAAATTATAAATTAAGATTAAAGATTATAAATTTATCTTTAAGCTACCTTTTAGTACTAGTAGTAGTTGGCCGAGCTTATGGGTTTTTTGCGATGTTCATGATAGCCTACCTACTGTAACTTAGCTTAAAAGTAAATCTCAAAGATTAAATTCATACAGCAATATAACAAGTATAAGAGGGGTTTTTGGTAAAAATTTCAGATTTTTAAACATTGTCCCAACAAAGATATTGAGACTCAAAATTTGAATTTTTTGAAAAATTATAACTTTTAAAGGAATTAAGTCTCAGGGTTGATATTTGAAATACAAACAGTTCTACTCAGTTGCTACACACACATAAAAAATCAAGTCTGAGATTTTATTTGTTCAAACGGTAATAAGATACGCCTTCAAAAGTTAAAATTTTTCTGTTTTCTTATGAAATGTTGAGATGGGTTGAAAACTGTTTTTGATACACATTTCAAGAAACACGTACTGAACATAATATTTAGGCTGTTTCTTCCAGATTAAAATGCTTTTTGTTCCATCACTCTAGCTCATGGTTATTGAGTATAATGTAAGTTAACGCAAACCCTTACATGAGCAAAAATTTGAGTGTTCCGCAAAACAAAAATAGCCGCCAGAGAAGAAACTGAAGAGGTAAAAAAGATTTAAAATCACTTTTGAACCCAGGATTGATAGAGGTATCTAGGATAAAATTATTATTTATTTTTAAAATGGTCAATAGGTTATGATAGTTAAATCCTATAATAACTTAGATATATTTTAAAATATTGATTATTAATCAATATTTTCAATCGATATTAGCGTAGCCCAGTTAAGAAACTGTAGGTACCCCTCAACAGGTCGAGGTTTGCCAAAACCTCAATCAATTGCAACATAGCCTATGGGCCTAACTTACATTACTGGGGATAAGCAAAAGTAAGTGGTGGGGGGGGGGGGGACTTCTATGGGACTTACCCTCAAACCGACAAAATTTTGAGACACTTACCAAGAATATGTTGTTCCCAAATCTATGCCAATTACTGTTCCAATATCCTTATTCTTGTCATCTGTAGCACCTCTACAGACTGTGCAGAACACAATCCCAAGAAGAATTGGAGATAATAACCTCATGTTTCTGCAAACAGAATTAACATAATGATCAATTTAAGAATGAGTTAAGATATGATGACATGTCACATCATTTGGGCAAGCTTGATTCCAAGCGGGCTGGAATTATTTCAACAGGCCTAGCCTAGTCTATGTGAAAAATCTGAAGAAAATCTACAATTTTAAATATAGCCTAAGGGATATTAAAACGTGCGTAAAAATAACAGACTAGTGCTACGTAATTAAAACCTCGTTAACGTAAGTTACCATAGCACCATAGCTAAATGGACATCCAGAAATAGCACCTTACTCTAACTTGTATTTAATTAAAATACCTTTACACAGAAAATGTGAACAACAGTACAAAGGAAAATTTTAACAATAGAAACGTAAGAACCATTCAACTTAAGATTACAAAGCAAGAAATACTGAACGGACACGTCGATAACTGAATTAGGAGAAGAGTTGATGGAGTCAATTAAATGTACAAGAAGGTTAAACCGGTAGATAGCAAACTAGTAGAAACTTACCAAATATTTCTAATATCACTGTTTAAAGCTAAATCTGTCCTGAGACACAAGTATACCACGATAAAACTCCCGATTACTGATATTAATACTTTCTTCACTCGCAGTTGAAACCAAATGACTTGCTGACTGACCGAACACCGCAACTACAACGGTACATCAGACGAAATCCACATCATACATAAAATTTCGTCGTGTGTGAATCCTATTGGTCAGATCTGAAGGAGTAAGAAGAAATAGCACCTGGCGCCCTATGATTAGATGCCCTCTTTACTTGTCTCAATTTGATTGGCTAATGGGGTTCTCTAGAAAGGTCTGCTTATTTCCATCTAGAACGTATAGAACCAAATAGCTTTGGTCTTGCACTTTCTATTTAGGCCAGAAAAAAACATATTATAACAAACTAAAACTTATGATTGTCTTGTATTTTGTAAAACAGTGTTATAAAGGTTCACACAAATAAAATTAGATCACTTACATCAAAAAAGCTTTAGCAAATCTTTGCTTGACGAAGTAAACATCTACTATGGAAGTGTGACAATTTTAGCAAGTTTTGTCTATTATTTTTATTTATGATTTATCTATATTATTAAAAATTTGTTGGATGTTTCTGTTCAGCAAACCAAAAATATAAATGATTAAAAATTCGCAAAAAATTACAAATTATTCATGACATTAAAAACATAAACAATCCTAACTATATAACAGGACTAAATTCTTTAACTCCCTTTAATTATGAATACTCATAAGGTTAACTTGGGGAACTACAGAGCCACTGGGGCGGAAACCGAAAGGATTTTTGAGATAAGAATATACCTATATGCTAATCGGGAATTTAAGCTATCATCATGCCAAATTTCAGCCCAATCCGTCCAGTGGTTTATGCGTGATTGAACTTCAAACAAACAAACACACAAACTTTTAGCGAATTTCCCATATAGGGAATAAGCTATTACCGTAGTACTCATGGTAAGACCTGGACGCGGGACCGATTTTTTTTCGTTTTGAGGTCCCTAGAGGCCAAAAACACCATCCATTCAAATTCATATATATATATATTTATATGTTTATATATTTATATATATATGTGTGTGTGTGTGTGTGTGTCCGTTAGCACGATAACTCGAGCAAAGGTGATCCGATTTTGATGAAATTTGGTACAAACGTGCAAACCTACGTTTATTCGAACGAGTTCGCGATCCAGCTTGATCGGACCATGGGAACGGGGGTTTACGGGGGGTTTTATGGGGTAAAAATAGGTTTTTCCCATTTTTGACCCAAAAAACATACAATTTAGCAATTTTTTTCCAAACCACTTTGTAGAGCTTAAAAAACAAATAATTTAGTATATTTAAGCGTTATTATGCGCCTAATGGTTACGGAGAAAATTCAAAAAAATTGTAAATTTAAAACTCCCATGTTATTCTTATGGAGAATAAGTCAACTGTTGTAGTTTGCTTGTTTATGAACATATTTTGATCAAATTTGGAAAATGTTTTTATTTCTTACTAACTATTAACATTTTACAAAAAAAAAAACAGTTTCACACTCCCTGATGCAGCAAACCTAAGTACTTTTTAAACTAATTCTATTTAAATAGGGAATTAATGTTATATTTTTAAGTAGACATTTCAGTGTAAATCCAATCAGTCAAATGGAAATTTTCTTAGTCTGCAGGTTTGCTGCGGTGGGGGTATCACATTATTTATAACATTTGTAAGAAGTAAGATAAGTAAACTGATGTTTATGAACATACTTTGATCAAAATTGAAAATGCATTTATTTCTTACATAAGCTATTAACATAAAAAAAACACCTTCTTACCCTCCCTGTTTCAGCAAACCTAGGTAGGTAGCCTACTTTTTAAACTAATTCTATTTAAATAGGGAATAAATGTGATATTTTTAAGGAGACATTTTAGTTTAAATCCAATCAGGCCGAAATGGAAATTCACTATAAAATACTAGCTGGCCCGACAGACGTCGTCCTGTCCTAATGTGGTTTAATGTCTTAATGCACGTTCATTTTCAATTTGAGCTCGTTCGCATGGCTCAATCACGTCCTGGATGAAGTTCGTTCGCTACGCTCACTCACCTTTAGGTTGGGGCTCGTTCGCTGCGCTCACTTGCCTTCAGGTTAGCCTTAGGCTACACCAAAGTCAATGGCTACACTAACTCGCCTCCAGATTGAAGTTCATTCGCAATTTAGCTGATGTAAAAAATTAAAAAAATAATAGTGCTGCACCCTGTTGGTAAACCTATTAACTTTTTTATGCTATTGAACATCATGGAATCAAATTGGTTAGTTGAACCAGTTTTAAGATTCTTTAATTCCATTTCAATATGAGTAATTCCTGTGGTTATTCTCATAAGGTTATCATGGGAAACTCCAGAGCCACTGGGGTGGAGCTCTTTTGACGGATCTGCACCAAACTTCACACAAACCATCCTTGAATAATGCTTAATAATGCCTGAAAGTTTCATTACAATCTGTCGAGCGGTTTCAGAGTCCATAAAGGACAAACAAACAAACATACATTGGATTTTATATATACAGGTAGATTTATTTATTCTATCAACGGTAACACCATTTTACATTCGAATATACATTAAATAGTATTAAATTTACTTTATAAACATAGCATTAGGTAATAAAATATTATCAAAGATTACATATGCTACGCAAAATAGATAATGCACCTTACGGCAATTTTGTGCCAAGTCGTTTTTGGATGGGGCCACCTTCACGTAGTTGGGTGGTTATTAAATATGTAAATAACAGCTGGTCATGTCGGTAATGAAGTCTTAGGTTATGAAGACATTCGCTAGGCTTCGCATGGAAATTGATATCACAAAAATGGCTTGGCTGCAATATCTATTTTGCGTAGCATATGTAATCTTTGATATTATCAATAATAATAAGAATAAATTAGAAAGCAAGCATGACATGCAAATGACATGCAAATGACATAACCAGTATAAAAGAAAACAAAAATACATTACATAGGCTGAATCACTTCAAGTGATGTTTATGACATACATAAACATAGCAAATTAAGGTATAGGCTACTAAAATACATGCAATAAATAAGAATGAAAGTGAAAAGCAGGCATAACATTTATATAACATGCAAAAGACATAACCAGCAAATAATATGGCGCATAAATAACAACAGGTAAAATATGTTATTTTTAATTAGACGTCTAAGAGATTTTGTTCCTCCTTTGTATGTTAGATCTGCGTATTTTGCTTTTTTTCAAAGTCTGTTAAAGTATGGTCTGTTACTGTGGGGTAACTCCACCCACATTCTAATAATTTTAAAGCTTCAAAAAAAGGCTGTAAGACTGTTGACCAATTCAGGGTTGAGGGACCATTGTAAACCTCTTTTTAAAGCAACAGGTATCCTGACAACTGTAAATTTGTATATATTAGAGTGTGTTATTTTTGTAAAACAAAATTCACATTTCTTTAGCTCAAGAAATAATTTTCACTCATATTACACAAGGGGAAGATCTGCTTTGGATAGGCCCTACACCAGACTAACAACAGTACAGCAAAGTTTTGCTAGTATATCAGTAAAAATAGTAAATTGTTTTGCAAGTAAAATACTTGACATTCCTTGTACTCGGCTAAAACAAAAGTTGATGGTTTGGCTTGCTGACCACCCTTTTTACAGTTTAGATGAATTTTTTGCAGAATACAATTGTAATGGTAAAATTGTTATCTAGTTCTTACTTAGTCCCTAGTCAACTGTTACCTAGTCTTTCAAACACTTGTTTAAGTACCTCACTTTTGTTTCATATATATAGTTCTGTGTTTTTCAAATGATTTTAGCTTTATTTTCTTGTTGTCTTTGTTATATTTAAGTTTAGTGAAGATTCCATGTTATAGACCATGTTATACTATCTAGAATCTATGGCCCTTTTTTTGTTAACGAGGTCTATTGTAACATATGTTATTTAATGACCAATAAAGATTTATGATTTATGATTTATGAAGAGCAAAAACATAACATCAACAAAATTTTACAATTTGCAACCGAGAAATAACAACAACGAGAAAAAAAGGAAACAACAAGTGCAATACCGATAGGCTAACAAAAGTATGACATATATATTTATGATATATACATATGGTATATATATTTCATGCTATATATACACATTAATTTGGACGGATGGTGTTTTTGGCTTCTAGGGACATCAAAATGACAAAGTAAATCATTCCCGGGTCCAAGTCTTACCATGAGACCTACGGTAACAGCCAGTACGTGATGGGAAACTCGCTAAAAATGGATTGTAATTGTTTCCTAATTGATTTCTTCATTAATATATTATATTTATAGCTTCATCAATACCAATTTATATCAATACAACAAATAACACATACTCCATTAGTTTTGGTTAGTCTAAGGCTACACTACGTATTAATTGTTGTCTTGTAGTATTTTATAGTGCTGAATCTTTTGACAAACGTGAAATCAAGTCCACAGAACCACAGAACCCAGAAAGGAGAAGAAGATTGCGTCTACTGTTGAGCTTTCTGCTTTAGCTTTGCGCACCTATGCAGAAAAAAAGTTTGTTGTGTTTATTTGATTGGAACTTGGAACACCGAGGTTATGCGCCTTTTACAAGTTTTATAAAAATGCTGATATAATTAAATATTATTTTTTGCTACCCTAACACAATGACTTTTAACATTCGTTAGTTTTATAATTCTTCATTGTACAGTACTACAAAATCCGTATGAAAAATTGAAATTCGGTCCTCCAAGTAAACAATATCTTCTTTCCTCTAGGACTCTCAAAACAAAATCTCAGCCAGGAATAGGACTGCTTAGTGCTTCCTTCCCTCCTAGAGTGTTATTTTTACATTGAGGCTGATTTTTATTTGTGAAGGTGTACAGTCTGCAGGTGTTGAGTGATTTGTTCATGTTTGGCCTCAGTAATTTGGTATGGGTTGGTTGAGTCATTAGCCCATTTATTTGTTAACATTTCCTGCTCACATTTTAAATATTAATCACCTAATATGAACTTGTGTACAACTTTCAACTTCGGTATTTATCCTCATTTTTGAAGAAATATGAATTGCTGACAACATTTTTGTAAAAATATTAGATTACAAAGTCACTTCATTTCCCAGTTTTATTTGCAAATAGATGGGTCTATTATGAAACACAAAACAAAAAATAACTGTAATTCCTCTGTGAGAAAAGGTCAGATTTTGTTAAAAGAATCTCCATTTGTGTATGGATTGAAGTCAAGCTTAAGATATGAGCGCTGCGATTTTTGTTTCTCAAGGTAAAGAATTTTGTGATTTTGTCTACGGTACTTAACCCGGGGGGTAACTTACATTACAGTTTCTTAACTGGGCTAGTACGCTAATATCGATTAACACTATCGATTCGATTAGTAAACCTTCATTCGATTTTTTCATTATTAGCAAGTTTGGTTAGTTAGGTTAGGTTATGACAGTTTCATTTTATAATTTATATAGTTAAAAATATCGATTATTAAACGACATTTTCAATCGATAGTAGTGTAGCCCAGTTAAGAAACTGTACCTCATAACCCTGTAACTTATTTTGTAGTAAAGCTGGTCTCTTGCTTATAGTTTGGCCTAGTTAGATCGGGTTTTGGGTGTTCAACAATTTATGAATTAGTTTTTGAACAACTTCTGAATTGGATGTGATTTTTATTTTGTTACATTGTTAGATGTGTTAGATTGTTACATTGTTATTTATTTGTTGTTAGGAATAGTTAACTACTGTTTTGTTGATTTTTTAAATGGTCCTGCCGTTGATGTTACCTATGTAGGCTATAAATAAATAGGCCTAGTTAAATAAATAGTTTTAATGTCTTTTGTTTCAGTACTCAAGTTTTGAAATGCACTGCTTGCAAGTATGTTTCTTACTGCAATAGGGTTTGCCAAACAAATGGATGGGAAGTTCATAGAGATGAATGCCAAAATCTCAAAAAAATATCACCCCGTGTTGTTCCTGATGCAGCAAGAATATTGGCACGTCTTGTTTTCAAACTTAAGGTAATGAAATAACAATGAACTGATTTTAAGTTGTTTGAATATTATTTAAAGCTGAAAGTTTTAGCTAGAAATCTTGTTATGCTAAACAATTCAGATTTTTTTTTAAATGCCACACATTAGAAACTGCTAAAAAATTATTTTTCCGATACAACAACTAACTTATAATCACCATCAACCAGGATTTGCATCCTGTGGAAATTTGACAACATTTCATAAAATCACATTTTAGCATTTTTGTAATTTCTTCTTATGGTTTCCAGCTCACAACACATATTAGTTAATCTCCCATTACGACTCCTACCATTCTTGAATTCTGAGCAAAATGTTTTTTTTTAAGAAAAAACTAATTTTGTCATTTAACTGTAAACAAATTTTACTGATGTAGGCCTAATTTCAATTGTTGAACATTTTTTGTTTTTTGTCTCTAGAGAGGAGGAGGTACACAACGTGGGTTTTATACAAAAACAAACTTTCGTGTGTTTAAAGATTTAATGTCTCGTGAGTATTCTTACATTCACATTAATTTAGACTGTTATGTGCATTAGGCTTGTATAGGCTTTTAGCTAGGCTGCGCATGCTGTTAATTATGTATTGGCATTTATTCGTCACTTTATGTTCACTTTTATTACTTGCATAAACTGGCTTTAGCCTATATGAAATTTCTCTTTCTACAATAAGTTTACCTTAAGTGGTGTATTGTAAAAAATCCAATGACTTAAAGCACCTATTCAAGCATTAAATATCTTCAATGTGTACACCCCAAAAACAATTCTGTCAAATACTGAAACACACATTTACATAATGAATGGATGATTATTAGGTCTAATGACTAGGGAGGAGGAGCAAGGAATTATGTAGGTACTTATTGCTTAATGTTGCTTGTTTTGACAAGTTCCACCTCCAAGAAATCAGCTCTCCTCTCAACTCATAATTAACATTCTTTTTCTGGAATTTGATTATTAATAGGCAAATAGCAGTAGGTTCGTGGTTGTCACCCGAAGACTATGAATCTACAGCATGTCACCTAGAAGCTTATCCATGCAGATTAATGATTTTAGCAGATTCTGGCCCCCGGAACACTACTTAATGTTTGCCAGTAAAGCACAAAATTTTCTTGATTGTTTGTAATTTTGAAAAAAAAACTCCATTTTTTCCGTTTTACAACTATGTTCATCAATGTTCTAGCAATTGTTTGGAGGCTGAAAATTCCTCCCTAAAAATCCTCTATCAGTACTTTGAAACAGCTAACATACCTAATTTTATGTTTAGTACTAAGAGTCAATTAACACATTCACTCCCGTGTAAAGAGAGACCTTACATATAGAGGAGTGTGCCGGCTGGGACTGAACCTGGTAACACACTCACTCCCGTGTAAAGAGAGACCTTACATATAGAGGAGTGTGCCGGCTGGGACTGAACCTGTTAAATAATGAGGTTTTGATAAAAAGTAAATAATTTGCAGATTATTCCGACATAAAGGAAGACAAAAAACGAATGGAACATTTTACATCCCTGTACAATGTGCTAGTGGATTTCATTGGCGAGGACAATGTTCCTAACTCGGCCGAGCTCTTAGGTATTTATGGTAGGGTAAGTGATATTTCTTTTTGTAATTAATTCAGTAAACCATATCTATTTGGATAAACAATTTAAGCTAGGTTTTGTGATATATTTTTGTTCATGAACACCAAAGTGTTTTAATTAGATTCAACGCTCTCCATTTCATTGTTTGTCATTGTCTTCTAGGTCCTTCATTTCCTGTGTTAAGTAAGAAGAAAGATTAAACATACCGTACTTTTTAATATCTTGGGTAGTCACTCAAAGTACCGCTTACATATCATTCTATAGCCATGACTTTTCTTTTTTATTCACTATGTTCATACATGTTATTTTTCTGTTCGCTGCATTTTGTTTTGACTGTTTTTGAGCTTAGCTACATTAGCATTTATTAATTTGTCCAACACCACTTTTGTTTCAGTTGGTTGTGAATGGATTCAACATTCTGGATCCTGAGATGATGACTATCGGGACAGGAATCTATCTTGGGGTTTCCATCATTGATCACTCTTGTGATCCAACGGCCGTTGCTGTGTTCAGCGGAACTACGATACTTGTACGTTCACTGGTCGACATGCCAGAGCTTGATTGGTCCAAGGTAAATTATACAGTGTTGTTTAAGAAAAAAAAAAAAAAAACATTCAATGTATCTTAATTAAACTCAGAAAAAAAAAATATTTTTTTTATTCATGCTGTAGCGGCACTGTAGGAAAAAGGAAAGGGAGAATAATTCTTTAGTTAACAATACGAGGATTGTTCAGATGTCAAAATCCGGTGAACACGCGAGGAGTGCTCATTTGTGATGTATTTCACTATCCCTCACTTAATTACTGTATTGCTCTGTTCAGATTGTTTTTGTTTGCAATACATTTGTAAATGTTTTTGAGAAAGACACCAATTTGTGGTTTTGTGAAAATTGGTCCTATGCTTTCAAAGAAGAACCAATGCTTTGAAATGTTTGAAAGACAATGTAAATTAAATAATAAAATCATGCTTCTTTTACATTTTCTATCAATATTAAAAGGTTTATTTTAATTTTGGACAAAAAACTAAATAAGTTTGGAATGTTCTTTTTTTTAAGGTGGTAGAGCTTAACCTGCATACCAATGAAAATAAGAGCCATTGAGGCTTATAGATACACAATAAAGGTCACATAACATCACTCTAATATTCAATCTTATGGTAACTATTATCTATAGAAATCCTTTACTAGGTCTATTAAGAAATATGGCTTATAAACCTCTGGAATTTTTTCTATCCCAGGTAAGATAGCTGAACTGTATCAATTTTTCAGAAAACTCGGTTAGACCTGATACGAGGAGGCCACCCTTATACAGTGTGCTGCGGCGGTTATGTTGAATTATCATAAATAGAAAGTATGACTCATCTGGTATCATTCGATTCATAACGAAACGAGGAAAGTCCTACAAACATATTTATTATAACCCAAACTAACATAACCGCTGCAACGCGCTGTAATGTATGTGGCCACCTTATAGTACCCATCAAAAACTCTTATGACTTAGGCAATCTATAGTGTTCACATGTTACAATTCTAAATGTTGTCAGGTTTTTATATCCTACATTGAGCTTCTGAACAGTCCAGAAGAGAGGCAGCAGGAGCTGTTAGCCACATACTACTTCCTCTGCCAATGTGCTCGATGTTTGGACGTTGAAGAGGTGAAATTGAATAATTCCATGGTCTGTCCCAACAGTAGCTGCGGCAGTAGCGTCCCAGTGCCTTCCAAGGTAGGTTGCGTTATACATAAGACTATTGATGGAAGTAGACATTGTATCTATTTGGGACTGCTAGCCAATTTTAGAATACAAATTAACCTAGTAGTCAGAGTGAACTACTCACATTGTGTGTTACAGTAGAAATTATATTTTATCTATAATATTTCCATACTGTGATTTATGTAAGACTAGCAGAGCACCCGTCCTTCGTACGGTGTTGGCATATAAGTATAAATTGCTTATTGCAGTTATACTCAAGCTTTGTGTTTGCAATGGGGGAGGACACAGTTAGATAAAATTTGGAGAATAGGCCTTTATGTTAATCGGGAATGTTAGCTATCATCATGCCAAATTTCAGCCCAATCGGTCCTGAAGTTATTGGGTGATTGAGCAACACACATACACAAAACACACAAACTTTCAGATTTTATAGGCCTAATATTAGTAAGATATAAAATATTATGCTGTAGTTTTCTGTAAGACATCATTTCTAGTTTGACTTGGATATATAGTCAACGTATGATAGAAACCAGTAATTGACATCAGCTCACACTGTTAGAACTTAAATCAACTACAGTTCAGCGTAGATTATCAACGCCTGGTCATCCGAAACATCAGTTACTGTAACTGAAAGGAAGAAAGAAAAAATAAGTCTAAATTGACAAGCCGCCGATTTTTATGAGTGACCGCTACTAACGGGCAATCGGCAACGTGGGAGGCAATCATCAGTGCTTCTGAGGCCACAAGATATGCTTATGGTTGTTCTTGTAAAAATTAGAAACAAATCAAATAAGTTAACTGAAAACCCCTAAATTGTTTTGGATTATAGATTCTCTTCTGTACGTCCATTTTAATTCGAAATACTTACTTGTATTTTATCTTGGTATGTATTTTACTCTCTATAGTCAAAGGTTCAACCCTTTGAGCATTGATACTGGTATATTGATATTCTTACTGGCTGTGAAGAGTAATATTACTATTGATAATTAATAATAGCATGGCTAGATAAAAGATTTGTTGAATTTGGAAAACTACTTTGATCAAAGATGATAATAACTTCAGTTGGACACCATTAACCGTTGTGACATTTTTCAGAAATCTGAAGATGAAGAAATATCTTCTTTTGGCTGTTCAAAGTGTAAAGAAAATGTAAAACCTGAACTCTACAGGAGGTTTTTAGAAGTGAGCGAGTTTGTAGGCCTTCAGCTTGAAAACATGAAAACCTTTTCCTGTATCCTCTTTATCATTACCTATGTTTTAGTAAAAACCTCATAGTGTCAGAGAATATGAAATTAGTTTTTTTTTTTTTTTAACAAACTTGGAGAGACGTTTTACCCTCTCAATCTTCAGAGTGTAAAGGTTTTGGATGCTGGATTTGATTAAGCAAAGTTCGAGTTATCACACCAATTTAACATGGGTACATATTTGAAATTGTAAATCTTTTAGTAAGGCAATGTCATTAACTGCTTTTATCACCCTTATTTTTTATATGTGTCAACGTTTTACATCATTGCTTAATCACAAATATTAAAACAGAAACAGTAAAGATGGTCATAAGCAAATTACATTACTAGCTCAAAAAAAGTGTATAATCAAATGAAAATATCATTTTACAGCTAAAATAAATTACTCACAATGGTAAAATTACCTTTATGAGTCACAGGTTTTTAATATTTAACTGTAAAAAAATATGCAACTGGCATGAAAAAGAATGTAAACACAAAATTGTATAATTTGTTTTGATTATTATGATTTCATATGTTACATTCAAGCCAGTTACTTATTTTAAACAGTTAAATATTAAAAATCTGTGACTCATAAAGGTACTTTTACCATTGTCAAGGGGATCATGAAAATGTTGAGATATCAAGGTTCGAGTTATTGAGGTCGTACTAGTATTTAAAACAAAACATATGTATTGTGTTCAAATGTGAGTTCACGTATGTTGAAAAAATAAATTTCAATGTTTTCCTTAGTGCTGTAGATTTGGATGTTGCTAAAACATGTTTGGAAAAGCAAGGAGAGATGTTTCACCCCCTAAACCTTCAGAGAGTCAAGGTTTTGGACGCTGCGTTTGAAAGTAGTATCTCTGTCAACCAGTGGTCTGACGCGAGAGAATTTGGTAAACTACTACTGCCTGGATACAGGTAAAAATTTAAATAATTGAATTCTGAACTGTCAGTTTTTAACGGAGACAAGTATTAAGAATACCACTTGGCTTAAGATTTTAGTTTATTTTTTTCAACCTGGGATATTCATTGATTTATTTCCACATAAAAAAATGTTTTCTCCCAATAGCGAACACATGTCTCACAAATAGTCACACAGTAAAGATAGGTAAATAGTAGCAAACTTTAACCCAAGCGATCCACCGTGGGGTCTCTTGCATATCTAGCTCTACTACAGGCTGGCGAACTCCACATTACTGAAGCTGGGTTTTCCTAGGCGAGGAAGCGGAGCGTGGAGAGCGGACTCCTCTTGTCTTAGGTAATTTAATATTACTGTTTTCCTAGAAGCGTAGCGGAACGCCATGTTAATTGCTTTTTGGCTCTCCGTCCTCCGCGTCTAGGAAAACCCAGCTTTAGAGACCAAGACAGGATTCAAGCCAATATCCAACCGTAGCAGTTCTCCACTTGACTGTCAAGTTGTAACACATCAGGTATAGCATTCATCTGCATTGTTCAGTTATTCTAACACAAATAATTATAAGTGGAAGTGAGGATATGTCAGTCTGTGTTCAATATATCAGCCGTTGAAGCTCAAGCCAATCAAGAGTTAGAATTGAATAACCAAACTTTCACTAACAACTATATACTTGAGTACAACTCAACAAAAACATCTGAACGATTTATGGAATCTAATGCTGCAGCTGTACTACAGTTTCTGTGCCTGACCAGAACTGGTTGAGTCTAGGCAGGGGGCTGGCGGGGGTAATTTTGTAAAAACATTTGTGTCTTGCTACTCACTCACCCCAACCCCCAGCTCTGCCAATAACTGGCACCCATATGTTTTAATTCGGCTAGTAGCGCCCCGTCGCACACAGAAGTTTTAACCGAACTGTACCCTTGGGATTTTTGATGACCAAAGATCTAAATGTTTATCTGTTTGTATTAGAGTTTGGTGGGATAAGACCACCAAGAATAAAGAGTAGAAAGCTTAGGATAGTGTGTGATTTATTTGTACCTTGAATAAGGCATTCAAATACTTTTTTCTTGTCTTTACTTGGTTTTTTATAATTTTTATTTTTATTTTATGCTCATGACATACTAAAATTAAAAATACATGAGGTTCAAAGGGACATAGTATCCAGGGAATCAAAAACTCCAAGTCTTATCCCATGTTTAACCAGTTTCATTTCAACCAGGAGGTACTACGGGGAACTTCACCCGTTGACAGGAATACTACAGCTAAAGCTGGGCAAGATCTGTGTGTTCCTGAATCACTGTGATGAGGCTAGACAGTTCCTACGAGCAGCGGAGAGTGTTCTGAGTGTGACTCATGGACGAGAACACTCTCTGTACACAGAACACTTACTGCCGCTGCTGATGCAGTCTCAGTGAATAAAACATCTACAGAGTGTACTGTGTTTTACTCGCCTTCTTTGTTCATCACTTTGAATGGTTTGTTTGGCAGAAACAAAATACAGGTATAAAGAAGTTAATGTTTCAATCAATTAAATATGTGCGATCAAAATTCCTATAGCTCGATATGGTTATAAAGAAACGTTAAGCAAGCTGGTACAGTGGTTGAGGGAATTCAATCCCCGAGGTCACGGGATCAAATCCTGCCAAATAACCAATGGATTTGAACTAGGTGATAATGCTGCAATCCTCTAGGTCTAGTCTGAATTAATGTGAAAACAATCCTGGGGTAGAGCCTGGTGTCTAATTAAAAAGAAAGACTAATTATTTATATGCTTTGTAGTCAATGTAGGAAAAATATAATGTAACGTGAGTGCCTTTGCTGCACATGAGAGAAATGGCTACGGAAAAAGCCGCAGTTGCACAAATAAGTGTAGTTGTTATTTCCTTATGTTAAAGGACGGTGAACACAATAAATTACTATAAACAAAACAATAAGTTAAAATATAAACAATTTTATTCAAAACATAACTGAATTAATGTCACATTGTCAACAAGATAAAATACTGCTTTACAGAACATAACAAGTAACATTAAAAAACATTTGCAAATAATTTACATACTTAACTATGTAATGGCAAGAGTTGTCAATTAAGTTAAAATTACTAAAAACTTAGTAGTAACATACAATAAGTTAAAAGTCCGCATTTAACTCACTTAAATAACTAACTAGGACTAGATCGATTAAGTTAAAACACTTTCAGTAGTTTAAAGGCAAATAAGAAGATAAATATCAAATACTTATTGCGTTTGATTGTGTGTACCGCTACACTTCATGTGCTAAAATTACTTTACTTTAATACTGTGAAAACTGACTTATGTACATAAAGTTGTAGGTAATGTAAACGGTAACTAGATAGTTGTTCAGTAGTCCGTTCAACTGACTAGTGGAGACGGTAGCCGTGGACTGGTGAAGGTGGTTCAGATCTGTTTGGTCTGATTCGATGATTCAACAAGTCGCGTATGTGCTGCACGATCAAGTCAATGGCCACTGTAAAAACACATCACTTCATTAGAAGGTTCTTGCCGATATCAACATTTTCTCGCTACTTAATATTTGAAGGACTGGTTTACTGTAAAAAAAAATAAAAAAAAACACAAATCCTGGTTTGCTTATAAAAAGTATTTTGAAACATCAGTTTTACCTGATGTCTCGTTCAGAAAAAAACAGTCTGTTATTGCCTTATAAATTTGGTTGTATTTGGTCATCAATTTTTTAATACCCTACTGTTTATAACACATAATTTGCAGTTTCATTGCTCCAGTTGAAATTAGGTCTTAAAAACTGTATTGAATGTTATAATTGGAGCATTTAAAAATGTAATTACCCATGAGAGACACTTTAATTAATATAATTTCATTTGGAGCCAAACAAAACAAGTCCACACTCATAACCAGATGCCTAAGAAGATTAAGTCTGTTGCTTGATTCACAAACTTCTAAATTTCATCTTTGACATGTGATTAATGGTTTGTCTACAAGGTTTGATAATGGAGCAGTGAAGATCCAAAAGTAGTCCTCTGTGAAGAATAGTGGATTGAAAACGACAAGTTCTTTAAACAATTTTATAAAAAAAATTAACAAAACAAAATTTAATCTTAATTTTATCTGACAAGATCAATCCAGACATCTGGTCAACGATCACCAGTTGGTAATGGTAATGTAAAAGATAAATCTACAAGTTTTTCATGTTGCAATTCTTTTAATCAAGATTTGATCCACTCATTGCATTGAGTAAATGCATACGCTACAAGATCAAATGTGAGAGAACTAGCTGCTATATCCATGTGAATACAGTAGACTCCCTCTTATCCGGATACCTTTTAACCGGACTACATGACAGGGCGGAAATGACATCTTTTTAACCGGACAATTTTTATCAGCATATTGGTTTAACCAGACTAGATCGGCAGGAAGTGGGCAGTACTGAAACGTCTGTTCTCGTGGGAAAGATTTGAGACCAGTGATCACGTGTCTTAATACAATGCTCTCTTAAATTTAAGTCAAATATCACAGTAAACAGTCCGTTTTAACAAATTTTTGGGGACGTCGGTTTAACTGGAAAACCTGTTATCCGGACTGGGCTTAGTCCCGATAAGAGGGAGTCTACTGTATGGGGAAACGTCAGTGTTGACACAATACAATTGCAATATATCAAACTGAACATTTTGATTACTTTAAGTCATTTCAAAACCTCTAGATACCATAACTTAACTAGAGTAACTAATCAAATCAAACTTCCTTAATGTTATAATGTATTGTGTTTCTTTATATGAAGTTGAAAATTTAAACTACAACCGTCTATAGATGATGAAATAGAAAAATTTTATTAATATAAATTTTGAGTTTGTGTAAGGTGATAAGTCTACTTTCACTATGTAGTCAATGTTAAAACCGATTGTTTCTATAGCCTATTTAGTTATTTTGATGTGATATTCCTATATTTTGATTTGGTTCATGGCAATGACCACAAATTTTACCTTATCACTTCAGTAATAAAATAAAGAATGGATTATATAGCTGCAATTGGCATGTAGCCTGTTATTTAATATCTGTCAACAATTTACAACCTGTTGTTAAACATTTACAGAGTTTGAGCTCATATGTGTCCATGACCTATGCCATTTTGTAAATTCATTCTAACAAACAATGTTACCTACAATAAATTATAGGCTGCCTAATAGTGAAATGCATACTAAAGGCTCAAGGTAAGTAAACACTGAATTGGAAGTATTATGATTACCAAGATGTAGGTCTAAAAACAGTTTAACTATTAATTAAGTTAAATTGTGATTTCTGGTGACATAGTTAACAGAGCCTGCAAAATTGACATATTGCCAAGGTAAATTAGGTTTACTAATTCATGCAGTATATTCAGACAATGTATATGTACAGTAAAGTATAAAATAGAATGATCACTTTCCAACACGGGTAAATAAAAAAAACAAGGACTACACAACGTACAAACTTTATTTCAAAATTTACCATGTGAGCACATTAATGACAGTGAATTGTTACATTAAAGACTCAAATGCCCCGTTGAGGAATGTCATTGAATAGAACAGGTTAACAGTTACACAACATTCTAACACATGAAGAGATACAATTCCTCACACATTCATCAAACGTCTACATCATCTTTAATGCTGACGTAATAGATTTGTGCTGTTAATAATAACCAAGCACTAAATTTTAACATAAGAAAATAACAATACAGTATAAACTTATACACCGGTATAGTAGTAAGTAAAATATAACAGTGTCTACTGGTTCTTCTAAGTAATATCTTATGACTTTTCGATTACCTATTGCTATAAAGAATTATCTGCAATAAGCCTATTTTATCTGTCACAGGGAATATTTCTTTAATTTCAGAAAGCATTGTTTTGACCACTAAGTAAATAAGGGCCTTATGAAAATGTGTTTCAATTTATTTATTTGGATCTGACAAGTCTGAGACTTAAAATCCATTTGAATTTTAATCAGTGACTTCTATGCCCCCAAAATTAAAATCAGTGACATTCCAATGAGTTTCATGACCTGTAGACAGCCTGATAAACTATCAGCAAAATAATTGATTGCTAGAAACTTTTTTCTAAATAAATACAAGTCAAACAGTAAAAAACATTAATGATTTAAGTATTTTGTCAATGTAAATATGTGATGCAACATATTAGCAAAAATTATACAATAACAAATTTGCACAAAAACATATTAGAAAATATATAAAACAAACATGTATAGCCTAATAATTGTAGTAGACTTAAAAGCAAAACCAGGATAACAAGTAAATTTACTGGATAAATACAATTTTATCTAAAAAAGAAAGAGACAGATAGGTTTTTGGTATTCTAGACTAGTTAAGTAGCTCAATTTACTGTCTACGAGAAAAAAATATAAGAAAGTGTAGTTTCCTTCTTTATCTCAATACCATTGCGGATTGATAATACTAATTGTGAGATGTGGAGGAAACAAACTTATAGTACTTATAAAGAAGCAAACCCTGTAATTCAGTAACTACTAAATAACTAAGTTATTCAGTCGAGTTTTAGAATAATTGACATTTTTATGAGCTAACTAGTAATATAGGTAGTGCTGTCAACAACTTTTACATGTATATATAATAATCTCTTCAAAATCTCATAGCTTCTCAGTTTAATACATCATGAATATATTACCCTCTAAATGTTCAATATTTCTGAAATGCATAGCTAGAATACTTTCTATCTTTTATGATTAAATACAAAAATTCCCTTGAAATTCACTAAAATTTAAATTGATAAAAGTCTTTGTTTGAAGTCCAAAAATCAAAGATCCTAAAATCTTTCCGTCTAAAGAAATAAAATTTCTATAAATCGTAAGACGATTGAACAAATACTAAACGAGATAATACCAGCTATTTGCCGCAACGTACTTATGAACATTTACGTCTACTACACCTGTCTCTTTCTACCTAACATAACCTAGACGGCGGACGGAGACTAGCGGCTCAGGGTGTCAGAGCCTGAACTGGCTCGTCGTCCAATGACCTTGTGTTGGCTTGAACCGTGCAGTATGTCCCAGATGTGTTGAACGATCAAGCCTATAGCAACTGCAACCCAAACCAACACAAAGTCATTAAATCTTATTCAATGTTGCTTTAATTATCTGCGGCTATAATTTAAAGCGTAGAGATTTTTGGTTGTAGTGGAACACTATGGTAAACACAACTTTGGTGAATTACTCAAAAGTAGTCCAGATTTGATTCACATGGCGAAAATTACCTTTAGCGTAGAATTGTGTGGGTATTTTTTTTCTACGATGTTTATAACGTTTGTCGTTCTCAAAAGGTAGTACAAGAGTGCCAGCAATTAACTGTAATATAGTTGTGTACATTATATTACAGTATTATCATCCTGACTACCTCAACACATATGGAAGCAATTAGGTATTGTGTAATAAGCAAGAAGTGATGCACAAAAAGTGCTAGGTTATTTGAACCAATATTGCAAGCTCTAGAGAATACATCGTATCTCCCTTATTTTTCAGTAAATTTGAAGGATAAAAAAAAAATGTTACACGAGTACTATTATTAAATGATAATGTTATTGTTAATTGTATTTAGGTTTTTTGTTGTGGGACACCCACACTAAGATGGGTTAAATATTTTTAATTCTTTATTTAAGTCTAAACCTTCAAAACTGAGATTAAAGTTTTTTTTCAATTTTGTCGTACACTAAATAATCTGAACTTAAAGCATCAAATAACTTCTAGCAATCCTTAAACAACACTGTTTACTCTAGTCACTGGGTTTCTTTATGATGAAGTATCACTGATTTTCCACATAACATTTTAATTTTATAGCCATCTAACTTAAACCTCACTGTCAAAGTCTTCTTAATCAACTACCTTAGATAATACTAATGTACCCCGAAATAACCTTAAAGATACACTAAACATGTAAAAATAACAAAAATTGATCTAAATTAGTGAAGTCTGTTAACGAAGTAAACCACAACATTCTTTTTGTTAGGCTTCCTTAACCACAACATTCTTTTTGTTAGGCTTCCATGGTTGATTCCAATAGTGGTAAATCGTGGTCTTCGGGTGACAACCGCATAGATGAAGAAGACAATGATGTAGTTGCTGACAATGTAACCATTAAGGAAGGAAATCTTGAATCTATCGTATAGTTAGTAACATGGAAAGAATAAAATGCAGTGTAATTCCAATTGGTGACACAGTTACCTTGCTATGGATTTGATAAATGAAGGTTTCACACCAATATTTTTTTCGGCAACATCGGGAACCTTTTCCAACTGTTGCCTTGAACCGAAAATGTTCCGAACCCACAACTCCTAATTTTAATTATTTTAGTGAACAGTAAAACTTAACAAATTTGAATATAATGTATGGCTTTTAAATTATAGACACCGCTTATAAATACTAACCAAACTTATTTGCTTACTAAACTAAAACTACAATGGATTAGTTTAAAAATTAACTAACAATTAAGTAGGTTATTAGGATTTTTAGTGAGGATAGCAGGCTATTTATGTTTAGTCAAATTCCACAACAAATACTAGGCATATAACAAAAATAGTCAGATCCTGCCTCCTCAATGTAACAAGTCACTACTGAGAATATGGAAATTATCTCTAAACAATGGTTTAACACCTTTCATCCAACCCACTCCAATACCCAAGCTAATAAGCAAGCTTACATACATATTTACTTTATTACTATACAAAATCAATTGAAACTGTGATATATATATATATATACACAATGTGACCATATTGGATACACAGTGTTGCAATAACTTCCTAGCCACCATTAGGCCTGAAGTTTTGGTATAAAGTGTTAAGTTTTGTGTTTCCAGTTTGGACTCTTTCCCATTCAGATAAGCTTGCTATCCTCACTAAAATCCTAATAACCTAGGACCTTGTGCTCTAAGTTACACCCTTAACCTAAGTAAATAAAATATACAGAATTTAGTTATTTCTTAAAGAGGGACATATACTTGTACAATATTACATGTTATTACAAATGATAAATGTAAGGTTAACTATGAACTTCAAAACAAAACACAATAATAGCACTGAATACCATTAAGAAGCTAAATGCTTATAGAGGATAGTCAGAATCAAATTTTGCTGCCGAAATGAGCTTTACCCGGCCGCCATTAGGATCGCTCGCACAGCAGCTGTCACGGGTACTATCCAGAAATAAAATATTTCCAGACTGAAATTTTTACCAAGCCATTGCGCTTCTTTAAGGTTTTATATTCATTGATAATAGATCAAAAGTTACGTTCGAGTCAATAACAAAGGTCACTATTTCTCTATCTAAAAAAAAATAAATTAATTACAATATTACTGAAACAATGCTATAAAAAAGTAACAAACTTTAACAATTCATTCATTAATATCAACTTATTAAATAAATCAATTTACAAACATATTTACACTTACCATTCAATGTGTGTAGTGCCAAGTGCCACAAGATGAATTTTCTTCTTGGAATGTAATTTAGAGTTGGTTAACAGAAAGGCGTTTGGTAGACCGAAACGGAATGGATCTTCAGAATACCTTTATCTAACTTATCCAATAACTTCATTTGAAAACAAAAACATTGGAAATAGAAAACAAGACATAAGTGGATTTTCCTCTTTTTTTTTAAACCCAAATTTCAAAAATATTAGGTTCATGACAACGCTTTTTACATTGATCTAAACTTAGTAGTGTACAGATGCACTAATATTTTATTAATTGTTTATTTATTAATTGTTGTTCTGTTGTGTTTTATTACTTGGAATATGGCATGTTTTTAAGTCCAAATCAAACAAAACCCTTTACCTGGAGACATGTTTAAAACCTTGCGGTAAACCTACTTTACCTTTATCACAAAGAGCAATGCCTCTAAATTACCTCTTTACAGTTTTTAACAGTTTATCACAAGCTGATAGCACATCCTAATAAAAAAAAACATTACAAATGATGAAAAAGATTTATTTATCTTAATTGCCATAACAAATGAACTAGGCCTAGTAATGGTTGTAGCTTAAGATGTTTTGTTAAGGAAATAAGATGTTTTTCTTCTAGTGCACTAGCCTGAAACTGTTAGTACAATACAAGGTAGACCTTAAAATTAGGCCGATAAGGCTTTCTTCTACAGAGTCTTAACTTATGATAAAGACGTATTAATAGGCCTTCTCTACTTTAATACTTTACATTGAAATGGCGACCATACAAATGTAGGTATTTTAAGCTAAGTATGAATGGAGATGAGTGTTGGATGATTGGTGCGATCTTGTAGTCTTGTTAGTGACTAAGGCCGACATGTTCCTTAGACACAGCTGTTAATTAATAGCCCATACAGTAAATATGTAGGTAACTAAGGGACCTAAATTTTATAGTGGAATCCGAACCACTTTTTTGCCTTGTGTAATTAACAAATTAGTCTAATTATCAGGATAGTACTGCAGATGGTTGTAGTACTCACTAGTGCAGACGTTAATCCACACCAGGGAGTATTGCATCGACAGTGCATGCCTATAAATATCCACAATTCGCGACCTCATAGTAGCTGGATTACAGGACGACGCCATCATCCCAGTGTAAAACTAACCAACTATGATCAGAAGATTTTTCAGTGTAAACTCAAGCCAAAAAACTACTCCCTTGGAAAAAATGGATACAGCAGCTAGTATTCTAATTATACTAACATTGTATTCTAATGAAACAATTAAATTACCTAATTAAATATAGATTTTTATATGTTATCAAATACCTTAAATGAACACCACTACAACCAAAAATTCTACTTTGTATTACAAACACTATACTAGCCTGACTCCAAGTAGACACGGAATTAAAAGTTTTATTTACCTGTATTGTCAGCACCTCTTGGAATAATCACATCTGCAAACTTTTTGGTCTGAAAAAAAAAATCTGATAAAATACAACAATCAAATAAAAATATACAATTTACATTTCAATCAAACTTGAGATAATGTTAAACCCTTGAAAGACAAAGAGGCGTAAGTACATCTTAATATTCTATCTACTTACGCCCATTTGTGTTGTAAGCGACCATTTTTAAGAAATTTAGAGCATTAACTTTGCCGACCAGTGTTCTATTTGAAGGTAACGGTGAGGTGAGGCTTTTTCTAGTGCATCTTTTGAGCCCATTTAGCACATCCCTTGTACCTAGGAATGTATTTTTTGACTTCCTCATATAATGAATCAGTTGGCCTTTATTGTTTCATATGATGAATAAAGATCTACAATTAGGGGCTTTCTTACAGACTGCAAGAAAGATTTCCTTATTAATTTCATTATTCTATTTGGAATTAATAAGACTTTAAATGGTCTTTATTTCTTGAACAAATAGAAATAAATAGGCTTGTATTACATAGGAGCTATCATCTTCAAAGTGAACAGACATCAGTGAGTTAATACAAATTTTTTTAAACTGCCTAATAGAAACAAAACTTTCTAAGCAAATCAAACTTTGTATCTATTGTCGGGACCACATAAGTTTGCAGTTGAGGGAGGAGCCTATTTACCATATGGTTTTGAATGAACCAATAAGAACCGTGCGGTGTTGCCAAATCTAATAATACCAGCTGATTTGAAAATATTGCTTTGTATCTTTAATAAGTGTTGTCAATGGGAGATGTGGCAACGTCGCACTAGACTTGTCTTGTGATTGGCTGCCACCAACTGCAAACTTACGTGGTCCCGACAATAATTAATTTATTTATTATGTATACTTACAGGAAGACAAAAATCCTCGAAGGCAGGCTTTACAAAATCCATGTAGTGAGTAAGGACATGATCAAGGTCTCGTCCTCGTTCTTTGATGTCTCGTGGCACTGAAAACAGGCAAATAGTTAAACTTAAAAATAAATTGTTTGTGGTACTTTGGTTCACATATCATAACGTAATCTTTCCTTCCTATATATTTTAATGTTTCACATAAAACAGGACTAAGTTGGAGAATATATATTTTCTTTAAATTAAAATTATTTTTCACCACACTACAATGTTTTTGGTCATTTTACAAATGTTAATTAGAGGCTGAAAGTTACGTATTGCTGTCCAGGGCTGAAATGCCAGCTGTCGTCGTCATATGGGGTCGGAGCAGGTTTTTACGCCCCTAGGGCCGAAAATCAGCTGTTTATTTACTTAAAACATTAAATTATTAAACACACAAGCAGTATCCATGCATTGCAACAGACTTGTTTTTATGTCACCGCTGCCTAGCAATTATTTATTATTATTTTAGCTAATTCCTCATATTTCTTCACATAACTTTAAAGTTGTATGTAGTTGTTTGATGTTGGTACGCATTTATTGTATATAGATATGATTTTCTCAATTTTTGTATGGTGTGGTGGTGAAAAATGGTGTTTGGACCAAGGGCCGAAAGGGTTTAGCAGTTCTCAGTCGTTTTCAGTTCTCGACTTTGTCTCGAACTTAACAAATGATCTATAGCCAGCAAAACACAATTTTTGGGCCTAGGTAAGAAATATACTATTTTATGTTCAACTAATCTTATGTTAAGCCAAGCTTTTTTTCTGGTTGGATTCTACCATTTTGGGGTGTAATATTGCATTTTCTTCACCCCCTTTTCACTGAGACTTGAGTGGGATTGGTCTGGTGATTCAACATCCCTTGGTTCTAGACTCTTCTAAATCGTCATTTTGCAACACCTCGATCGAGGGGGAGTAGATGTTGGTGGCAGGGTTGGAATTTAAGTGGCTGTACGCAGAGTGTAGTCATCACATTCCTGCTGGGCTACTACAGGGACCATTCCTCCCTAGGGTAGGCCTAGGCATCTGACTGACCTAGAGGGTCCTCATTGATCGTTTTTAGCGACCACAGACTTTTCCAAGTTTCCCCTCATTGTGTGTTCTTTACAACTGTTATTGTTCTTCTATAAACTTGTTTGATGAAGGTTTTTCTAATTTTAAAACACTTAAATTCTTAATGTGACATTTTTTTGTCTTTCTCTCTGCAGTTTTGAAAATTCTTTCACTACGTTTAACCATCTATGGTTTAACTTTGAATTCTTCAGCCTCTCAGCACTAACCTCAATTATTGGTCTTATTGATTGAAATGATTCTTCCATTAAAGGAGCTTGTTACCTTAAAATGTTGTTCTCTTACACCCTGCATATCATGCTCATTTGTGTTACTATCTCGTTGTTTTTCTTAAAAATGTATTTAAAAACTGTTAGGCCTAATTATTCTTGTTTTTGTTGTTGTTGAAAAAATTGTTTTGTTATCTTGTAATGTTTGATTGTCTTTTAACCCTTTGAGTGCCAACGTCCGGGGAACCGGACGTTTTTAAAACGAGCCAAAAGTGCCAACGTCCGGCCGACCGGACGTTTTTAGAACGAGCCAAAAGTGCCAACGTCCGGCTGACCGGACGTTTCGTAATGATCGAACAGCTGTCATAACAACCGAATAAATACTCGGATTCTTTTAACCCATATATTAACATTGAGTCGAAAGTTGCTAGATGCGATACATCGATTTTCGTTGGTCGAAATATCGAAAATTCGATTTTTACGAAATTTTAACCTAAAATTCGCCAGATCGCGCTCGGCATTTTTAGCGCGACCTTCGGGAAAAATCATCGGCATTTTTTGAGCGTTACTTTTATTTCTCGCCTGGCACTCTAAGGGTTAACTCTTATGTACAAACTTTAGTTGTTGTTTCAAGCCATTGCATCTTCTGCCATAAGACTGCTACTGACGTATGCTTTATGGTAATTGGAGTTATGCATTTAAAATATATAAATAAGTTGATCCTTTTTAGAACTAGCAAGTAAAAAAGAAAATGTTTACCTCTTCTCGCCAGCCTTGTGTCTGAGTCGGTGTCTACAAATAGTTTCATGTGGAAGAGATTTCTTATTTCCGGAAAGTAAAACACAAGGATTCCTTCAAACAGCACCACATCGGCCGGATACACAGTTGTTGTTTGGTCGGGAACACTGAAAACAACCAATCTCTAATTAGATGTCACAACACTTTGAAACATCCTGTTTGAATATTTTCCATCATAAAAATAAGGCTAGTTTGTTTCCTAGTAGCCTATCATATATATATTTTTTTAAGTAATATATTTTTGGGAAGGAAATATTTATTCATAAATAATTCTCTTTCTCACATTTACACTTAGGCTATTTTAGATTTGAAAAATGTAATCAACCTTAAAGTTAGAATACAATGGAAACTCCATGTACAATATCGAAACTTAAATTTATTTAATTATAATACAAAATTGATAGTAAAAGAAAATAAGGGGTTCACAATAAAGTTTACAATGAGTGGGGAATGAATTTAATAATGAAAGCTTTAGGCTAAGCCTATTACAATAGTTCTAAAGGTTCAGGTGTTATAATTTATTACACGAATCTTTATCTCAGGTGGGGTGATCGAGCGGCATTTGAATTTAATCTTGTGATTTTATATAGCCTAATTAAAATTTTGTTTGAAATATAAAATAGGTTCAAATTATAGATCGGTTGAATTAATTAAAGTTCTGAATATTTAGCTTCTATTAGTTTCTTGACTTTGAATTTGAGTACAAATGTCCAAAGGTTAGGCCTAAAAATGTTTTAATGGCTTCCAAAGGGGAAATGTCTGGAGTGATCTCACCAAATTGATGTCTTCTTCGCAGCAAAATTTCTTGATGTTGTAACTTAATTATTAATGTTTGTAATAAGGACGGTTCTTTTTCAATCGAATTTCACTAATTTAGGTTCAAATATAGACACTTTTTTATAAATTTTGATATTAAAATAGGTAGTATCCAATTTACATCTTCATACTAGCTCAGCTCCATTGGAAGTCATGAAGGTCTGATGCATTGTTGCACTCACATATGTCAATGCTGACTTAATCACATAGAATTGTAGGCCACTGTTCACGTCATATACTATAACAATTTTAATTTGCTATAGAGCAAAATTTTAATTTTGAAAAGTTATTTAAATAAAATTATATTGAACTTGAAGCAATTTTGTTACAAAAATTATAGGCTATTATATATTTACATGAAATTAGGTTATTTGAAAATTTATATATTATATTGTATTAAATTGATTACCTTTTGGTCTGTTTGGTCATATATTATACAAGGTTTGATAAATTGACATATTGATACAAAGAAAACATATGGTGAAAGTTAAATTATCTATGAAAAATATAAGTGGAAATATTGAATTGTTACAAAAAGTATTTTTTCCCAAAAAACCTATCCAGAAAAATTGGATCTAATCCAGTTTTAATCGGCAAATGGTAGCCTATGCTAACAGAATATGGAACATTATTGGAAAAATGAAAGAAACCCTATAGATTTAACCATTAACTAAATACTTTGTACTGTGGCATTAAGTAACATCTTTTTTAAGGTATGTATTGTATATTTAAATCTTATCTTGACAAAGACCTATTTATGATCAGACAAATTATGATTGTAAAAAGCTCAAAATGCAATCCAACTCGTCATCAAAACAGGTCAAAGATCTTCACAAATATTGAAAATTGGCTTTTAAATCCATTACAATAGGCTATATTTATGGCATGTGATTACTCACACACATGCAGTTTGATTTAAAGGAGGTAGGCTATTAAAACATTCATGCAAAACAGAACTGAAAAATGATTAAATGCAGGCCTGAATAAAATATTGTATAATGATAATTGAGGTAGAGTAAAAAAGAAAAATTATAAAATTTTCAAGCTGTCATAAACTTACATAGAATTTGTGCGGTAATCATAAACGGGAATTTCCACCTTCTTGCCAGCAAGGACATCTTGCAGAGTTTGGAAGATCTGTTCGTCATTAAACGCATCTGGAAACAACATTTAATAAACTCAAGTTAAAAGCATTGGTTTTAGCGGCCAGATGTAATCAAAACGCACTGTCAGAGATGTTACCCTTTGACCGTCCTGTGTGCCACTAAGGCACGTCCATGTCACTGGCCCGGCCATGACGGAATTAGTACATAAGAATTATGCTAATATTTAGTACCTATTTCGTACTATTTAGTACCAACAAACAAAAAATTAGTACCCCACTCAGTACCGGATAACTAATTAATTTAGGATTCCGGGCCAGTGACATGCTGGCCCGGCCATTTTCGAATTTGATCCTAATATGTATACCATCATTTAGTACCTATTTCGTACTATTTTGTACCTCCAATAATATAATTTGTACCTCAAAGACAACCAAGCTACGGGCCCGTTAACTGTACAGGTCAATGACCCCTCAGCCCGGCCATATCGGAACCTATGGTTATTAGCTATACTACTATTTAGTACTTATTTCGTACTATTTTGTACCTCCATTAATATCATTTGTACTTCAAAGATAACCAAGCTACGGGCCCGTTAACTGTACAGGTCAATGACCCCTCAGCCCGGCCATATCGGAACCTATGGTTATAAACTATACTACTATTTAGTACTTATTTCGTACTATTTTGTACCTCCATTAATATAATTTGTACTTCAAATATAACCAAGCTACGGGCCCGTTAACTGTACAGGTCAATGACCCCTCAGCCTGGCCATATCGGAACCTGTAGTTATACTTTTTTGTACCTTTCGAGGTAAAAAAATTACCTCAAAGATAAACAAGCTAATTATGTTACATATTGTATGTGTAATCATGTTATTGTTAGTGGTTAATTACCCCTCATCCCGGCCATGTCACAGTTTCTAGTTATAAGGTTTGCTATTATTTAGTACTCAATAATTAACAAGTGATGCAGTTATTTGGTGGTTATCTCCAACTATTTAGTTCTTCATATTAAACAATATGTACTACTCATACAACCCAAGTAATCAATGTGTCAAGGTTTAGGCTATTTTGGTGCGAGGGTACTGTGGTGATTTTTTTTATATCATTCAACATTAAGTTCACAACTTTGTTAATTTTTTCTTTCTTTTTTCTTAATTAATTTATGTTTTAAAACTTAACGAGCTGTTGGCCCGTCCTACGTACGGGAATTTAGTAGTCAACTAAAACTGAAGTAATATCAATATTTGTAGAATGTAGAATGTTAGCGTCGGCTGCTACTTTTTACAATTTTAAACTTATCTTCTAAAAAACTGAAACCCTAAACTAAAATTATGGCTTCAACATTCCCTAGTTTTCAAAATTATCTGTCTTTCAACACAAAAAACTTGAAAATCCGTCAAGTGGTTGATTCAGAATCGTGAAATAAAAAAACCCTGTCACGTTTTAATATTTATGATGATCAGCAAAAGTTGTAAACATTTGTACTATGTAGCAAATATAATTGCATAAATCATTCATTAATTTATTCATTCATTCATGTAACTGCTGTTTTGCTGCTAGCTTTGTGATTGTGAGTGTGACTAGAGTGAGCCGTAAGAGGGAAGGCCGGGAACGGTGGTCGTGGGAAAGGAGGTGAGGAGCGATAATTCCCTCCCTCCCTTTTCAAGGTCAGCCGCCCGACCTTGCTTACTACCAGTGTTACCACCTCCTCCTCCTACTCCGAGCAAAATATCCCTAAATCCATTATTATATTTTTGCCTGGAAATCTCAAGATGTCGTAAAATGTCCCAAATATGTCCCAAGACTTACACTTGTGGCAATAAAGCTCCAAACACGAGTTTTTAGAATCAATTGTACAAGTTTTTGGTTATTGATGATGAATGTCAATGCCAAGCAAACCAATTCGCACACTATTTACACTTTTCTTAACTGTATTCAAAAAAGGTTAAAAAGGTTAATATGTTGGTATAGTTGTTATGCTCGGTTATTCTTTCATTCTTCACCAAAATAGGTACTACAATAATAATTAAGTTCAATTCCAATATGTACTGGTGGGTTTGTTTATAAAACAGCTACATATATTTATTTATTTAGGGGTCATAATTTATGAAGTTTTCAGTGAAATAAATTAAATATAAAGTCAAATAAAAATCCCTAGAAATGATTTTGTCCCTAAAACGGTCCTTGCGTTTTAAAAAGTCCCTGGATTCGGGACAAATCCCTATGAGTGGCAACACTGCGCAATGGCACAGCCGAATGGCGAATGCTCGCGTCCATCCTTTTGCACGTGAGTGCCATGAGATATCCATCTTGTGTTGCGATCTGTGTGTAACTCTCGTCATGGAGTGAATCAATGGAATCAATTGCCTTGTCTTAAGTCGATAGTTTTTGGTGAGTGCTGTTGTAGTGAGTGCTTTTGGGTTTTTTTAGTGTCATAAAAAATGAAGCGTGGTAGGCCTAGAAAAGTAACTGCCGAGGAGGTGTGCGCAATTATTTCGCGTTACAAAACGAGTGTTGTTATTGCGGGGAGGGTTGTGGCACCGTCGAATCCTGTTTTTACCGAATTATCCAGTGTTTTAAGTGGTCAGATGACACCAAAGGCAATTTATCTTTTCATAAAAAATAATAAAACTGCTCAGCTGAAGCACAAGGAGTGGGGACTGCATGTTAACGAGGAAGAAGTTCAACAGATGATGGGATCGGATATAAGCTCAGACCTGTCATCAGTAGAAGGTAAGAAATTATATTATTACCTGTACCAGCTGCTTTTTCATTTTCATGTTGGCAGCCTCTGAATCGTTTTTTTCAATAAGTGAATGAATGGTTTAATTACCTTTACTGTCAAAGCGATCCTTGTAGTCTTAGTAGGCTGCAGTTTCGATAACCTTTTCATGGTATCTTCTTCAGGCTAGGGACATCATCTTCGTTCGTTTTCACGAACACGTCATTTTGAATAAAAACCATTGAACACACGGACACGAACACGAAACATTTAAACGACACATTAAACATAAACTGTACAAATACTGGGACGGCATGAGTGTGTGGTGGTCCGCATGCGGACGGCTGGTCTAGACTCGGACTGTGTTATATAAAGTAGGTATTTTATTGTGTCTTATATAATTCAAAATATTCGTTGTTTTAGACGAAACCATGTGAACTACCACCTACCGTAGTAGTTCAAGAAGTTGAATATATATTAAGAGGATTCTTGGGGTTCTGCGGAAGAACAACATCTTTTACAAGTGTTGGACATTACGTGGCATACGCTAGAAGATCTAACGACACATGGGAACTCTACGATGACACCAAGGACTCGAAGAGTTTTGTCTCTCCTAGTAAACAAGTGCCGTGTCAAGTTTTAGTTTACTCAATTTAAATTATCACAGCTAAAGAATCTTTGTTCGATTGACATCAAATGTACAGAAAGGCGTTATGCATACAGTACTGACAATAACTCAAAGTAATAATAGTAACATTTTCAATATGTAAACTTATGAAAGTGTAGTGTGCCATACAAAACTCGTTTTGACTTTAATAAAATGTTTCACTTGATACTTAAAATGACTTATATTAAAAGTTCATTCAGAATTGTTTTGGGACAAAATGTAAATATAGACAACATAAGATTGTTATTAATACACTATTTTCATGATTCGTAATCCTAATTCCCTAACTCCATAAAAGGTCAACTTTAATTTGAGAATATACACAGAAAATGAAAGATAATTTTTTTAGGCTGCACTTAAAAAACAGGCTGTTGACGTCCCACACTCATTCGAATCACCATATCGATCGATATATCGATTATTTCATTCGATTTATCAAGTTTGGTTGGATAGGTTAACGTAACCAAATAAAGTAATCGATATACAGTATCGAATAATCTATAGCCTATATCGATGTGTTCATTCGAATGAGTGTAGGACGAAAACAAGTGAAGCCAAATTTTAAAATATTAGACTTTTCCTGTTAGTCTAGTTTAAAATTGTTTGTTAGTTTGATCAATTTTAATAGCCGGTGTTAAATAAAAGCATTCCTCATAACTACAGGTTGAGACATGGTCGGGCTGTACTGAGGGGACATTGGCCTGTACAGTGTGCGTGCCAATAGCTTCGTTATCTTTGAGGTAAAATTTATTTTAATGGTGGTACGAAATAGGTACTAAATAGTAGCATAGCTTATAACCACAGGTTACGACATGGCCGGGCTGAGGGGTCACTGACCTGTACAGTTAACGGGCCCATAGCTTGGTTATCTTTGAAGTACAAATTATATTAATGGAGGTACAAAATAGTACGAAATAAGTACTAAATAGTAGTATAGTTTATAACCATAGGTTCCGATATGGCCGGGCTGAGGGGTCATTGACCTGTACAGTTAACGGGCCCGTAGCTTGGTTGTCTTTGAGGTACAAATTATATTAATGGAGGTACAAAATAGTACGAAATAAGTACTAAAAAGTAGTATAGCTAATAACCATAGGATCCGATATGGCCGGGCTGAGGGGTCATTGACCTGTACAGTTAACGGGCCCGTAGCTTGGTTGTCTTTGAGGTACAAATTATATTAATGGAGGTACAAAATAGTACGAAATAAGTACTAAATAGTAGTATAGCTAATAACCATAGGTTCCGATATGGCCGGGCTGAGGGGTCATTGACCTGTACAGTTAACGGGCCCGTAGCTTGGTTATCTTTGAAGTACAAATGATATTAATGGAGGTACAAAATAGTACGAAATAAGTACTAAATAGTAGTATAGTTTATAACCATAGGTTCCGATATGGCCGGGCTGAGGGGTCATTGACCTGTACAGTTAACGGGCCCGTAGCTTGGTTGTCTTTGAGGTACAAATTATATTATTGGAGGTACAAAATAGTACGAAATAGGTACTAAATGATGGTATACATATTAGGATCAAATTCGAAAATGGCCGGGCCAGCATGTCACTGGCCCGGAATCCTAAATTAATTAGTTATCCGGTACTGAGTGGGGTACTAATTTTTTGTTTGTTGGTACTAAATAGTACGAAATAGGTACTAAATATTAGCATAATTCTTATGTACTAATTCCGTCATGGCCGGGCCAGTGACATGGACGTCACTAAGGCACTGCCTCAGCCCAGCTAGGAAGAATGCCACTTCACAAGAACAAAGCAATTAATTACATCAGACATGACACCACAGGAAAAATTATGGATTGTGTGTGACATAGGCTACCGATAAAATAAAACCATTTCAATTAAACAAGATTCTCAAAGTTAGTGAATACAAACGTTTAAAAAATGATAGGGCAAAACAAAAATAAAACAGACGAGATGTACAAACCTGGGTGGTCAAAGTTGAACTGTCCTTTAGCAGCTTTGGCCTTGTCTGTCGGGGACAGCTCTCGGTAGAAGCTGTCCTGACTGATAGTCACAACTTGTCGCTCAGCATGATCCATGTCAACTTGGCCTAGCTTCTCCATGATCCTCTTGCATACAGTAGACTGAAATAAAACCCATAAACTGTCACTTGCCTACTTTATGAATTATTGTTTCTAGAATGTTGGAGAAGGAAGGAAGATGCAAGAAGCAGATACCTATGGAGGCAGTGTGTTGGGGAGGCCAAGTACCATCTAGGGTACTAGTGGCCACAGCAGTAAGTAAGTAAGAATGTTTTATACTAAAATTAATTTTTCTAATATCAAACATACATACTAATGCAAGTATTAGGTTGATTCTTAAAACAAAAAGGGAGTTGAGATTCATAAAAATTCATTCATTAAGTCAGAATTGGGTTAGAAAGGCCAAGTCGGTTGTAATTAATTGTCTATAATTTTATGTTCCTTGTTGCTGATCTTAATATGCTATTGCTATCTCAATGGTTGATTATTTAAGTATTAAGTTACGTTAAATAATTTCTTGATCAGCATTTTACGTGTTATTAAATTTACGGAAAGTAAATAAAAGAAACGTCTTATAACACTTAAACATATATTTACGCTTATACTGTTACTCACAAGACGGCAAATATACAAAAAAGATGGTAAGTGGTGATCGATTTCAATTGGACACTCCAATCATCATCAGACCCAATAGGTGAATGACAAGAATCTTGATTGGCGCCCCTACTTATATCCTATTGGCTACCGGAAGCACCAGCCAATACATTTTTATAAGTACAACTGGAGTCAAAATTTACTTGTTCATTAATCAGCTTTATCTGTTTTAATTTTTCCTTATAAATATACAATTCTTCCCAAGGATTCATTACATATCCTTTCTTACAATTCTTCAAAATACATAGATTATCCTCCATTTTTCCTATTGAGTGTCCATTTTGTAACAGGTGTTGTGCGACATTTGATCTTTCCGGTTTGTTGTTCCTTCATGCAGATATGTGGTTTTTGAAGCGGTTGACGAAGTTCACAGTCTGTCCAATGTAGAAGTTGTCACAATCGTTACAATTGATTTTATAGATGCCTGAAGCGTTGAATTTGTTACAATCTTCTATTTTTGGATGCAGTATTTTACTCATGGTGTTCTGAGTCCTGAAGGCTATTGAAACTCTGTATTTCTTGAATCTATTAGCAGTCCTTTGTGTTGTAGTCCCTGAGTAGCTAAATGTGACATATCTGGTATTTTCCTCTTTTATCTCTTCTAATGTTGTTCTGCTGTGTAGTTTATTCTGGCTATTGATTTTTCTCCTCCTCTTTTTTGCAATGTCCTCTATTGTCTTGGTTCGAAATCCATTAACTTGTGCGATCTTCTTAGTGGTGTCCAGTTTTATCTTCCTATTGGCTTGGCTAAGTGGGATCTTATGCTCGGTACAGCATGGATCTAAATCCTGCAGTCTTTTGGATTGTCGGATGGATAGACTTGCTGTTGATTGTAGTGTCCGTTTGCGTAGGTTTCCTGTAGATGTCAAACTCGATCTTGTTGTCTTTTCTCTCTAATGTGAGGTCCAGGAAGTTGATCTTTTGGTTTTCTTCAAACTCGTTGGTAAAGGTGAGGTTCGGATGGTGGCTGTTAAGTGTCTGCACCTTCGTTTCGTGCTCTTGCTCCTGGGATTGTCTGAAGATAACAAGAATGTCGTCTACATATCTAACATACAGTTTTACATCATATGATTCTTTCTTAATTTCTTTAGCATTTCTTTTTCCTGATGCTTTAAAAATATTTCTTACAAAATTGCCGAAAGTGGACTTCCCACAGCTAAACCATCTGTTTGTTCATAAAATCTATTGTTAAAGCTAAAATAATTTTGTTTCAAAACATTTACAAGCAATTTTACAATCTGATTGACATATTCATTGTCTAAACGGACCTCACATTAGAGAGAAAACCAACAAAATTGGGTTTTGTATTTTGGCTATCTTTGCAAAAATTACAAAATGAATAAAACTGGTACCTATCTACTATTGCTTTCAAACTGTTCAAAACACTCACACATGCAGAGTCAGATTTCACAATAATAGAATGCAGAGTGGACAAATATTTGCTGAGCTATGTACTAGTACACTATAGGCTACTCTGTTTGTTTTGGGATAGTTAGTTTTATTCTCTTATTTATTGTTAAACTTGTAGTATGTTATAAGTTGCTATAGAATTCTACAACTAAATACCCCCGCCGCAGCCATCCTGCAGACTTATCGAATTTCCATTTGCCTGATTGGATTTACAATAAAATGTCTCCTTAAAAATATCACATTTATTCCCTATTTAAACAGAATTATAGTTTAACGAGTACTTAGGTTTGCTGCAACAGGGAGGTAAAAAAAGTTTTTTTTATGTTAAATGTTAAAAGTACTGTAGTTTAGTAAAAAATAATGTATTTTCCAAATTTGATCAAAATATGTTCATAAACAAGCATACTACAACAGTTGACTTATTCTCCATAAGAATAACATGGGAATTTTAAAATTACAATTTTTTTTAATTTTCTCCGTAACAATTAGGCGCATAATAACACTTTAATATACTAAGTTATTTGTTTTTTTAAGATCTACAAAATGGTTTAGAAAGAAATTGTGAAATTTAATTGTGTTTTTAGGGTCAAAAATGGGGAAACCCTATTTTTACCCCATTAAACCCCCATAAACCCCTGTTCCCATAGTCCGATCATGCTGGTTCGCGAACTCATTCAAGTTTATCCCGCCTTACACCTTCAACCCAAATTTTATCAAAATCGGACAAAAGTTACTCAAGTTATCGTGCGGATGGACACACATATATATATACATATATAAAAATTTGAACGAATGGTGTTTTTGGCCTCTGGGGGACATCAAAATGAAAAAGTAAATCGGTCCCGGGCCTAGGTCTTACCATGAGACCTACGGTAATAGCTACTTCCCTATAGGGAAATTCGCTAAAAGTCTAAAAATAGTTCACAGATGTTTGTAATTAATTATCTATACAAATATTACAAAATGAATCAAACTGGTACCTATCTACTATTGCTTTCAAACTGTTCAAAACACTAACACATGCAGTGTCAGATTTTACAATAATAGAATGCAGAGTGGACAAATATTTGCTGAGCTATGTACTAGTACACTATACCCTGTTTGTTTTGGGATAGTTGGTTTTATTCTCTTATTTATGTTATAAGTTGCTATAGCATTCTACAACTAATAAAAAGTCTAAAAATAGTTCACAGATGTTTGTAATTAATTATTTATGCAAAAATTAGAAAATGAATCAAACTGGTATCTTCTATTGCTTTCAAACACTCACACATGCAGAGTCAGATTTCACAATAGAATGCAGAGTGGACAAATATTTGCTGAGCTATGTACTAGTACACTAAACCCTGTTTGTTTTGGGATAGTTAGGCAGGTTATTTCTTAAAGTATAGAATTATGCCCATGTATAAACTGCATTCTTTGGGAATACCGACAACATCTAGTACTGTAGCCGAGTTACGAGATGGTCCCTGGAATCTGGCCTAGCAATTTTTTTAAGGCGTTATCACAGAAAACATACTACTATAACCCAGAATGCCAACCGCATGGTAAAAAGCGTTAAGTACTTTAAGAGAGCTTTGCCTGTCAATTTGGAGGCAGCACCACCAGCTTTGCTATGCACTCAGCATAATACAATGCAAGCATTTTTGAAATCGTTTCTCCGTTTAACCAACTATTCCAAAAGATAAAAAAAACAATATGGTGCAACACAAATAAACGACCCGATTACCTATAACCTATACTTCAACTTATCTAATCTAACCTTACTTCAAAGGACAATGGAGCCACAAATTCTCATAAACCTGCCTTCCCCACATGCCTTTTCTGCTGTACAACCAATTTATGTAACCATACAGCACGTCTGATTAGGTTAGGTTAGTTTAGAATAGTTTCATTTTATTTTAATGTGATTCAAAATCACCCTAAAATTTACAATATTAAATCAATGGTCAGCTGGTAACCCAAACCATTCTAGGAGCCCAAGAGTAAGTAGTCACCAGTCTGTATCACTCCGCTCCTCGTTCCTCGGCAAGCAATGTGCTCTGCGACTTGATAAAATAGTTCCGTATATTTTCTTAATTTGCAGAGGTTTCCACGCCTTAAAAAATTTTTTTAAAGGTATTTTCTTGCTTATTAAGATCGTAGGAATAATTTAAACGTTTAAAAGAAAAGTCCTGAAAGTTCAGATTTACCGCTGATAGGTAGCTAGCCTAATTAAAAAATCGCATAAAGTTTACTACTGTAATCAAATCGATAGTTTTAATCAGGGACCTTATTTAGGACCTAGACCCCAGCTTAAACGTTCTAAACTATTCTAGGACATCAATAATACTACAACTTTATTAAATAATTTTTTGGCGCCAAGACCTCCTTTTATTATTAATTAAATATATAGGCTAAACAATAATCCCAATTCACTAGGGGGCCGGTAGGAATTCGGGGTTTTGGGTGGGGGAGATAAAATGTGGTTAATCATGGGGAGAAAAGAGCAATTTGACGGGTAAAAGGGTAATTTATAGGTAGGTAATTATCCAGCAAGAATGGGAAATTAATATGTATAAATAGGTACTTTCCTTTGCCGCCGACGACGACAAGCAGAGCCGGCAGAGACAGGAAGACCATCAGAATTGTATTGTACCATATGATATAAATAAAAACAATAACAAAGTAAAAATAAAGTTGTTTGTTTATTTTATCCTAAATATTTAGTAAAAAAATGGCTTTAAAAATATTTAAACAGGTCAATAAAAAGTGGTGTAACATCTATCACCTGTGTGAATAGCCTATCCTTAAGTTACCTCTAAAAACCTGAAGTTAAGTTTTCAGTCTTCTTTTGTTTGAATATTGATAGTTTTATTTATTCAAGTACGGTACATTAAAAACATACACCGATCTTAACTGAATTTTTACATTCAAAACATCAATAAAACATATAAGCAGATCATAACCTATTTCCATGTTTGTTTACATTGAAAATAAAAATATTTTAGAAACGATATATGGAACCGAACCTATATCGATATTTCTGCAGACATATGTTACGAATACATAGAGAAAACAAACTCCTCAAGAAGTATGGAATTAATAATTAAATACACATATGGAATTAACCAACACAAGTTATTTATTTTCTCAACAAGTGAGTGTTCATAAGATCTACATGTTGAAATCTTAACTGCAGTATACATTGCTATTGAAAACAGGATTTTACAAGAAATACAGAGGGAATTCAGGTTAAAGTGAGGGAATTCTAGGGGTAATTGAGGTACGGTGACCTGTCACTGCAACTGCATTGCTATGGATTTGTGGTAAAACAGATCAACAGATGATGTAACTGTGCAGTTTTCTGATTGGCTGATGGTTTCTTTTGTGCAGTAAATGTGATTGGCTGGTGGTTTCTTTGTTACCGGTAGTTGTTTGTTTGGAACTGTCTCCATGACTCCGTGTTGTTAAGTAGTTCAAAGTGAAGTAGTCACAAAAGATGTGATTTCAAATTTGCTCAAATTTGTGATTAATTTTCATTCTGATTGTGTCGGAAAATCACGTTCGTACATTATGTAGAAAACGGGGTGATTCCTGGTGAAATACCGTGATAGGCTTATGCCGTGATAGGACTTATGTATTTGTTGACAAAGTGATTTTAATTTTTGTTGTAGGCTAATTGCTGGTTGGCTATCGGCCGGCAAACCAAAGACATGGTGCTCTCCGTGCGTGCCGGTTTTGGTTATCTTTGAGTGAGACAACAGGAAATTATATGTTGAGTGCATAATTCCTTGTGAATTTTTCACATCGATGTAGTGAATCCAACATTCTCAAAGTGTGGAATTGTGTAAAATTGGTGTATATTAAGGTTTTGGAGGAACTGTTGTTAGGGTCGGTTTTATTATATTAGGTACAGTCAATATTTGGGACTGGAATTGCTTTCCCCCCCAATTATTATCCTCCAAAACTTCATTTTATACACTTTTTACACAATTTCACACTTCAGAAAGTGTTTTTAAGCTGGGGTCCGGGTCCTAAGGTATTAGCATAGGTAGCCCAGTTAACCCTCCAGCTGGCATGCGCCCGATATTGGGTGCATTTACAACATAACGGGAATCACCGATTTTTGCACGAAAATGAAAAAAATTTCACTTAATATAGTATTTATTCGGTTCAGAAATGAATAATCTGTCAATTGATGTGCATTTCAACTATTTATACGCCTTTGGGAAAACTTAAAACTCTATGAAAATAAAACATCAGCTGACGACATTGTCATGGTGACGCAATTGCTTATTACCAGCGTCTGTTGTTGTTTATTTCGCGTTGTGTTTGGTTAGATTTGGTGTTTCTTCGTTAGGCCTATAAGTTTTATTTTTTATTGAAATGTGAGTTGATTTCACTTCAAGATGAATGATTGTAACTACTGTGACCGATCTAGTGAGTTCCAATTCTAAGTAGCGGGGAGACATGCAATTCAAGTACTAGGCCTAGTGTAGGTTGTACACCGAATATGTATAACTTAAGTAAAAACTGTTATATGTTTTTTTTTTTTTTTTTTTTTTTTTGTTAGCCTACATTAAACAAGGTAGGCTACATGTATTAACTTATAACTTAGGCCTAACTTATATCATTCTTCTCCTCATAGAATCCTGCACAATTGGTATATTTTGAAAAATTATTTTGAGTTCATTGATTTGTGTTAGGCCTATATTACGGAATTATATATGCATACAAATAAAAAAAGTTTCTGTTTAGGCCTAGTAAATAGGCCTGTATACAAAAAAATTTTTTTTGTTGATTCAAATTTCATAAGTTATCTAAAATGTATAGGCTATAATATTAATCCTTGTTTTTTGATGAAAAAATGATATAATATACAATATGTTTTCTGGGTTATTTATATATTGTTTTATGTGTCCTAAAAAATGGTTGTGTGGCACCTAAAAAACCCTTGCTACTATAGAGTAAAATGACTGCCAGCTCTAGGGTTAAGAAACTGTACCCCCTATCCCAATTGTACCCCCTTATGTTGATTCCAAACATTAAATCCTAAAAAGTTCTTTTAGAATCCTGACTATGATAGGCATAGGACTAGGCCTAGGCCTATGCCCTCTGGCTCAACTAACTTAGGCTACAATGATTTGTACAATTTTTATTTTTTATGATACAAAATATGCAATTACAGCATCAACCACGTCAGAGAAGAATACCTAGGTAAAAGTTTAGACTTAGACTAAGGCCTAACTACTATTACTTACTTTTCCACTAGCAGTCCCACCAGCAACGCCAATTAGAAATGGTATCTTTGCTTCAACATGGTTGGTTTTTGAATACAGTCGAGCAGCCGCGGACATTGTAAATGTGATATTATTTGTTGCGAACTAATAATAAAAGGAAACTTAAGAAATAAGTTAATTTATATATTAAAATCAAAATCAAGCTAGCCTAACATGGCAAAATGGTAATGTTGTAAAAATGCTAATGGAGAACAACAGACGACAATATTGCCTCTTCAGCGTTTTTTTCTTCTTCTTCTACCCAAACCCGATGCCCATACTAAAAAATAGTGTGACACATGGGAGTTAAGTGAGGATTACACAATTCAGTGCGTTCTAGCATAGATTAAAAATAAATAGTCTTGGGAACAATGTATAACTAGAGCTAACACATTATTTAGTCAATGATAAAACATTCTCCCTCACTAGATTTATCATCCTTATTGATCAGATTATTGTTAGTTTTGTCCGGTGCACTGTAAAGGTCGTGATTTGTTTCTAGTTTTTTTAGGCATTTAAAACCTCGTTTAACCAAATAATACACCCGCCACAGCAAACCTGCAGACTAAGCGATTTTCCATAATTTCCATTAAAATGTCTCCTTTCAAATATCACATTTATTTCCTATTTAAATAGCATTAGTTTAACGAGTAGGTACTTAAAAGTATGCTTCAAGGGGAAAATACTTACTGGGAGGGTAAATAAGTGTGTTTTGTAAAATGTGAATAGTTTAGTATGAAATAAATGCATTTTCCAAATTTAATCAAAATATGTTCAGAAACAAGCTAAATACTACAGTTTACTTATTCTCCATAAGAATAACATGGGGATTTTAAGTTTACAATATTTTAGAATTTTCTCAGTAACCATTAGGCGCATAGTAATGCTTCAATATACTAAATTATTTGTTTTTTAAGCTTTACAATATGGTTTGGAAAGAATTTGCTAAATTTTTTGTTTTTAGGGTCAAAAAAAGGAAAACCCCCCATAAACACCCGTTCCCGTAGTCCGATCATTCTGGTTTATGCAGTGTTATATGCAGGTTTACACAATTATACCATATGTAATCAAAATCGGATATGTGATGTGGAAAGCGAATGGGAACCTCTTTCAGGAATTTGCGATTTTGAGTTATATATATATTTAAATTCCTTATTAAATTCCGAATCGATTGGTTCAGGTCCCACACATGTATGATTTTATTTTGTTAAAGTTATAGGACTTTAAAGTTTTAATAAATCCGATTTTGGTGTTGTTTTATGGGTTTTTAGGGGAAAAAACTTAAGTTACAATAATGTTTGAGCCGTAGTTTTTACGGATATCACTTCGAAAACCACTTTTTTGCATTCAGGAGGACAAAAAACAAATATATCCACTCAAAACTCTTAACTCAAAAATTTTTACGAAAACAATTCTTTCTCCACCTACTAAGAGGAGAAAGTAAAAAGCACTTATGAATAAATAAACCCTAAAATAATAGAAAACTGCACACTTTACGGTCAAACAGGAGACTGGCAAAGAATACAAAATCAAATGATTGTTAATGGTGTTTGTTTGTCAACTACTTATATCATATAAACAGTTTGCTTATATTATGTATATACCAATTGTTTTGTTAATTACAATTTCAGTCATTTTACTTGTCTAGATTTTCTACTGTTGGTTGAAGCTTGAAGTGCATTGTGGCATGCATAGAATGTTTTCCAAAACACTATTGAACCCTTAAAATTGTTCTTGCGGTTGATGAATAACATTTTTATGGTACAGATGTATATCATCTAGGCAATTTCATGAATAATTTATTGATAAGTACAGTACATACACATTTTAATTAGGTATTTATTTGTTGTTCCACCTTTGGTTTATTCCTTTATTGAATACACCCATTAAAGACAGTTCTTTTTGCCTTTTACAACATGATGAAATAGCCACAATGCCACATTTTGTTCACGGTTTATTGCTTGTTGGCGAACTAAGAATTTGTCTAATGTGAAACAGAAAAAAACGTTAAGTGTGAAAGGAGCTCATATTATTGAGCTATATTTAGCTTAGCACCAAAAGGACCGTCCAATGTACTAAAAATATTTTTCTAACGGATTTTAATTTTCAATAGGTACAATAGATATTTCAAATTTCTTATAGTAGGAGATCGTATCACCAAATTCACAGTTAAAGGTGATATCTAGCAATGATAATAAATAATAATAATAATAAAATCTACATACAGTTTTAGGAAAGAGAGTACTTTGACTTAACATAAAACTATATGTTAAAAATGGCTTTTGAGCATAACACTTGTTCTTCTTACCTTGTTATTTCAATTGTTGGATGAATTCTTTAATGCTGTAGCTATAGTTCGGCCGCTTAGAAAACAACCTGCGCGCTAATGCTAAACCAATGCTGGAGGAGGTCGCTTTCTAAGCGGCCGAACTATAACATTAATATTTCAGAAACTATATCTATCTTACTCTAAAAGTTTTCATGTCTAATTTAGAAATAAACTATTTTTAAAGCAAAAACTAATGTAGGCCTACTGGGGATTATAATAAGAGGACAAAATTACTACAAAACAAAATTTAATATGTCATCAGGAAATGTGACTAGTAGAGGACCTATAATAAATAATTTGGAAACATTGAAAATCACAGATTATATGAAATTGTATATAATTATATATTTTAATAGTGACAGTGAACGATTTCCGATAAAAGAAAACCCAACAATAATGTTAGGTCAATCAATTTTGGAATGTTACAGGTTCAATCAAAATTTGTATAAATTACTTTGAGTAAAACTGTAATAAATACCTTCAAATATCATTTACACAAAGACTTAAATAATAAATATCAGAAAACTGACACATACTTCTTTCCCATTAACTTGTCCACACCATGAAAATGGATAAGCGATGCGGATAACTATGATGTTTTATGGGGGAAACCACAAATATTTTAATAACTTTCGAGCTACATTTTTTACATTTTGGTTTTACTTTTTTTAGAACTAATAAGACTATGACTTACTACATTTTAAATAAAAAATTGTTATAACTGTTTTTGCAAAAATCCGATTTTCCAGTTGGTTATGGGTTTATCAGTCACTTTGATAACTACTTTTTGGGTTCAGAACCAATAGAGATATTTCTACTGAAAACTCAAAATAAAAATGTTGAAAAAGAATACTTTCTCTGTGTTTTATGTATAGAGAGAGAAAGTAAAAAATAAATAACATATTCCATGGACAAGTTTAATTAAAATTTAACCAAGAAATTTAAAAGATTCTAAAAAAGCAGGAATTGAAATAACTAGAACGTGGATGGATGGTTTGAAGAAATTGAATGCTTTGGTAGCTTCAACTGTTTAAAAATAAATTAACTATATACAAACAGGATGCCAATATCATCTGAAACTATAAATGATGATATAATACAAAGTAACACGAGGTTGTAGCCTCATGCTAACTGTTAACTATCTGCCTAAGGATAATTCAAGCTTGAAATTTATGGTATTACAACAATTAATAATTGGTTACTATTTTCTGAATATAACAAGTCACTGTGTGTATAATTAATGCAGTTGAGTAAAAAAATGGTAACAAAGATGTGGATTGAAAATTAAAAATATTTTTTTAAATTAGCTCTATCATCTTGAACAGTTTATCTCTTCTCTGACATTTTTTCTTTATTTAAAGCTTGGATAAATTCTTCTAGCTTCTCTTGAATCCTTTTTACTCTCTCTGTAACGCAAAAACATTACACATTCAAATATAGTAAAGATAGTATTTTAGACAAAAAGTCCAGATCACTAAAAAGTAGTAATATGTCGCAGAAGTTCGAGCTGGTCTAATAATAGAGCGGGGGGCTTCAGATCCCAGGTGTGTGATGTCGTAGAAAGAAAGATCAGTGATGTATTTACTTACATTAACGTACACAAAACACCATTAGTGCACAAAAATCCTAGATGATAATACAGGCTAGTTTTTCAATATTTCATTAGTTTATCGTATTTTTGTTTTGTGTTTCTGTTATTTGGGTTCTTCTATGATAGATGACCCGTTATTTTAGTCACACCTGATGATGGACTCAAGCCCTCCGAAACTACTGTTAGTTCTACTAAGAAAGGTTCACTTGACAGGAAAGGAAACTTCAACTATTTAGTTGAAAAATGCAAAAAATATTATTTCTGGCAAGAAAGAAAAGCAAATGCAGAGATATTACAATATAGTAGACAATTCAATGTTAGACATCTGGAAAGCGTTTTGTTGACGGTTGACAAGAAACTACCATACTGATTCTGGTATCATGTATATCATACGCATTAGCTCATACGTATCAAACACCATTGATTGTCTTGCCGGGGAAAAAAATAGGACTTTAAGTTCGGCCAACAGAAAAGAATTTTAGGCAAAAATGTATTTAATATTTTTGTTTGTTTCATTTTTTGACGAGATACAATTAACATGTCCGCCAGTCGCGTAGCTAAAGCTAGGCCTAGTTGTTTTAATTGTAAATATTTATGAACTTTGACAACCTTCAGAAGAAGTGACAATGTCCTTGGGAAATCCTGAAGAAGGCACCATTGTTAGCCGAAACTAGTTGTAACACAACCACTTGGATTATCAACATTACAGGTATTTAAACCACTTTAATTATTTTTTGTGTAAGAATGTGATCTTTTATCCTACTAATATTATAAATGAGAAAGTTTGGATGTATGTTTGTGACAAGTGAACGCGAAAAATACTGGTCGGATTGGGCTGAAATTTGGCATGATGATAGCTCACATTCCCGATTAACATATAGGCATATTATTATTTCAAAAATCCTTTCGGGCTCCGCCCCAGTGGCTCTGGAGTTTCCCATGTTAACCTTATGAGAAATGGAATTATTGAATCTTAACAGCTGTTTCAATTAAACAAGTTGGTTCTGTTCTATGATGTTCAATAGCATTAAAGTTACAAGGATTACCAACAGGGTGCAGCACTATTATTTCTTTACATTTATGACAACAGCTAATTTGCAACCAAAAGGTGAGTGAGCGTAGCGAACGAACTTCAACCTGGAGGCGAGTTAGCTAGCGAACGAGCTAACCTGAAGGCAAGTGAGCGCAGCGAACGAGCTTCAACCTAAAGGTGAGTGAGCATAGCGAACAAACTTCAACCAGGACGTGATTGAGCCATGCGAACGAGATAATCTTGAAAATTAAGAAGTTAAACGGGGCAAAGCCCGCGGGTTACAGCTAGTTATTTTAATATAGGCCACTTGATAATATAATCGGTTTGATTGCTATGTAACATAATAATATAATCTATTTAATTGCTTTAAGATAATATGAAGTGTTTACTTACTAAGTTCTTCTGCGAGGGTCACTCTCCTTCCAGTTAACAACTTTTCTTTGATTTCAGAGTTCTGACTAAATTCTTCTAAAACTTGTTTTATTTCTTTTTCAAGACGTTGAGCTGAAACAAACATATGTTTTTAACTTGCAAGATACCATTTAAATCATACAACAACCGATTAAACAATTGATTAAAATTTGATAACTCACCGACAACTACAACTTTGAATCACTATTTTATAGCTTATGCTATAATTTTAAAATATTTGTGCCCTTACATTAACTTATGCTAAATGTTAGCAATACACCAACACAAGTTTTGTATGATCACTAATTTCATTATACTGATAAAAAGCGTAAAATAGGAGATCTGTCGAAAATAAAATCTTGTATGTTCAGAATACCACACACTAGTAGGACACTAGTATAGGAATGAGTTGATGTATTAAACATGAGACTTTTCTTACCTTCCCTGTTCATGACTTGTTGTCGGAGAGCGTTGGCTGTTACTTTCAGCACCTGGTCAATGCGCCAGAACAGGACTACATCATTGCACTCCGTCTGTTGAGTAACAACAAGGAGAATAAATCATTGTCTAAGATGGGGACACATTGAGCTAAAAAGTTTTAAGTGAGAACAGACTAAATAGAAGATTGAATATCATCTGAACTGGACTTTACTTATCCTTAACCATTTTGGGTGTGTTGCCAGTCTAGAGGCTAGCGTCTTTGACAATTGATAGAACTAGATAGTAGATATTCTATCTCCATGCTAAAGCTGTTGGCAGTTTTAGAATGACAATCAATGTAATTGAATTAAATTGACCATTACTGAATGCAAGGAAATTATTGATTTATTTTGAATATGCATTGAATAAGTCATACCACAGACAAAAGAATTAAATCGACTGGCAAAGGAAGGTTCCTCGATATGCCGCTAGAGCGTGCTCACTGTTCTTCGATTAGCTGCCGTCATCAACTCGCTGTCTGCTACCAGCACTATTACCCTTGCAAACAAAATGCTACCAACGTATCAGACCCACTTTTCAATAAGGGCAAGATAACAAATTCTGAAATTTGGTTATTTTAACGGAAAAAAGCCTCTTTTTTTAAATCCCCAAAAATGTTAAAAACATGGAAAAATAACAGAACAAACTACAGCTCCCTGGAATCCGGGGAATTCCCCTGAAGTTGGCAACACTGGCTCCAAATACCAAGTTGTCATGGCAATTCTCACGAGCGCTTGACGCTGCAGTGGTGGGCACCGAAACTACACGGCACTCCTAGTGGTGGACGCCAGAATATATGCTAACCGTAGCACTGCTTTCGGTCTATATTTAATTCTTTTGTCCATGGTGTGATGGGACTGATAGGACAGCTTATTGCAAATCTGTATGCTATAGCATATTTGATACCAAATCAACTATTTGAGTAACTAAAACTCTTGGAGAAAATATATATTACCGTAGCACACTCTGTAAATGGCTAAAATGGGCTACAGCAGGTACACATAGATGGGATGTCTACGTCAGTATCTCATTCCAGTCGATACTGGCGTCTATGATTTCAGAGAGTGACTGACACAATTTGCTTATCCACATTCACAGGAGTTTATATGCTTTCTGTTACAGGTGAATGTGATTTTACACACAAAATAACACTATCACTAACAAACAAAAACTCAACAAATCAAACCGATTATAGTCGTGGACGATACGACATACCTCAAGCCCCTCGTGGTAGAGGTAGAAGGCCCGACGACAGTCGTACGCCCGAGCAAGGCTCTGTTTGAGGAAATGTCTGCGGTACACCGGGTGCCACACGTCTCTTATGAACTCCGCATCAACAGTGACACCGCTTCGCTGCAGATTCTCTCTGATGGTCGTTACCTCGTCCTGGGTCAGCATGTTACTGTGCTTCTACAATAACCAACAAAACTGTGTTAGTTTACCATTAAATCTTCTGTTTGGATAACAGGCTTATCTGAATGGGAAAGAGTCCACTCTGCCAGATGAAACACAAAAAAACGTTACCATACATAAAAGTTAGAACATCTATCTCAATGTCACTGACAGCATTTACAACCAAGGAAGCTGTGAATTGGGAAGAGAAATTTTACAAACTGACTTCTCTCTTCCCAAATCAAACCGTACTTTGTTGAGAATGTTATCATAAATCATAAATCATAAATCTTTATTGGTCATTAAATAACATATGTTACAATAGACCTCGTTAACAAAAAAAGGGCCATAGATTCTAGATAGTATAACATGGTCTATAACATGGAATCTTCACTAAACTTAAATATAACAAAGACAACAAGAAAATAAAGCTAAAATCATTTGAAAAACACAGAACTATATATATGAAACAAAAGTGAGGTACCTACTTAAACAAGTGTTTGAAAGACTAGGTAACAGTTGACTAGGGACTAAGTAAGAACTAGATAACAATTTTACCATTACAATTGTATTCTGCAAAAAATTCATCTAAACTGTAAAAAGGGTGGTCAGCAAGCCAAACCATCAACTTTTGTTTTAGCCGAGTACAAGGAATGTCAAGTATTTCACTTGCAAAACAATTTACTATTTTTACTGATATACTAGCAAAACTTTGCTGTACTGTTGTTAGTCTGGTGTAGGGCCTATCCAAAGCAGATCTTCCCCTTGTGTAATATGAGTGAAAATTATTTCTTGAGCTAAAGAAATGTGAATTTTGTTTTACAAAAATAACACACTCTAATATATACAAATTTACAGTTGTCAGGATACCTGTTGCTTTAAAAAGAGGTTTACAATGGTCCCTCAACCCTGAAATGGTCAACAGTCTTACAGCCTTTTTTTGAAGCTTTAAAATTATTAGAATGTGGGTGGAGTTACCCCACAGTAACAGACCATACTTTAACAGACTTTGAAAAAAAGCAAAATACGCAGATCTAACATACAAAGGAGGAACAAAATCTCTTAGACGTCTAATTAAAAATAAAACTCTTGACAATTTCTTACTTAAGTTATATAAATGGGTTGACCAGCTTAAATCACTATCCAAATCTATGCCTAATAAATTTACACTTGACGAAAAATTCTTTTCTTCCTCAGGTGTGCGACCTAACCTAAAAACAATAGTTTGAGTCTTTTCAGGATTCATAAAAAACCCATTGACACTGAACCAGTTCCTAGCTTCATTGAGGGAAAGTTTGGACAGCACCATGAGTTCACTAAAGGTACCTTGACTATTTAAGAAAGTGGAGTCATCCGCATAAATCACAGAAGTACAGGACATACATTTATCCAAATCATTAATCATTATAAGGAAAAGAACAGGGCCTAACACCGAGCCCTGGGGCACTCCGCAAAAAACCTCACTCTCATCTGACAATATACCCAGTGGCTGGTATATTTGGTATATCAGTGGCTGGTGTAAATTTATTGTGTGTTTCTTGTGACATAGAGGACTCTTTTCCTTTCAAAATCCTATAAAAATTGTTAAAAATCCTCAAGCTCTATGTTACACTCTTAAAATATTTGTTAAATTGACGAATTGTATTTATGAGCTTTGGCCTATATACGCAAGATTTATGAATTCTAGACAGACTTTGCAGGCTAGGAAGCATGCTGGAGGTGTTTGTGAAAATGTTGTGTGCTTTGCACTCATTAGCGAATCTAGCATTAATAAATCTCTGTTGGTTAAAGGAGTTAGTCAGGACAGGGTACCCACAGGACACTGATGCAGGTTAGGTGAGTTCATGTAGTATTTTATTAAGGAAATTATTTTTTACTTGTATGACTAGAAAGTAGTTATGGAAAAGATTTGATGCAGTGTTGTTGGGAAAAGGAGAAAAAAACAATAAATATAACCTATGATTGGGGGGGGGGGAGGGGGAGAAACAGTTTAACATTTGATACACAAATGTGTGTAAACATGTTTTTATTAATTTAGATTAGCATTAGAAAGTCTAGTGGTGGAGCGCAGGGCTTTTTGATAGGTGAAGGTGGGACAAAAGCCAGACAATTAACCTCAGTTTTTAAGACTAATAAGTATTAGGCACTTACATAGTTGGAGTTTAATATTTTGTCAAGTTCCCGCTTGATTGCATTACGTTTGTCCTGTATCTCAGACGTGTATTTCCAATACAGCCAACGATCCTTGAATCCAGGTCCCATCTGATCCGACAACAGCTTCTCCGTGGCCTGCAAGAAACATGAACCTTACAGCATTTATTACAGTTGTAATAGCTTAGTTTGTCTGCAAAAACAGAATAGGATCAATGGTTAAATAAAACACAAGAATTTCTAGTTTTGACGTAAATGTTCTTTCTGTCCTTCATTCAGATAGTTTTGGGTGTAAATATTCTTGTGTCTGATTGTAGACTTATATGAAGACACTGGGAATAAACTTATATGATGTTTATTCAAATCTTGTGCTCTTTGAGACTAAGATAAAAAAAAGAAAACAATCTTTTCTTTTTTCTGACAGTATTCCAATTAATCATGATAATTAAGGTAATAATTTTAAATTTATTGAGTGGTAATTTAAAGCAAAGGCTTCTGTCTTGGAGTCCTCGGTTCAGTTCCTTCTTATCATTGATTACATTTTTCAGTGTGATCAAACCGTGAACTCGTGGTTGGAGTTCATCTAAGTGGCACAGCAAACTCCTGATAATCCACAAGTGGATTTACCCTGCTGTGAATTAAGTTAATAGGTTGGTACACTGCATTCTAGCTGTTTTATTGTTGTCTGAACCTGTATTAAAACTGAACTACATTCAAAGTCAATGTTAATAAGGGAGAAAAAGGATAGGATAACTGCTTCCTTTACCAATGAAAGACTCCAAGTATCTAACGTAACTCTCAATGTTGAGAAAGAGGCCAGTGGCCTTGAAATATCCAGTGTTTCTTTTGTGTTTTCTTCTGTGTTTCTGTAGTGAAGTGGGATGCCTAAATTTCTAAAGGTAAGCCTGCTTATCCTATCCTTTGTCTACCTTATTCTCAGGCAATAAGCCCTTTCTATTCAAACCAAGGTCAATGTTAGTTATATCACAGTAATATCAGGTTAGGTTTGCATTATCCCAGATACATTATTTTACCATTCACAATCAATCAGCCACTCATGATCATAGATAATCGAGAGTCTACTGTATGTTTACCGATCTAGTAAAAACTATACCTCTCTCTGTAGAAAAGAACTTTCTCTATATTGGCTTAAAGAGCTTTTCCTTTCAATGCAAGCAATTTGGTAAAAAAAGTGGGATAATCGTGTTGTTTAACTGACACATAAACAGTACATCAAGGCTACTTACTGGTTATACATCGATATTGTTATAATACATACATTGAGCTTCTCCTTCACACTGTTCTCCAAGAACCGAACTGCATCGTCCCACGCTCGCTTATCTCTACAGTTACGATCTGCCAGGGTGTTCAGCTGGATTACTCGCAACACTTCATTGGCCTGTAATCATAATGTCAATTAGTTTATTGACAACCCTTAAAACGCCATAGATTATCGTTGCTTTAGATGTTATCGTGGCTGGACACGTAGTGTAGGAACGCTCCAATACTAAGATGGTGATGATAGCACCCTCCGAAGTGGTGCTAATGCGAAACGTCTATTAATTTCTGAATCCCCCGTTAAATACAAAGTGACAAAGTGTAGAACAACTTTTTAGGAATCAAGGATTGGTATTGGCCCATCCTTATTTTTTACGGTTTAACCTAAAAGTTTGCAGCTTTCTTGGTTTTAAGTACCCACCCTGCATACATAAAATTGTAAAAGTAAAACACTATTTTCTTATAGTACCTAAAGGCTGAAAGTACCTTAGGCTCCCATTTGTGCCTGGACATGGCCTCGTCTATTACAGCTTGCTTGAGACGGTCAAACAAGTCGTCGTAGTCCTTGGTGCGCTTGCGGCTCTCGATGAAGTGGGTGAACTCATGTCTCAACGCCTCCCATCCAGCCTCAACGGACTTCTGCGGCAACGTCTGATTGGCCCACTGACTCAGCTTGATGTCTACGGTCGTGTTGAACATCTCTACAAAATATATTGTTGAAACAGTCAGTTGAAATAACACATGAAATGGCATGGATACAGGCCAAAATTTGGGATCACAGCAATCCACTGTAAAGTATGCAGTAAAAAAGGAAGTAAGAAGGATTCTAGGGAAATTCAGCGATTTCCGAGGATTATAAATACAATTTTTGTGTATTCAATTTGTTTACACCATATATTGTATGTTTTAGCAGGGCATTTTCTACTAATATAAATCATCACATAGCCCAGGATTTAAAAAAAATCATAAAATTTAACAAAAATCTTCTAAAAAGATAAATTTTTTAATACAAAGTCCATAGGCCATAGGTTAGCAGAAGTTTTCTGGATGACTGAGGAGTTTAGCTGAATCCTTTCTTCCTGTAGATAGATTATTTTTATTTTGTTCTAGGACGCTAGGCATTAGCCCGGGATCGTCTTTCACATACTTCTGGCTAGACCTAAGAGTTGTGGCATTTTTCACTTGGATAAAATCCATCGGTGATCTGGCGGGATTTGAACCAGAAACCTCAGGGACCTAAGTCCAGCTTCCTTCCCCACTGTCAGATAGTACACACGTACTTATTTTAAATTTTGTTACTACAGTAGAACTCCCAATTATCGGATCAATTGAGACCACACCCCATTCAAATAATAAAAAAATTTTGCTAATTGGATGTTTACCCAAGTTCAGAGTATTTTAAAGAAAATAGCCTGAGTCATGCTAAGCTTTTACCTGGTTGGGAAATTTACGCTTTTCCGCGATCACAGTCTACGATTAGGGATTTCTGTGAAGATAAAAATTTTCACTTTTGATACAACAAGACTGTCCATCCCCATGTTAAAGCCGTTGCCAGTTTTTTAACCAAAATCGTCAAAGTTGATGTGAACTTCAGACGATTGTGCTGATCTAAATTACTAATTTATTTTGAAATAGACAAACTTTTTTACCAAGTCAAACTAATAGAATGACTTATTGTGAGCTATAGATACTGTTATGTATGACCCATCAACTTGGAACACTAGCGCATTATGTGACTGGCTCACACAACTATGTTCTTTTATAATAAAAAAATGACGACAGCAGGTCCAAATAGATGGGATGTCTACTTTTATCCAATAGTCAATGAAAAGATTAACTTTTTAGACCCCACAGGACATGTTATATAATCAACGATCATCCATAAGCAACAACTTACTTGGATCTCCGGTCTGAACTGCAGGCAGATAAATGTTTTCAAACACATTCAGAGAGACTTTGTCCCATATCTTGTGGACTAGAAGCTCCTCCCAAGTCTTCACCGACACTTCGCTCAGGTTCACCACCTCGTCCAATATCTCCCCTCGGGCTTTCTCGAACAACTCGTTGCGGTCGAGTTCTCTCAACCGAGGAAAATTGTTTTTCCACTCTGTCTCCAGATTGAACCGAGTCGCCTTGAAAGCGTCCGCTTGCTGCTCTACCGTCTCTTTCACCATTTTCCAGAAACAGTCCGCGACCGCTCGGCTTAAGTTGCGAGTAGTCACTTGTCCAGTGGCCGTTGCGTTTCTGTAATTTGTAAAGTTATACATTACGAGTGAATATCTCATACAGACCAGCTGTAGGAAATTTTTTTTACTAAAATAGAACAAATTTAAATAAGCCACTCACAAAGGCCATTAAAACTCGCTTTTCTCTTTTGGATTTCACTATTTTGATAATTAATCTGGAAAAATGGGGAAGTTAAAAGTAGCTTAGCCCTTCAGTTTAGCTTGTATATGATCTAAAAGAGTTGGTGTGGGGAGCGAGCTGGCGTAGTGGTTAGAGCGCGGGACTTCAGTCCCTGAGGTCCCGGGTTCGATCCCTGCCAAGTCACCAATGGATATTGTCTAAGTGATAATGCCGCAACCCCTAGGTCTAGTCTGAAGTAATGTGAAAAACAATCCCAGGCTCGTGCCTAGTGTCCTAGGACAAAAAAAAAAGAGTTGGTGTATAAGATTGAGATTAGCAACTGACAGCAGCACACTCTGTCGGTGACTCAATTGAACTACGTTCATTTTCATTCTAAGACTGACAACAAATATCATATGGGGATGGATTGCCACGTAATATCCAAGGTCAAAGATAAATGCTTTAATAACATTTACTAGTTTTGAAGATTACTTAACAACATTGTTATTTTATAGAGAAACCTATAAACATTTTGTAATGGTATACAACTGTGTCTTAATGGAAAAAGGGATTCATATGAAGTATTTAAAAACTGAAAACAGAACCTTGCGTAAACAGGTGTTTTTAGAATACTGTTCAATTGAACAAAATAAAAGCACAATAATTTCATAATCTGTAATAAAACAATACATCACTGGAGCGATCTTATAAAAAATGAAGGTACATAATTTGTACGATTATACAATTCAAAACAGAATTGAATTTGATTGATTGTTGGTTATTTTCAGTGTTAAAGAATATTATGTTCTTGATATCATAATGTAAAAAACAAATACTCCTTAAACTTTATATTCAAAATAATATGTAGTTGTAGGTGTTATGTCGACAGACTCAGTTCAGTACCCGTTCAGATTCAAGCAAATAAATAAAAATACTAAAATGGAAGTTAATTTTTCCTTTATTGGCTCTTGTCTTTATAAAACATTTCAACCATTTTAACAAAATATATAAGTAAAAAAATATAAGTTAAATAATGGGTTATGTATTTGCTTGGTGGTTATACATTTGTTTTAATATTTGATAGGACATTTGACTTACTTAAACAGCCTGGAGCTTCTGAAGAACTTCTCCTCGTACTCTTGAATACTTTGGATAGAATCTTCCTTCCGACCTCTACCAGTGACCACTGCAAAGTAGCCTAGAGCCTTCATCGGAAACAAATTTCCTGACAGGATCTTTTGAATCTGAAACAATTTTCATAATATTGACAATGAGTGATTTTTAATAAATTGATAAAAATACATATTCTGACAAAGTTAAATTTATAACTTAGATGAGAAATTAAATTTGAGAGTTTGTCAAAAAGAAAACACGAGGGGTCCCTTCACTTTTCAATCTACAAAGTTTAACCTTTTCCACAGTAACATTTACAGGACGTTTATAAGGGTCAGGAGTCTTAAGCCGATTACAGGTGAAATCTTGTAGGAATTAATACTATTAGCATGAAACATTTTTCAAAAACCAAAAACCCCCATAATTTATTTCAAGATTTAACTGCTTAATTCACACCACAATCTAGGATTTCACCATTGACAACATACACAGCTTATTCACGGTTGGTTTTACGGTTGAGTGAGTACCTTGAAACACAATAGCATGTCTTAAAACTAATAAAGAGAAAAAATTTGACTTCAACAAACATGTGAGCATGATTTTATTCAATACGTCAAAATTTTAACAATTTACAAAATACTTTCTTTTTTTTAGATAATAGTTTAAAATATATTTACAGTAGACCCACAACAACCCGACAATGCACCTGTTCGCTATTTAACAGACTTGAGTTGGGGGTTCCAATCGAGAATAAAAAAAAGAACAGCAAAATTTTAATGTTTCATACCTGATGCTATACTATGTTTCACTGTGAATACTGCTAAGGACACTGGGGGAGCTAGTTGGTCTAGTGGCAGAGCATGGGACTTCCGTCCCCAGGACGGATCAAATTTAGCCAATCACCAATGGATTTTCTCAAATTGAAAATGCAGCAATGTAATATTAATGTTCAAAAATAACTTAAAGGAAAAGTTTCATAAAAAAAATCATTGATAGAGGTGTTGTAGTATTCAATTACCCTATCTGGGTTGGCCAAGCTCTCCTCGGCGAGGTCGACTTTGGTCAACACAAAGATAGTACGTTTGCCTTGCGGGTCCATCTGGCTGACTAGATCTGTCACGTTGCTACGTTCTGCGTCCACACTCCTGTAAATAAAGCAAAACAGTTAACGACCATTCAAAATTGGGTTACCATTATTTGTCAACTGTTGGGTTTAGCGGATGAGAAATGCTTATCATGTTAAGGTTTATAATTAAGTTTCCAAAATCAACTAATGACTCAACTCACCCGTCCTGAATACAGAGTATGATGGCGTTGGGGTTCTCCATGTACTGTCGGGACATCTTGCGGATAGCTTCTGCAGTGTCACTAGCCATGTCCTTGGTGACTGTCTGCACAACAAACATACTGAATGTAACATTAAGCAACAACAAACACAAACAAACTGACACACTGAAAACTACTTTGAACAACAATAAAACTGAATATCAACATTGGTAAGTCTTTTGTGAGGATAGCAGGCTTGCCTGAATGGGAAAGTGTCCAAACTGGCACAGGAAACACACAACTTCACACTAAACCCATATTAGAATATTGCACTGTTACTGACAGAATTTTCAACTAGGGAAGGTATGATTTGAAGAGAGAGTTTTCCTAACACCTAATGGTAGCCAGGAAGTTGTACTTATACTCACTGGCCACCTTTGCATCTGAAGAAAATTCTCTCTTCAAGTCTCACTTGACTTAGTTGGAAATGCTGTCAGTGACAGTGAAATATTCTAATGTTTTGTATACAGTGTAAAGGTTTCTGTTTCTTGTGCCAGTTTGGATTCTTCCCAATTCAGGTAAGCCAGCTTTAACAACAACAAAATCCTGTATACCTAGACTCTTCCGCTCTATGTTAAGCTGGTTTTTCTAAGGCGCGGAAGCGGAGTGCGGAGAGAGGAACGCGGAGAGCGGACTTCTCTTGTCTTAGGTAATTTAATGTTACCGTTTTCCTAGAAGTGGAGCGGAATGCCATGTTAATCGCTTTTCCGCTCTCCGCCCTCAGCTATCCTCTTCTGCGTCTAGGAAAACCCGGCTTTACATCCTTAACCTTAAACTGAATTTGAACGTTGTGCAACAACAATCACACTGAAAGTGCTAATAAAATGTATTCAGCGAACAAAGGGTTAATGAAAAACAAAAAGGATCTAGTAACACCTTTTAGAGTTTTTAAACTTTCTAAAACTGTTAATACTCACACTGATGATTCCGGGCAGGTCTACCAACACCATCCGATGTAGACCAGGACCTTTGACTGTCATGGATATCACTTCAGAGCTCACCGTCTTGCCTGACAACACACTTTTCTTCATCCGCAACTCCACCTGAGAAAGATCAGGTAGAAGCAATTGTTTGACAAATCGGTATAGTTATAGTTAAAACAAAAATGTTTTGACAATTAATATCTTACTAATAAATAATATATGTAGGTAACTGTAGTTAATCTATTGCATGAAAAAACAATGTTGAGAAAAGAACTCTTTGAGAGAATTTGGAGAGACCAGTTTCTTTAGTTTGTGATAATTTATGATGGATGTGTTTAGTCATAACCTCCTCTAATAGAAGTCCGCGGTGGGACAAAAGTGGCAACATTGCTGTCCCTTCAAACCGAAACAGCTGTTGCACTGATTTATATTGGAGCATATAGGCAATGTTAATGTTTACACTTCTATTATTTCTGCGATTACCAAGGCAATAGGCATGCTGTTGCGATGTTGACCATCGCTGCAGCCTTGTATTAGAGGACGATGGTTAAAAGAAGACTTTTCTTAACGACTTAAAGATTAGTCAATTCATTACTTAATTACATCTGATACACCCTTTCCACCCAAATGCTTCTCTTGTCTCTATTTTATGATGGTCAACAATTAAATCTATATTAGTTTTACCTGATTCCGTAGCTCCTGTAGATCCTTCTCCTTGGTCAGGTCGTACTCACGGTCCGAGTCTCGGAACTGAGCGATGTGGTACGGACCTTCACTGAGTGTCACCTTCACTGGTGCTCGAGTCATCATCTCACCAGCGCCGCTAAACGCATCATTGTCATTGGGTGAATATTATTTTATAGTATAATGAGAGGAGTTTAGTTAAAATATTTATTACCTTACAATATCCTTTGTTTTCATGTACCCACACTAAATGTTTCATGGCGACTACAACCTCATCAGGTACAACCTCTTGCACGATTTGTAACAAAAAAAATTTAAGGTTGAACACAGAAGACACTAAAAAATACAAATGACACAAATAACTAATATCTTAGAGGTTAAAGTAAAGGTCGAGAAATTGCAGAACGCCTTTTCTGTAACAGTTGGCGACAATTGTGATGTCTCCAGAATTATGGAAGATGGTAATGATTTTGCCTCCATTAGGGGAGATGATCACGCTAATATTATTAGCTTACCTTGAAATTTACGGCTGCACTCTAAAGTATGTGGACTTGCGTCTTAAGTAAAAAAAATTATTCAACAATGTTAAGGGGTACATGACTAAAGTTTTATATTTCTGATGAGGCTTAAAGCCTGACGTTTTGTAAACTTTTGTTACTACTACGCCTAAGTTTACCAAAACTTGTACAAAATATAATATGTTTGAAAATTGTTATTTTGCCCTCCTAATTACTATCTTTATAATTTTATTTAGTTAACTTGTCAAACAAACTAATGCCTACATGTAACTTGTCTGTACTAAAAAACCATCTTAAGTATACCATCTTATATTTTGTTTAATAATAGCCTAAAACCTATTTTGTAATTTTCCCCCATCCTATCCCATTGTGAATATCAGTGACAAAATAGTTTTCTGCCCTGTCCTGTCAAAGAGTCAAAACTGCTGTTCTGGAAAATCTCTAAAACAAATTATTGTTACGTTATCCGATGTGCGATGAATAATCCAAATTACCGAGGGAATATCCTGGCCTGAGCTATCATCTCCAGCACCGACGTCTTGCCTGCGCTCTGGTCTCCCACCACCACCACCCGAGGTAGATGATCCTGTGTCTGGTAGCTGCTGTCGTAGCCGGACAGTTCATCCAGCACGTCAGAGTACATGTCTATCAGCGACTTCTACAACAACATAACCCTTGATGAAGAAAACACCAACAGCTGTATACACTTTCATCTTTGTGTATCTGAAATTATGAGAGAGAATTCAATTTCTTTTCAGGTTATGAAAAAAGTTTTATAAAACTCTTTTGATAAACGTCTAGAGATTAGAAAACACTTTAAACATTCAAAAACTTCAAGCCTGTAGTGACATTACAGATTACAGATTCTCAAAATCAAAAGTTTGATTTTCAAACAATAAATAAGACAGATGTAATTAAAGTTATTAAATCTTTCAGTAATAAAAGATCAGCAGGCTGGGATGAAATTCCTCTTGACATTATAAAAACTGTTTCCAATTCTATAGCTGAACCTCTTTCAATTATCATAAATCAATCTTTTCAAACCAATATTTTCCCAAATCATTTAAAATTTGCAGAGCTTAAACCTCTTTTTAAAAAGGGAGAAAAACATAACCCAGACAATTACAGGCCAATTTCACTCCTGCCTACATTCTCCAAGGTGTTTGAGAAGATTGCTTGTAACCAAATCACAAATTTTATGGAAGCTTTTAATATATTTTCTGAAAAACAGTTCGGTTTTAGAAAAGGCCTTGGCACAATGAATGCTTTAGCTGAGTTCATCGATGAGGTGGCGTGGGCCTTGGATGGGTCGCAGAGCACAATGGGTGTGTTCTGTGACTTGTCCAAGGCATTTGATTGTGTTAACCACAACCTTCTTCTAAAGAAATTAGCATTTTATAAATTTTCAACTAAATCAATATCTTGGCTTGGATCCTACTTAAATGCTCGCTTCCAAAGGACAAAAATAACTAAAAATAATCAAGAAATAAAATCTAATTGGGAGGAAATTACAGTCGGGGTGCCTCAAGGGTCCATTCTGGGGCCACTTCTGTTTCTTATATACATAAATGATTTACCTAAAAATGTTTCCAATAGTCTTATTCTGTATGCAGATGACACTACTGCAGTTGTCAAATCAAAAAATTATGAGGAATTAGTTGTCAAAGTTACTGAGTGTCTTGATGAGCTAGGGAACTGGTTTGATAAAAATGGATTGAAAATGAATCAAGATAAAACTCAATTGGTTAGATTTTTTACACCCCAGAATAGACAAAATGTAAATGCTTTCACACAGCTTTCAACTGATGAAAATGTTAAATTTTTAGGCCTGTACATTGACAAGCATTTGGCGTGGGATAGGTGTGTTGAATATGTTTTGGGCAAACTCAACTCTGCTTGTTTCCAAATTTTATGTTTAAGGGATACAATAGACTTAAAAACTTCAGTGATGATGTATTACACTTATTTTTACTCCATACTTCAATATGGTATTGAATTTTGGGGCTACTCAACAGATATAAATAGAATTTTCAAAGTCCAAAAAAGGTTTTTGCGAATCATAACTTTTTCACCATGGAAAGCTTCATGTAAACCAATTTATAAACAGTTAAATATAATGACAGTTCCAAATTTGATTATTTATAAAACCTTGTTAACTGTACAATCCAACTACCCTCAATTTTGCAGCGGAAACTTTGAGCATTCGTATAATACGAGATTCAAAAATAATTTTCAGTATCCTAGACACAATCTCAAACTTGTTGAAAAAACACCTTCCTACATGGGGAAAAAATTTTTTAATAAATTGGACCCAAAATTAAAAATATTAATAAATACTAATTCTTTTAAAAGCAGCCTTGCCAACTTTTTACTAGGTAAAACTTATTACAGCATTAATGAATTTTTAATGGACAGCTCGATTCTGTAATAATTTTCATCTTTAACTTTCGACTTAATCTCCTTTTATTGTAATTTATTTCTATTCTAAGACATTGTTTATAATTATTATATTAATCTTTAATTTCTAGCTATTCATATTTATATTTACTTTTTAATGTTATTATTACATAATTTGACAATGTCACCTGTTTTTTAGCTATGCTATAATTGAAAATGTTATGTGACAATAAAGAGATATTTATTTATTTATTTATTTATTTACATACAAGTATCAATTTTATGACACCAATTTAATGCAATAACGATTCTTATCATCGCTTTATTTTGAGTCTTTAAAATGTAATCCTACACATGGTAAATTTTGAATAAACATAGACAGTATATATTTTCCTTACTAAACACAAAACAGCAAAACCCTTTTGTTTAACGAAAATGTGCTAGATATAGCACAAAAACAAAGTTAGTGAAGGGTACATTCTGTATGTACAAGTTCTGTTAGTGATCTTTTAATTGCAAATGGGAAAATGTGTGACCCATATTGGATTCAATTTTGAACTTACATCAATTATATATTTTAAACCCTTATACATTCAGCTTTGTATATATGTGGAAAAATTAAAAAAAATAAAATGTTTCTGACATAACTGGCATATTTATTTGATAATCATAACTGTATTCCTCTTATACCTGAACTTTATGATGCGTATGAGTTGGATTTTGCCTCAATAGTAACTGCTGTCGCAAATGTTTTGTTTCTTTCTCTAGACGAACCACTTCTCGTTGCATGTCTAACAGCTGGTTCTCTAGGTGTTCAATTTTTTCATCCGCTGCAACAATAAACCATAAGGTATTAATTTTTACTGTAATTAATTTGTTTCAGTTTCAATTGATGAAATGAAGTTAAATGAAAAAGTTCCTTTATTTATGAAATGGCAAAGCAAACATTAATATCACTCAGCATATATACTAGTTTACTGATAATTTTTGAAATTTTTGAAATACAGAAAAACAAACAATAATTGTCAATAATCGTCAATTTTATACGTTTTGATCAGATTATACTCTTGTATCCAGTTCCATATTTTTCGCATAGATAACTAATGCCAACCGATCCTTACATTTTAAATTTCTTTATACTCTTTCTTATTTAAATTTGAAACACCATAGTAAAACAGTCTTATTACAGAAATAAATTCAGTTTCAGTTAGAATGCTTTAACAGTAAGACTGAATAATTCTAGGGGTTGGCACCACACTCCCTAAAGTTAAAGTTTTTTCCAAACACTTAATCAACCAAAAATATATGAAATGTGAAATCAAATTCTGAGAAAATCCCTATGAGAAAAATGATGAAAATAATATATTTCCCAAACATTTGTACCATTAATCAGTGCTTCTGATTATTTTTGAGTAGTAAAGTTAACTCAAGCAATAGTGCCAAAATTGTATAGTTTTCAATAATTTAGGGTCGCCAGAAGACTGTCCCCAGGACAACTAACCCCCCCCTGCCCACCCCAGAGCAGGTTCTTACGTCAGGTTGACGTCAGAGATCGGGTGGCAGTTTTCCAGTCACAGACACTCAAGTTTCGCTGTCAAAGTGTTCTAATCTAATCTAACCTAACCAACCAAACTTACTGTAACATTTCAAAATTCTGTTTGATATTCCCCACAAGCCTTTACTGTTATCAAACAGATTTACTGGAATTAAAATTACAATTAAATAGCATCACATTTGGCTAGGGAGGGTAGAATTACAGTACGGACATGGCTCTTATTATGGTTAGTTGGCACATATCGTGACGTCAGATTGATCTAGGGAGATGGTTATCCAGGGGGTAGTATCCCGCATCCCATAATTTATTGTGGAAATAATAACACAGTTTTTTATTGTTTACTTACCCTGTTTTTGGGCGTCTCCTCCTGGTCTATCAGCAGCTAGGGCGTAAAGTTTCCCTCCATCAAACTTAGCACCTAAAACAGAAATCATTGCTTTGTTTAAGAAATAGAAAGAAAAAAATTACAGTTTTGAAATTATACTACTGAACTCTTTGAATAGGTACAGTAATAGCCAAGGATTACAATTATGATCCTTTAATTCATAAGTTATGGCAAAATGTTGTAAAAAATATGCTGGATGGGTAATTACTATAAAAAAGTTGTTCATGTTATCCACTTCTTCACAATAATCTAGGAACCTAATTCAGAATCAACAAAAGGATCATACTTACTTCATACATGCTAACATGAAATAAAGGGTCTGGAAAGTCACAGAGCTCTACAACCATAAAATTGCACAACTGTTTTTGATCACTGCACAGTTTGGATATGACAGATAGCTAGACAGTAAACCAAAGATATAATGGTTATCAACCACAGAACACTGTGTTATCACAGTAGTTACCACACCTATAACTAAACAGTTTCTATTATAAACAAACTTATCACAGTTGGATGTATTAATAGGTAACCCTGTATTTTTTGTAAGTTCAACTTATGCTCTCTGACATTCAAAACCATTTCAATTTTTTATTTCCATTGTGGATGTATTAGCTTTAAGAAATAAACTATTATTAATTTGCTAATTTAGTTTATAGAAAGTTGAGTTGTTTTACTGTTACAAATGGGTGTATCTTCGACCCCTTCATTTTGGCTATACATACAAATACAAATTAGAAATTACGTTGGTTGAATTACTTTTTGTTTAAATTTGTCAATGTTTGTTAGGCTTAGCCAGATTATCAACAAAATAGAGTAACAACAAATAATTTCCATTTCTACGTCATGCAGTTAACATTTACTAAAAAATATAAGTTATTTACAATAGACATTTGATTTAGATTTACTGATATCTACAAGTTAAAGTTACTAGGGTGCTTTGAAAAGGTTAAAATTTATTTCACAATTTTATCACTCAACCAGTCAGATTGGCAAGAACTTTTTCAATATCAACTGCTAAATTAGTAATCTTTCTTAATATATCTCACACCTACAATTACATAATGATTATAAAATATCACCATTATACGTTGTATAATTACAACAACTACGTTGAATTGGTTTGGTCTAAAATGAAGTAGCATCAAACAATTATAGTTTGTTGAAATAAACAAAGCGTTTATGAATTATACAAATTTGTACTGTTGAACTATAAAATAAAATAGAAAATGTTTAACCCCTTGAGCTCCAAAAGCTGATATATTGGATACTAGATTAACATTAGCAAACTTCCACCAGTGGCGGATCTAGAACAGTCACAAGGGGGGGGGGGTGGGCAAAACGGTTGGTCTGGGTGATTCGGGGGTACCCCCCGAAAAATTCGTGTAAACTAAGTTCTCCAAAATGGCAGTTTTATACCATTTCTTTGTCCAAAGTTAGTGCGACAAATTATTTTACACAATGTGTATGCACTACTGTATTACATGCAGTAAAATATATCTAACAAAAAACCACTAAGTGGTAACACTTCCCCCGCCAAGTCAGCAACCCAAAAAAGACAATAAATCACCACTTTTCCGCCAAGTAAAACAATGTAATGTATGTAAGTTTGGCAACTTGGCGGCAGACTTTTGCTTGTTTTTTTTTCATTAAAGTTACGTTGGTGGATAATTTCACAAATCAACTTCTCTAATTAATTAGTCCAACTAAGTATAATAATTTCGAGGTAATCAGTAAATATAAAACCATCACTATTATGATTTTATGAAATGTGACACAAATAAGGTCAAATTTTGTAAAATAAGCTCTCATCTAGCAATGTACTATTGGGAGAGATACTTGCTCAATGAAACTAATTTTATGGTATTTTTTAAAGTGATCAAGCAAAAGTCTGCCGCCAAGTGGCCAAACTTACATACATTAAATTGTTTGACTTGGCGGAAAAGTGGTGATTTATTGTCTTTTTTGGGTTGCTGACTTGGCGGGGGAAGTGTTACCACTTAGTGGTTTTTTGTTAGATTGTATTTATTTTTGTAGAAAATTAACAGTTAAAATAAAAATCCTCTTTTCTCTTATATATAGACCAGGGCACAACTACACATAAAATGCATTGGTGTTACATAAGTGTTCCGATAATTAAACCCGTATATCTAAAGACTAGTGTAAATTGAGCCCTTATTAGAGAAGTAAAAATGTAATCAAACAGATTAGGTTTGTTAGAAATAGCATAGGGCAAAACAAATATTGAAAAACTCATTTTTATCCTAAATTTACATATCACTTTTTACATTCACTTTTTTGCTTGTTTAACATACGTAGACGGATTTTCCCGATTGTTTTATTTGTTTTAGTGTATCAAAACATAAAACTAACCTTATTTAGTTAAATAAATTTTGGCAATATTATGAAGAAACAATGTTAAAACTAACCTTAGTACTAGTACTAAGTTTCAAGTTCCTAGGTTTCATATGTTTTGATAAGTAGTATTAAACTGTTAAAAATGACGAGCTGCTGTACCAGTGTACCATCGGTACACTGCATTTTTCAATGGAAAGTATCGGGGAATATCACTGCTCTAAGTAATTTTATATAGTAAGTAGCTCAAATCATTCGGTATACCTGAAAAAAATACTTTATAAAAGTTTTAAAATAATTTTTCAGCTGATCCTATGAATTTCTCTAACATTTTAAATTAATTGAGATTTAATCGCAGCTGATCCTTCTTTTGTTTTGTTTTGATAATCCCATGTTATTTAAATGGGCCAAAATCGTACTTTGAGGGCTTGCCAAGGGTTTATGGGTCAACGCACCGACTTGTGACCCTCAAAAGGCACATCTACACGCTAAGGGCTTTCAAACAACATAAAAAACATTAAAATTGAGCCAGTGGTTTGGGCTGTAGGTCCGTCAACATTTAAGGAGAAGAAGGAGAACACGGAAAATTTGTGAATTTTCAAACTAGTTTTTCTTGGCTCAAACACAACCTTTTTTTAAATTCTTTTTTTATTTTGCCAAGAATGATTGCCCCTATCCAGTGGATGAACAATTATTTTAATAGCTTTTGTTTCTTCAGAGCTATAGACGAGTAAAAAAGCCACTTTGTCACGTCATGTATATATACACTGCAGCAGCTGTGTACCGCTGGGGGACTTGGCGGGGCGGAACGCTGCCGCGTTCCTTAATATATATATATATATATATATATGTATGCTCGAGGGGGGGGGGGGGCGTCTGGACCCGCCTCTGACTTCCACTTACACTAAACTCAACCAAAACAAATGGATGCAATACCTGACATGTGCTGCAACCTAGGAATTGAGTTTAGTGGTGTTAGTTTAGAATTAGGGGACAGTAGGTTTGATAAAAAGCCGAGCTGTCTAAAGAAAGGGTAGTCTTCCTGGCCAAGAGACAGCACTACAAATTGAGGGTTTGAGCTGCCTATGTCAGGTCAAATGTGTAACTCATGGTGAGTTCACCTGTCTATGGCAGGAGAAACCAATCATAATATTAATTTTGGAAGTCTTTTAGGTGGAAATTGACAGGATGGGTACATTGTTTGTGTGTCACAACATAAAAACAGGTATTTTTCTAATTTTTACTTATTACTTTCTTCTTTTATACATAGTCCTATGAAGAAAGGATGGTTTTTGCCAACATTTTTGAATTATAGTTTTTTTTTTTTATTATTTGTTTTGGGTAACCGTGAACCCAAGAAAGTGGTTTTTGAAAGTGATATCTGCATGTGTGTGGTTGTGTACAGAGCAAAAAACTAAACTTTGGGTCCAACTTTGATGAAATTTTGTAAATGTTTTTATTCTATGTTATTTACAGGGTTATTTGGCAATTTTTCCATTAAACCCAAAAAAAAACAGAAAAATATTATTTTCACAAAAACAAGTGAGCGAGTTTGACGAAAATGTAATATGTTATGGTTCTTTTAACTTTAAACAAAATTGTACCACCATAAACCTGTAAAAATTGTGGTTCAAAAGTTATTGCAGGTTTTGCTATTTTCCCCATAAAATATCATAGTTAAAACCACCATCATAGATAATGGTTGTTGACAAGCTAATGGATGAAAGTGTCAGATTGCTGATACTGTTTATTATTACTGTGGATGTGAGTCTAAATTGTCTTTAAAACAATACAAAAAATTGAAAAAAAAACCAAGGACTATTATTAAAACGTCAATAATCTACGGAGTTCAAAGGGTTAAACTAATACTTTAATGCATTCGTCCCAAACAAAAAATAATGAGCAACAAAATAATACAGACCTGCCACAAACTTCTCAACATGCTGCCACATTCGCTCAGGGGAGGTACCTAAGTGAAACCCTCAGTGAGTTAATTAAGTATTGGAACAGAACACAGGGCCATTGTGAAAGGTGTGTTGCTAGCCGAGTGGTTAGCGTATTGGACTTTGGTTTTAAAGGGAAGGGTTCGATTCCCAGCATATTCAGAAAATTTTTATGGGTTTGGACCGCTTTCCCTCGAAAAAGTGTTTGTGTTAACTTTTGCAGCTGCAAAGGAAGGAGTTTGAGGGAGTGCAGGACCGAGTGCCAGTTGTCTAAAAACTTTGACGAGGGTCATTTTACAGCTTCAAGCTTGGCGGTGCAAGGACCAGGCAGGTATCAGTGACCGGTTCTATGGTGCGGCGGGTATGGGGGTGGAAAAATCGACCAGAGAGGGGGGGGGGGGCGAGGATGAGCAAAACTTGTATGAGGGATAAAATGAAACTGTTAAGGCAGCCAAGTCACGCCGAGCTCGCTGCTGCGGCGGGAGCGAATTTTGAAAAATCGCTCACCATGTTATCAAATATGCCAAGTTACACCGACTACTGTCGCTTGCTGAGCAATTTTTAGACTACCGTGGCGGGAGTTTTCTCTAGCACATGCGCAAAGGTGCATCTCGAATGACGAAGCTATTTAAAGTTTAAAAGTAATACAGTTTGAAGTTAAATTTAACATGTTTCTTTTGTTTGATGACATATTATGATGTTTTGTATTATCTTCGTAATATGTTTATCGCCAGAAAAAAAATCACGATTGTTTACCATGTTGAAAAAATGTTTATATTGTTGATGTAAACAAATTGTTGTTTCATCAACTGTTTCGATTTGAAACAGCCAAATCTGTACAATCAATGTAAACTTAAACTTTCAATAGAAGGCTAAGCAAAAAAATGTCATTGGTTTTAAATTGTTTGTACGTTTTTATTAAAAAATAATTAGTCTTTGTGGAGCGGTGAAAAATAACGTTCAAAACCCTGAAAGTGGATAATTTATCCTCAACCATATTTAAAAAGCTTGCAATACGAACATAAGGTACAATAAACAAATATAGTGTTTTTTTTATGTACACTAACAAATAAATAAACATGCAATTGCATCTTAAACACTTTACTAGGCTATTACAAAAAACACAGAAAATTTACATGGCATACTAAATAGGTAAGATGTGTTTTTTATGTATAACAAATTGTAATGAAAGCACATTAAAACTCCTGTCGCAGACGCGGTACTTTTGGTGTGACATGGCTAGAGGTAAAACGTCCGCGCGCGGTACTCCTGCGGCGGATGTCGGTGTGGCGTGGCCTTTATACTTTAATTCTTATTCTGAAATAGCGACCATACAAAGTAGGTATTTTAAGCCAAGTATGAATGGAGATGAGTGGTGCGAGCTTGTAGTCTTGTTAGTAACTAAGATCGACATGTTCCTTAGACACAGCTGTTAATTAATAGCCCATACAGCCAATGGCAACTAAGGGACCTATAGTTTATAGTGGAATCCAAACCACATTTTACCTAACCTAATCAAACTTGCTGATTATGAAAAAAATTGAATGAAGGTTTACTAATCTAATAGATATTTTCAATTGATGTTAGGGTAGCCAAGTAAAGAACAAGTACCCACTCTCCGTTACATCCTGCCCAATACACCCACTTCCACTAATACCCCTCCCCTGAATCACTCTTACCCTCTAGGGAGTAAAACGGCCTACCTGACGGGTTTGACAGTTTATGACCCCCACGGCAAAAAATGGCACTCGCTCCGCTTCCCGTTTGAGGAGATGTTGAAGTTTTCAGATCGTTAGTGGGTTAAAGGCATTGATTTAATCTCTCAGTACAAACCGTTTTGTACAATAGGCTATAAAACACAACACTTGCTAATTAATTACCGGCCTTTGTTTATATTTGCAGGAGAATATACTTTATATGATCTTTAAAATTTTATTTTTATCAATGATAATGTGTCATGTTTTCACTTCAAATTAATTAGTAGCCTATCACACCTTTTCAATGACCCTGTGAAGGCGACAGGACAAAGTTTAATAAAATATGTTGGTGAATAGTAAAAAACATTATATCGGTCAACAGGTACATAGCTAAACAGCGATTTCAGTACGGTAGGTAACATCCATTATTAACTCAACAATTTGATCAGGCTACAATATACTCAATTATAAGATTTATAGTTAATAATTATTATAGTTATAATACAACAGTTTGATGCTATTCGAGCAATTCTTGACTTGCCCCATCTGACTGACTGATATTCTTAACTGTAAAAGATTATAAAAATAACTAGGTGTATATCTTGCTTTCGTTTGTGCAGTGATCCCAGGGTTTGCTATAAAATAACTAAGGACAAATTATCGAAGATACTGTGCAAGAGAGCCAACAACGGCCCAGTAGTTAGACGTATACCAAAACCAAATTACTTCCCCCAGATTTTTATCTGCATGAAAGCTTAACACGTTCGCTGCTACGGACGTTCCGGAACGTCAGCCGGGCCACGGCGCCAGGAGCTAAGAACGTTCCAGAACGTCACCGTTCATTGTTGTTTAACGTTGCTATGGATAAGCCAGCACGTCACAAGCGTTCTATATTTCTTTGCAGCTCGTGGGGACGTACTTTTCTGACAATAAAAAATATAGTTTCCCAAATCACCACCAGGGTTGTTTGGAACAGGGCTTTGTTTTACCTCTTTCCTGCTAGATAGCGACACTACTTTACCGACTGTAACCTGGGTAGTGCTGCTATCCATTAGAATCACTTAGTACTATATCAAATGCCAGTATTATTGCAGAACATTGCCATCCAGTATAACTACTGTTGTTTTTACTGTAATTCAGTGTATCGGTGGAAATGTCACGCAGCGGCCGAGCGTTAGTTCAGCAACTGGCGCCGTCCCGGCATCTAGCGCTCAGCAGCGAACGTGTTAAGCAGTTAAAATATGTTGTAGCATTGTGCATAGTAACAAGGTTATTTCAAAGTTTTCTACATTAAGGTTCAGATATATATACTTTATAAGAACTATTCTAGATAATGAAACCTCAATTCTCGTTCTTTTTGGTAAGACACGGATAATCGTTATTTACAACACCCATGAGACCACCTTATAGAATAGCTCTTAGTTGTAAAAACATTTTCTACACAATATATCCTGAATTTAGAAACACTAACTAGGCTAGTGAAAAGGGTTAAAAAACATTTGTGTTACAAAGCATAGCTATTTTGAGTGCAGGATTAAATTACATAAATAGTGCAAATATTCTAATACTAAACATCATGAAAAATCAGTGCAATTAATTTCTAGCTTGAATGTGAAGTGAACATGGAAGCAGTAGCCTATGTTTGATATTTAACGTTTCATTTGTTACAACAAAGTAGGCCTATTGATTTCAAGTATAATTTGTTAAAATGAATTTATACTTAAAATATTCTCAGAATAGATTTATGGCCCTTTGTTAATATTAAGACAAAATTAAGTTATGTTTGGTTAAATAGTTAATATACAGAGTGCATATCGATATTTCCTATTTTGTTTTTAACAAAATAAATTCATCAAGTTATAAGCTCAAAATTGTCCTTCCTCTGAGAGAGTACAGAGCACACAATATAACTAAAAATATTAGAAAATAGAAAAATCTTAGCATTTCCTAAAACAGTCTACATCAGCGCAGTCAAAAATAACCGCACATGAACTCAAATAAAAAAAGGCATCGGATTTTACAAAGATGAGAAATCTCCTCGCAGTATCCAAAGTCAATAATTTTACTTACTTTCATTATCCTTATCCTTCTCCAAGGCTTTGAGGTATGCGTCGTCCAATCGCTTGTCAAACCATTCTTTCATTGAGATGAACTTTGATTCACCAGCGGCCTTCAGTCGGGGATCTGTGAAACAAAATAAATTCTTTTTGAATGGGTTGAACCGTTTCTTTTACAACAGAAAAACTAAAAGGCTTACTGCATACAGAGCCCGATGTTGTGGACTGTTAACTTTTAAGATTGTTTCACGATTTACCAGCCTTGTTAAGATTCTGTAGTGAAAAGATTTTTAACCGTTGATTTTATGAATGAAAAACTAAAAGGCTGACTAAAGATTTAATTCCATGGTATATAGTGTTAACTTTAGGATTGTAGGTCTACTTAAAATACAATTCACCAGCCACTCCATGTCAACAAACAGTAAAGCGAAATATGATTTTTATATAGATTTTAACTTTTGGTTTTAACACTGTAACAATAAAAAGCTAACTACAGTAAATATAGAACGCGATGTTGTGCGGTATAGTGAAAAAAGATTGTCAACACCAAATTTTTAACTGTAAACTGTAGGCATAAATAAAATTTCATCAATGTGGTCAGTGTTAGGCCTAAGAAAAATTTAACTACCGATAAACAGGTTTACCCCTTAAGTCTAGCAATTTTCAAAATTATCAAATAAGTTAATTCCCTAACAGAAAATGCCCAAAAATAGGATATGAAAAATAAAACATGTTTAAATGTTTGTGACATTTAAAAAATTTAAAATGAATAATGTAAAGCCGATAAGATTCACAATGGGCTGTTCATTATATTCTAAAATTTCCAACCGGGCTTACCTATTTCAAAGCCTCTCACTTTGTCTGTTAACTGAGCCATCGAGTTTCTGATACTTTCCATTTGGTCATTATTGGGAAGTGCAGACTCAAGCCATTTCATGTCTGGCAATGCTTCTTTCCATTCCTCATATTTCTGGAAAACAATTCCGACATTTTGACCATTAATTTATACTTTTATTGCTTCAAATTTTGTAAGGTGTTTTAGGATAATCTGACAATTTTCTGCAAAAGCGGTGTTGGATAAGTAGTGTTTATTCCTAGTATAAGACTGTTGATCGGGATATGGTCTAGGTCATAAAGGAATTGAATGCAAGAAACAGTGTGAGCCTTGAGGGCTTAGGTCATGTTTGACCTGACCTGATGTAATGTGACAAACAATCCCAGGTATGTGTAGGGTACAACATAGTTGAGGGGTTTTTTTAAGTGAGTAGTCTGATAAAACACGAGTCTCACACTATAGGCTGGCCACCTGTGTGCGTAATTACATTTTCACCCCATCTCCCTTAAATAAAGTATTAAATTTAAGAGGGGACAGCAATTAATTCTGAGTAGATTTATTAGGCTATGTTGTGAAATGGTTAAGAGATTGATTGAAGGGCAGTAAACTTGGTCATTAAAGACTACTTAATATTTCGTTACCTATCAGAATTTTAAATTTACTCAGTCCCGTCTGTCATTTTACAAGCTAAATAGAAGATCATATTTTTGGTTGATTAAGTTTTATTCCCCAAAGAACTCTCAGACTTATTAGTTTTTGGGTGACAGTTTTCATGCTCACAAGGGAAATTATTGTTTGATTTGGATCTATTTACCGATTACTGTGTAAATTCATCCTGCAACGATGTATATGTTCTTAACACGTTCGCTGCTGACCGCTTGATGCCAGGACGGCGCCAGGAGCTGAAGTAAAAGCTCGCCGCTGCGTGACATTGCCGCCAATACACTGAATTACAGTAAAAACAACAGTAGTTATACTGGATGGCAATGTTCTGCAATAAAACTGGCTTTGGACGTAGTACTAAGTGATTCTGATAGATAGCAGCACTAACCAGGTTACAGTTGATAAAGTAGTGTCGCTATCTAGCAGGAAAGAGATGGAACAAAGCCCTGTTCCAAACAACCCTGGTGGTGATTTTGGGAAACTATATTTTTTATTGTCAGAAAAGTACGTCCCCACGAGCTGCAAAGAAATATAGGACGCTTGCGACGAGCTGGCTTATCCATGGCAACGTTAAACAACAATGAACGGTGACGTTCCGGAACATTCCTAGCTCCTGGCGCCGTGGCCCGGCTGACGTCCCCGAACATCCGTAGCATCGAACATGTTAAGCAGAATCAACCAGGTCACCGTCCTGTGGTAACTTATGCTGTCAAATTGCTGCTTTACAACTAGTTTTGGACCTTGCCGTAGGCCAATATGTTTAAGGTCAATCCCCTACATCAATATGTTCGTTAGTTTCTGGCATTCTTGGCATGTCATCTCAATTTAAAGTTGGGAACATTTCAATACAAAAAATACTGACCTTTTGTAATGTGTAACCTCCTCCTACTGCACTGCCCAATACAAGGTAACGAATCTTGAGGGCCCCTTTTATAACCCGAGCAACTAACATTGCATATCCTCTTGATGGCTGGCCATATTGTGTTTTCGACAACAATAATTTTGGATGATAATTTGGTCTTTGTGTCCAATAACTATGCTTGAAATAACCACACTTTAGTTTCACAACAGCCAAGAGAGGAGGAGCATGCCGATGGAATCGATGCCATGTGTTCCAGCTAAAAAAAAGGTTACATTTTATTCATTTTAAACTTTAATTTAGTCTAAAATTTCGTTTTGAGACTTTAGGTTAAATAAACATTTAAATAAAATGTTTAAACTAATGCTCAATTTTTGCCTACTATTCCCTAGATTTTCAGGTCATAACTTATTGCTTTGGTGTTTCCCTTAATTAGAAAAAGAAGAATCTAACTTATTAAATTGTCCCAATGAATTATTAAAAAATACTCAATGGTGCATGAGTTATGGCTACACGGTACTAAGTTATTTAGTACAACTTCTCCTGTAACTCACTTGCAAAACCGTGAGCACAGGTTTAACACATCAAATTATGAAACTATATTCAACATTTTTCTCAGACGGATGGTACCATAACACAGCTAAGTCATAGCATATTGTAGGCCTGTTGACTTCAATCATAACATTATCTGGGGGTATTTTAATTTACATTTAAGTTACATGAGCCTTTTAACTTACTTAAGTTGGCCTACTGGTATTTCACTAGCTTACAACTTTGGGTACTTATTATCCGGAGGCCACCCTTATACAGCGCGCTGCAGCGGTTATGTTAGGTTGGGTTATCATAAATGGAAAGAACATACAGGCTACTTTAGTTGACTTACTGTCCAAATTTGACATGATTATAATTAGCAGCCTTTGAGTTCTGCCTCCCAGAAGGCAGCGATGTCGGAGGAATGAGTTGAATGTGTCGCCGCCGCTAGCACAGGTGGTGACAGGTGATGTGCGCGCTCCGTTCAACGACCTCACCTTGGCCTAAGTACTTGGAAGGGATTTGGCGAGTGAAAGTATGACTCACCTGGTATTTTTTGATTCATAATGAAACGAGGAAAGTCCTACAAACATAATTATGATAACCCAACCTAGCATAACCGCCACAGCACACTGTATAAGGGTGGCCTCTGGATAATACCAAAGTAGGTACCCAACTTTGTAAAGAGTCCCTGTTATTAGGTTGCTATGACGGAATATTACTAAAGAATGGTAAAGGAAGGCTTGAGAAGGCAATATAAGTTACGCAGAGGATACGCGTCCGGTAACCGGACGTGGATTAGGCGTCCGGCAGTTACTGTCATAACCTAACCTAACCAACCAAACTTGCTGATAGTGAAAAAAATCAAATGAAGGTTCAATTCTCTTCATAACATAAAATTATAAATGCCAAAAATTCTAACAAAAGATGTACAGTTAAGAAGAAATTACATTCAAAGCAAAATCTGTGACAAAAAGTTAAAGTTACCGATGGATTTCGAACCGGGGACCTCTCGCATATCAGTCGAGCACTCTATCCACTACACCACGAACACTGATGACTGAACATCGTATCATTGTGGTAATGGCGTTCCGGGACCCCCTACCGGATGCCTAATCCACGTCTGGTTACCGGACGCCTAATCCACGTCTGGTTACCGGACGCCTAATCCACGTCTGGTTACCGGACGCCTAATCCACGTCTGGTTACCGGACGCCTAATCCACGTCTGGTTACCGGACGCCTAATCCACGTCTGGTTACCGGACGCCTAATCCACGTCTGGTTACCGGACGCGTATCCTCTGTGTATAAGTTAATTTAAAATAGAAAACAGTAGCCTCTATGAATTCTATTATTTAGGCTAGGCTAACTGTCATATTTATGACATTATGATTTGGCCTATGCTAAGTAAGGCTTCTAGAGCTATTCTCTATTGGTTCACGACGAACCATGTAATCAGTTTATGTATGCTAACTATTACACTTAATTGTAAAATAATTAAATGATGAAACTAATATTAACAATAGTTTGACATTAGGTTAGGTCACGAACCTAAATTTTTGGTAATTTCTGCTGTTGTACATGTTTGCTTGAAGTAGGTGTACAATTGGTAATTGTCTTTAAAACTTGGATAAACTTAATTTGTTGACCACACCGGGGTAAGATTAACCACAAAGTTTCACATTATTTTAATATTCAAACAATAATTTAATGCTTGTAGCAATTTTTTAAGGTTATACTCCAGACAGGGAACAGATGACACTTTTATTTTATTTTGCAGATGTTCTGCTGGTGGCGCTATCATTAAAACAGTTCCAAAGATCAAAGAGACTAAATTCAGCTAATCATGGAACCGTTGGGCATGTACGTTCACTAGATATAATTTATTAGTTATATAAATTTATTAAGAAATTTTAACACAACACGCAACATGAAAGGTTTGTTCCCAAAACAAAATAATGTTTTTTTTTTGTTTCAAGACTAACCCATCCATGCAGCGCAGATGTAAGTTATTCACTGGCTTTATAATTTGTATTAAGATACATCTTGAAGATTAAAAAAAATTATATGTTAACATTTCTCATTGGTACAAATGAAGGTTTACCATGGACTAACTAACACTGAGCTCTTGTGTCGACAACACTTTGTTTGTCTTATTTTAGGATTGGTTTTATGCTTAACGTGTTTGCTATAATGATAGTGATAATGATACAGAACTAGATTACGAGCTATTGCTTCTCGTCTAATTAATTCGTTTGATTTTGTTAATCTATTTTTGAAATAGCAAGAAAATTTTAAACAAAAGCACGCCCCAGGTACCGACTTGGATTATTAGAACGGGTCTTAATAGGGTTGAGACTAATGGCGGGTTAAAAATCCCGGAATGTTCTCGATTATCACAAAATGTGGTGATAATACACTACACTATAGGGGAATTTTTCAATATTTGTCATGAAACCTTCCCAACCCTTGTTACTAACGAATGTTGAACTGTTATGTAGCTGAACAGCTGAGTGGTCGTAGTAATGAGAAAGTGTGGTTAGATTCAGAGAAAAGTCCGAATCTTTTCCATGGTTTGAAACTGTTGCACCCAAGTGCAGCCGCAGAGAGCCGTATTTCAATTCTACGAGGGACTCTGGTAATTTACTGCCAAGTGGCCCCTCTATTCTGATTCTTCGTGGCTGGAGCTTGGGGTTTAGAAATAAACGTGATATTGCTTCAACTAGATGAACTCATTCAACCCTTAGGTTTGCACGGTCTATGAAAGCCGATTGGTGAATATATATTTTTCTAGTAATCGTGATATATATTGGGAGGAGCATTGCAAAATGCAAACTGGATTGTAAAAGGGTATTTACTAGTAGATTTACTAGTAAATCAGTTAGAGTTAATACCTGAAATGTCACTTAAGGCTGCCCAAGCTGGTGATACCTACGGAGGTGTTACACCCTTTTTATATTTATAAATTGTGACCTTATTGTATAACATATGTAATGTTAATGGTATTTTTGGTAAAGACAAAAAAGATTCTGATAACAAGATCAGAATTTATAAATTGTAACAAACTAGACTTAAAACATTTAAAATAGGTAGCATTATTTTTTCTGTTTTCGGCGATATTGCATAAACAATCTGCATTTTCTCCCCCTATAACATAGTATATGGAGAAAGAATTGTTTTGTCAACATTTTCGAGTTTGAGTGGATATTATCCGTTTTGGGTCCCCCTGAACCTAAAAGTGGTTTCCGAAGTGATGTCTGTGTGGATGTGTACAGAGCTACAGACCACACCTGTAGTCCGATTTTGATGAAATTTGGTACATAGCTCCATGGTCTCCAGGCGTTTTAAAATTTTTTCAAAATTTTGATTTTTAATGGTGATTTTTCCATAAAAACCCCCATAAAATAACAAAAATCTGATTTTGTCGAAAATAGCCCAAAGGATTTTGATAAAAATTAAGTATGTCATAGTCCTTCTGAACAAAATGTTACAAATCCCATATCCGTAAAAATCATGGTTCCAAAGTTATTGTAACTTATGTTATTTTATCATAAAAACGCCATAAAATAACAAAAAATTTGATATTATAAAAAAGGCTGGTTTCGATTAAAAGTATTATGCTATGGTCCTTTAAATTGTAAGCTCAACGGTACAAATCCCATTTTTGTAAAAATTACGTTTCAAAATTTTTTGTAACGTATGTTATTTTCCCATAAAATAACCAAAAATCAGATTTTACAAAAGCTGGGTTTTTATTAAAATTAATGTGTTATGGTCCTTATAATTCTAAACAAAACAATACAACCCCCCCCCCCCCATTGCTGTAACAATTACTGTTCAAAGTTATTGCAACTTTTGTGATTTTTTTCCTATAAAATATCACAGTGAGCCCACCGTTTACCATGGTAAAGGTGGTAGACAAGCTTATTGGAGAAAGTATGTGTCAGATTGCTGATACCATTTATTGATATTTGGAAAATGATAACCTATCATCAATTCATTTTCTTTAAGTTAATCTCCTACATTCCTGCTTATAAAGGCCCTCTTCATTGCTGTAGACATTACTGTACAGGCTTAATTACAATTAGAAAAGTATAACTTCATAGTTAGTATTTTTTGGTAACCTCTGGATTACCACAAAATATTAAAAATTGATGCCAATAACTTATTAAGGTAATTTGTCAGGTAATTACCTACTTTAATCTGTCATTCAAAGACAAACTTAAAAAGTACACCAGGGAACACAAAACCACACATATTACATACAGAAATACAACAAGTAAATACTGAAAAAAACCAGCTGAATCAGTAAAACGTGAACCTGAATTTATTATAGCATGCTAGGTATTAAATCAATACAAAATTCTCAATCGGTATAAATAGCTTTTAAAATAAGCAAATAAAAAGATATACCGGGGGAAAAAGTTATGTCAGACCATTATTTTACAGTTATATTTATACACTTTATACAGTCAAGGTAAAATAATCACAGGAAAAACAAGAAGGCTTCATGTTACGCAAGTGAGCCGGACCGTGTGTACCAGCTGGTCTGTCTGACTCTTTGCTGCTCCTGTTCACTAAACTTGAGCACAGCTGCAATAGCATTGAGCATGTGAGCTTTGCAGCTGGAGTCGTTGCTCACCAAGTAGCTCAACACAACATTCTTGAGGTACTCCAAGTTGGCTCCTTCTCTCGACTGACATCTCTCCAGCCTAGGAATTAGTTAATATAAGATGTTTTATATTACTGAACTCTATACAAATTATAGAGGGTCATTTTGATTGAGATGGTATTTTTAGTGAAGGATTGCTATGGTTCAAAATTTTGATAGTTTGACACCCCCTTTACTCCACAAAAAGTCAGTTTACTCCAAAAAAACAGCAAAACCCCCACCTTTAATCAAACTTGTCATCCTAAAACTCCAAACAAGAGTTTTTACTCAACTTTATAAAAATTAATTGTGGTTTAGACAATTTATAGTTTTTGTTTTATTGGAACCTATACAATGGCTCCAAGTGATACAAATCTAAAATGTATTATAGAATTCTTTGGGTTTCCCGTGACATCTGGAACATTTTGAGCATCCATGAGGGTAACACCTTTGACTAATGATTGAACTAGACATGCCATTCCCGTGATAAAGTTGTGGCCAGCTTTAAGGTCGATTCATAGCCTACACATCAGTCCAATCACAGCTCCGTTTCAGTCCAGTTACAGTCAAGTCACAGTTGCATCTGCAATTGTCAATCAAACTGTCAGTAATTTGTTCCCAGTCACTCATCTGTCACTTTATTTACAGTGTTGTTACAGTAAAAAATATTTAATTAAAACATAATATTCTATCAAATTTTCATCGTCCTTCTTTTTGATTTTTACAAACATTACTTAAAATATAAACTCGACCATTTAAATAAAAAAGTACTATTTTTTAACCTCATACACGTCCGTCAGGCGTCTGAACAATCCAAAAATATCGTTGAAAAGGAATCTGAAATTGACTGTCGGACGCTGGCAGAGCGACTGACGGATTTGCAACGGAAGAGTGTAGGTAGCGCAATAGAAAATTCATTAAAGAATATTTTTGTTAACTGCGACGTGCCCGACGTGGCTGGACTGTGATGTGCCGTAACTGATGTGTGTGAATTGACCTTTAGAATGAAAAAGAACAGTTAAGTGATCAACAGACATATTGATGTCAACTACTGACTTCATTGAATATGCAACGGTTTTTTAACCAAGCCAAACTTACTAAAAGGAAACCTTATCATAAGGTATGTTACATCAAATATCAGTAACAAAAACTAAGGGTCAAATCAAAATAGAATTTTATTACCGTCCATAACACACTCTGTGGGCGGCTCAACCAACTAATTTATTTTTTAATAAAAACATTGCTACAGCTGGTCCATAAGGATGGGATGTATACTTCAGTATCCAATAGTCAACAGTTAAACGTACACTTTCTAGGTACAGGTTTTAATATATCAGCTGATGATAATTTTCAACACACAGTACTAACCTGTCTACCTGGTTCTGCAATTCTGTGACTCTTTGGGTGAGAGTAACCCTCTCCTCGGCAGCAGCCCTCTGCGTGTCACGTAGTTGTGTCTCTAGTCTGTGGCTCTGTTTGCGCAGCTTGGCTACATCTACCTGATAGCGTGCAGATTCGTGCGCGTAGTGCAACATGTGTCGTCCTTCGCTCATTCCTTCAGTGTCCAGCTCCACGCTGCCATCCTGCAAAGATTTGTATGAAAGATTCGGTACCTAATCGAGTTCCTACAAACAATTTGCTTATAAAAATCGCTCAGCTATTTTGAAATAAAAAACCATTAAACCAGATTGGTTGTTTATGTTCTGGTAAAAAAGCTCAACAAGAGATTTGTTGAATGGAACATTCATTAGTACAATGTAAGTTGGGCTGCTAGGACATAAGAAGAAATAATGTAATGAATGTGTTTGAAGAGAAATATATTGTGCACAGAAGTTTTATTTTAAGCAATTTGATAATGTGAAATGGCTTAATAAAGTACATCAAAGTCACATAGTAAGCTATAAGATAAAATGAATTCAAGCAAACATAATAAAAGTTTTAAATTTCCCTAATTCAGAAGACTACAATAATATAGGCTATGTCACTAAGCCTGGACTATGAATGATCTGAATCAATTTAATGCTAAACCTACATTCATTTTTCAACATAACATACATTATCTGATGATTGGGATCGTTTGTGAGCTCGTGTTGGCAGCAGTGTGTGAAAGCTAGCCTTGAGAGAAGAGATCTCTGTGTCCTTCTCCTGTACAAGAGCTAAAGCACGTTCTCTCTGCTTGCTAAGCTGCTGCTCCAGGGTTGCCAACTGCCTGCGATGTTCCTGTTCAACGGAGGACAATTTTTCTTTCCACCTGGCACGTTCCTTTTTCAACTCCTGGGATTGAAAAAGTTTAAGTACACCACTATTTATTCTATAATATGTATGAGTTTATGTAAACAATTGAAAAAGAATTCTAAAGATAATTTTCTAAACATGAATTAAAATCATCAGACAAAGAAAATTTTATATATTTCATTTGCAGAATACCTTGCATACTATATTTTTTCTCTTTTCATAAGTTTCATAATTTACAAGTGTGTTTAAAGGAAAAGGTTAAAAGTTTTTATAGTATAAATTTTACCAAGAAAATAAAATATCTTACATCTACAACAAGCCTTCATAATATTCAGGGCCGATTTACCGAATAGGCACGGTAGGCACGTGCCTAGGGCGCGAGGCAATTGGCTTTTTTTGGGGGGGGGGGGCGCCAACAAATTGGAAAATAAAAAAAGTTGTGGTTGTATTTGCATGCGATCGCGGTAAACTTCTGATGATCCCTCGCGGCCGTGTAGACATCGTAATCGTCTCCTGCGATTGCGGCAAAATTCTGACTATTTTCCGCGGTCGTGTCCAAATAATTATCGTCTTCCATGATCGCGGCAATATATGAACATATTCCGCGGTCGTGTGGGCATTATTATCGCCTTGCGCGATCGTGGGCAAATTCTGATCAACACTCGCGGCCGTAAAGACATCATTATGTTGTCACCCGCGGTCATGTAGACATAGTAATCACCTCCCGCGATTGCAGCAAAATAGTATTAATCTCCCACGCTCTTTTGGAGATCATTACCGTCTTCCGCAAATGAGGCAAAATTTTGATATTTTCCTGCTATCGAGTGGACGGACATTACATATTCTTGCGCGATCACAATAAAATTCTGATCACCCCTCATGGCATCTTTATACATCTTTATATCGTTCTCAGTGATCGTTTGAACATAGTAATCGCCTCACACGATTGGGGCAAAATGGTAAAGGGGCGCTACTATTAGTTGTGCCTAGGGCGTTGACAGGGTCAAAAACGGGCCTGATAATATTACAGTAACAATGAAAATTTTGAATTGGCACATTCAATATTCTGGCATTGTTCCAAGAGGGATTTCTTACAACGATTGAGGTTCCCAAAAATTGCATATTTTGAACTCTTTGACTCCCTATTTTAGAAGGATAAACAATATCTCACAATAACAACATTTCGGACAACGGCCAGTAATTCAGAAATGGTAACCAATTGCGTGACCAAATGTCCACAACAATACATATCAACTGGAGGGATCCATACTCTAATCACTATACTACGACAATGTAGAAAACAATACCCACACTGAAATGATCCATGATGATATCAACTATCTACAATGAAGCAGATTTCAACCTACATTATTCTGTTCCTCCATCAACAGCTTATGGTCAGCATGAGTCTGTTCCAGCTCATTGTTGAGAAAGTTGATCTTCTCCTTCAGCGAGGCTATCTGCTTCTTCAGATGTTCAAACTCATCACTGGCACTGTTGGTCGTGGTGGTAACACTGCTTGACGAGGCAGCTTGTTGTTTACACCTCTCAAGCTCTGCCTTGAGACTCATATACTCCTGGTGACACAACGAGTGATCCGTCGATGTGTAACCTTCCACCAGCATCTTCTCCTGCCACTCTCGCAGAATGCCTGGAAAAATTACAGATAGAAGAAAATCGACAAACCTAACAAATAGTGCGCACTATCTCTAATGCTAATGCTGTACACTTGTTCTTCAGAAATTTACATTAAGTTTTTTTTCTAAACAATGGGGGGTATGACCAAAGTTGGGAAGAGCTAGTCTTTTGAAGTTACTTTAGGAAATCAACATTTTCTTTCCAAAACTCAACAACAGAATCAGGGCTGGCGAGAGCCGTCACGAGCCCCTGGCTGAGCTATTCCAGCCCCCTATTTTCCTGCTTTATTCAATTCAATTCAATTCAATTCAAAACCACTTTATTCATTTCCTATACATAATACATTGAATAGTGTCAACAGTTGCTTAGGCCTAATAGTTATAAAATACATTTCTAACATAATAAAATAAAAACAAAATTTTACAAACTTAATTTTTTTTTTTTAGTCTAAACAAAAAATACATAAATTGAATTTGTTTTTGACTTCAAAGACTATTCAACTCTTCAAAAGAAAAAATAGCCTTGCTGATGAGAAATCTCTTTAATTTATTTTTAAATATTGTTTTGGAAGTCTCTGATTTAATTTCAATTGGGAGATTATTATAAAATTTTGATCCCGCATACAACAAAACCCATTTTCTCAAAAAGTTTTAGACTATGGTGGCCAATTGCAAGGTTTTCCCGATTTCTGGTGAAATAATTATGACTATCCCCAACTCGTTCCAAATCATGAAGTCTGTCCTTTACTGATAAAATTGTTTCATAAACGTACATTCCGTAAATTGTCATTATATTTTCCGATTTAAAATGTTCTTTATTAACAGAAGTTTCAAAATCTAAATTGCAGATAATTCTAATAGCTTTCATTTGCTTTTTTAGAATAGAATTCAAATTGTAATCACTAGTTGCACCATAAAGTGAAATCCCAAAAGATATACTTGAGTGGATATATGAAAAATATATAACTTTTAAAGTTTGTTTTTCACAAAAGGGTTTCAATCTAGATAAAGCAAATAATCCCGATGTGATTTTGGCAAGTAACTTTTCAACGTGATTGTTCCATTTCAGACTTTTATCCATTACCAATCCCAAGAATTTCATGTCATTCATGTGCTTTATAACTTAACTTTTTAAGCATAGAATAAGCCAGTAGGGTTTTATAAAATATGAACTGATTATCTAATTTATATACACTTAAAATTAATATACATTTGTTTAACTAATCACTGTTAATCAATGTTTTTATTAATCACTTAAACATCCAGTGACTGACTGGCAGCTAAAACAGAACATGACCTCTACTCAAACAAAACACGCTATAGTCTACCGTGCATCGGCGAATATCATTGTCAATCGTCTATTGGGCAGGTTAAGGGCCAACAAGCTCACCGCCAAAAGGTACAGGATGAGTTAGTTAAGCAAGAAGTTCCAACTTCTGGAGTCAACTTCCAGGGGGCAAGCTGGTCTAGCGGTAGAACGCGAGACTTCAGCTCCCGAAGTCTCGCGTTCAAATCCTGCCAAATCACAAATGGATTTTTATCCATTGAGAGATAATGCTGCAACACCTAGGCCTAGCCTGAAATTATTTGAAAACAATCCCGGGCTAGTGCTTAGCGTCCCAGGAAAAAAATAAACAAAAAATAAACTTCTAGAGACAGACCAGTTATATTTATGAGAGACACCGTGCGGGTGGCATTACCTGATGCTGGATGCTTGCACCAAGAAGTAAAAAGCAAGAAGTAACAGTTACCTTTCAGATCAACTGGCTTCTCAGCAGTTTCGTTAGCTACTTCAATGCTGTTCTTCAAGTGTTGAAATTTCTCCATCAAGACGTCTAGGTCCGTGTCTGCTTTTTCTGCCCCATGCTCTAACTCCAATTGTATAAGCCGCTCCTAAATAAATAGCAGTTTTTGGTGAATTTCCCATATAGGGAATAAGCTATTACCGTAGGTCTTGTGGTATGACCTAGACCTGGGACCGATTTACTTTTTCGTTGTAAGGTCCCCAGAGCCCAAAAACACCCTCCATCCAAATCCATAAATATATATGTATGTGTGCCCGTTAGCGCGATATCTCAAGCAAAAATGATCCAATTTTGATGAAATTTGGTACAAGAGTGTAAACCTACGTTTATTCTAACGAATTTGCGAACCAGCATAACCAGTCTATACGTACGGATGTTTATAGGGGGTTTTATGAGGTAAAAATTGATTTTTCCTATTTCCCCCCTAAAAACACAAAATTTCATAATTTCTTTCCAAACCATTTTATAAAGCTTAAAAAAATAAATAATTTTGTATGTTAAAGTTATTGTATGCCTAACGAATACGGATATAGTAAAAATATTGTAAATTAAAAATTCCCATATTATTCTTATGGAGATTAAATAAACTATTGTAGTTTGCTTGTTTATGGTTATATTTTAACCATACTCTGGCAACTTGGTCTATTTACTAATAAGCTATCAACATTTCAATAAAAAAACCTCAATATCTTCCCTGTAGCAGCAAACCTAAGTACTCACTATAGTAATACCAGAAACAAAAGAACCCTGGGCCGTTTCGAGCCGCGCAGGTTTGAATGGTACGCCACACCTACCGGCGCGAACCACGTGATCTTTTCGTTTCTGCGCAGGTTGTTTAGTTCTTGGTATGTCTATAAAACTAATGTTAGGCTATATAAATAGGAAATAAATCTGACAATTTTAAGGGAATATTTTAGTAGAAATCCAAATGGAAATTTACTTAGTCTGCAGGTTTGTAATCTATAATATTAAAACGAAAGTGTTTTTTTATTTCACGATTCTGAATCAACCACTCGACGGATTTTCATGATTTTTGTGTTGAAAGAAAGATAATTTTGAGAACTAGGGAATGTCGAAGCCATAATTTTAGTTTAGGGTCTCAGTTTTTTAGAAATTAAGTTTTAATTTTTAAAAAGTCTAGCAGCCGACGCTAAGATTCTAAACTAGCTTTTGGCATAAAATTAATTTGCTTAACATAACAGCTGTAAACATTCAGCTTTTGTGTCACAAATTCAGCATTTGGATAAAAATGTAAAGACATACTTAGGGTTGACTTATTTATACTATGTGTAATGCTAATCATTGATACGTTCAATTCTTCTGCAAGAGGATGACAGATTAGTTAAATCATAGATAAAACCTACTCCCTTAGTAGATTTCTCATCCTTATGGAACAGCTGAAGACAATTTTATTGTTAGTTCTGTACGGTTTATGTAGAGGTCGTGTTTTGTTTAAAATTTGTTTCCCGTTATTATAGCCATTTAAAACCTCGTTTAACCAAATAATACGATCTAATCATAAACAATAACCTGTCCCCTAGTTATTTAACCAAACAGTAAAGTACAAATCAAGAAATTAACCCTAAAATAATAGAAACAAAGTTTCGTTGACACTAGCGCCCATGAAACTTTGTACATGAACTAGACACGAAAACGTGCTTCAAAATTTACAATGGGATGAGAAGTCTACTTGTGTTGGTTAGTCTATGGTTAAATATACATAGTAAAATACTAGAATGTTCAAATTATTTTTTAAAGCAATCTTTGTAATCTTCGATTTGTTTTAGAGCAATATAATTTATTTTAACTAACAGCTGGTTAAATATAAACTATGGAACTATGAGGTTATTTTATTTACTCTTATTTTGTCATTGATTATAGGAAATAAGTAAGATTAGTAGAGATAATTAGACCACAGTTTAAACCAAAATCAATTAAACCACAGTACAAATCGAGGCTCTGTACACGAGTCTTAATAAAACAAGGATAAATGCAAATTATTTTACTGCTCCACTTTTCAAGGAAAGATTAGAAAAATAACAATGTTTACTTGTTTTAATTCTTCATGGTAGCTTTTTGTTTACAATTAATATTTGTCTGCTTTAACTTTGTTTGGATTAGGCCCGGAAATATTGATGTCATAAAAAGAAGATCAAGAATAATCAGGAATCACGATTTTAAATTACCACCACAACCTCAGCCGGGTTTTATACAAAGATAAACAGATGGATGACATAGATTGAACACAACGTCAACAATGACCTAGGATACTGCAATTAGACAAACCATCCTTTTATGAAATCGTGTTCAGTTGTGGTTACGTTTGGGGGTGCCCATATCAGCGCCCCCAAACGTGAAAATATCACTTTTATTTCAACTATGAATATACTAGCTGTAACCCGCGGGCTTTGCCCCGTTTAACTTCTTAATTTTCAAGATTATCTCGTTCGCATGGCTCAATCACGTCCTGGTTGAAGTTTGTTCGCTACGCTCACTCACCTTTAGGTTGGAGCTCGTTCGCTACGCTCACTCACCTTTAGGTTGGAGCTCGTTCGCTACGCTCACTCACCTTTAGGTTGGAGCTCGTTCGCTGCGCTCACTTGCCTTCAGGTTAGCTCGTTCGCTACGCTCACTCACCTTTTGGTTGCAAATTAGCTGTTGTCATAAATGTAAAAGAAATAATAGTGCTGCACCCTGTTGGTAATTTTTGTAACTTTAATGCTATTGAACATCACAGAACAGAACCAACTTAATTAATTGAAACAGCTGTTAAGATTCAATAATTTCATTTCTCATAAGGTTAACATGGGAAACTCCAGAGCCACTGGGGCGGAGCCCGAAAGGATTTTTGAAATAAGAATATGCCTATATGTTAATCGGGAATGTGAGCTATCATCATGCCAAATTTCAGCCCAATCCGACCAGTATTTTTTGCGTTCACTTGTCACAAACATACATCCATACATCCATACATCCAAACTTTCTCATTTATAATATTAGTAGGATTGTAGTTTAAATTAACTAATATGGGAAATTACGATGTACATTTATTCAATGAGGGTGGGTAATTATCAAGGATAGAACTGATAACTTGACAATTGCGTCATTAGCTTTACTAGCGTGTTTATTGTTATTGTTATTGTTACTGTTATTGTTTTTACTTTTATTTGTTTACACTTATTTATTTAGCAATTAATGCAGTGAAATTGATATAAATGATAGGTGTGACGATTAGTTTTGATGTTAGGACACCAAAGTTAAATTATGTGTACTGTGCATTTTATTGGATATTATCGTTTTATTTTCGGTCGTTTCTATTCAGACCTACTGGAAATTGTGTATAGTAGTTGTATTGTGGTGATAATAATTAAGGAAGAGGCAGGTATGCTATGGAAGGTGGTATCGTTGACTAGGTCTATACACTTCTCAATTGACTCTCTCTACTGTAGGCTACTTATAATCAGTGTGCGTCTGTGCGAATCGGCTGCAAATCTCACTTCGACGCTTTTCACATCGTAAAAATTGCAGAATTGCTGTTTTATTGTAAAATTATTGGATTTAAAATGCATATCGTATGGGCTTATGATGGAATAAAAACATATTTGGTCACACAACATTTGTTTACAAGATGATTTTTCACATTAAAACCACAAGAAACTTTGTCTTTATATGTGTAAACTAGCTGATCTGAATTGTACACGGTTTTAACTGACTACTGAATTCCCGTACGTAGGACAGGGCTAACACCTCGTCGTTTCCTTAAATTGCAACTAAAGTATTAACAGCAATTAAATTATCCAGCTGATATAAACAAATATGTTTTTCATAAGGATAACATGGGAACTTTAAAAGCCACTGGGGCAGAGCCCAAGGGACTTGTTCAAAGAAATGTAAGGTCAGTTTGCAAATTTACACACCTAGACAAAAATTTTGGTATGTAATATGTGGGGTTAAATCTTAAAACAAAACACCCCCGCCGCAGCAAACCTGCAGACTAAGCAAATTTCCATTTACCTGATTGGATTTACACTAAAATGTCTCCTTAAAAATATCGCATTTATTCCCTTTTTAAATAGAGTTAGTTTAACACAACAATTAGGTTTAGTGCAACAGGGAGGGTAAAAAATATATATATTTTTTTTTTGGAAAATGTGAATAGTTCAGTACAAAATGAATGTATTTTCCAAATTTGATCAAAATATGTCCATAAACAAGCAAACTACAACAGTTGACTTATTCTACATAAGAATAACATGAGAATTTTAAATTTACAATTTTTTGGAATTTTTACCGTAACCATTAGGCGCATAACCACGCTTCAATAAACTAAATTATTTGTTTTTTTAAGCTCTACAAAATGGTTTGGAAATAAATTGTGAAATTTTATGTTTATAGGGTCAAAAATGGGAAAACCCTATTTTTACCCCATAAAACCCCCCATGAACCCCTGTTACCATAGTCCGATCATGCTGGTTCGCGAACTCGTTTGAATAAATGTAAGTTTACACGTTTATATGAAATTTCATCAAAATCGGATCATTATTGCTTGAGTTATCGTGCTAACAGACATATATATATATAAATTTGAACAGATGGTGTTTTTGGCCTCTAGAGACCTCAAAACGAAAAAAAAACTCGGTCCCAGGTCCAGGTCTTACGATGAGTGCTACGGTAATAGCTTATTCCCTATATGGGAAATTTGCTAAAAGCCTTTACAAAGTTTCATGTAGTGTATTAATAATATATATGAGCGTTTTGGGTAAATACAGTGGTAACAGCTAAGATCTTGCTATGAGGATCAAGCTAATAACCCTCCCTGTTTTATTCGGGGCATTGAATATACTTGTACATCTATATTAAGGAAGGAAAGCCATAGTAACACTTTTAAAATTATGAAGATTCTATACAGGTAAAAATAGAACTATGATTTAAATTAAACTACCATGGAAACAATTTAAACCAATTAAAAGTTAAATTGTAGCATTAAAACACTTCACATTGTAAATAACTATGTACCAAGTTTTAAAAGAATCTTTTAATACTGACACCATCCACTAAGAAGGAATAAGACACTTCTTCCCTGTACATAGCCTAAATTGCTTGTATTACTCAAGCACTCAAGTTCCATATTGGTTTGGTAAGCTAAATTTGGCAAGTGGGTGAGAGTCCATTGGACTTGTCACTCAAAACTGTTGTTGTACAGGTAGATGTTGCTGAACCATCAAGATATGAAGAGATTATCAGAGAAAAACTCTTCACTTCTGCAAACCAACCATTATTTAGGCCCTCCTTTAAAGTTTCAATAGAAAACTCTAAACAAATTATATTATTTAACTTGATTTAAAAATAAAATACTAATCCTAACTAATATATTTTACATTATATACACAATTAGGAGTTTTGAATTACTAAACCATGAAGTATCACAGTAAACAGTTTCAAGAGGTTTGTTGTGATCTATTTGTTATGATAGGTTTTTTATTTTTGTAAAAACCAAATATGAACTTTAAATTCATTATTTAATAATTAATACAATTTCTGACACACAAATAAAACAACACAACAAAACTTTGCAATTCCGTGAGACGAATGATTTTTTCAAGTGGCAGAGTACTCCTCAGTCACCCCATAATTTGGCCCGAATTCCAAATTTGTCAGGGTACCTTAGGAGGCTTTTAGACGTAAAACCACTAATGATCGGGTACGCAATGTATCAAGGACTGCGTCCTTACTTTGGATTCCGCTTCAAAATCTGTGGTAGCCAGGTGCTGTTGATCAGTGGGGTGTTTGTTGTTGCATTGACTAGTGCCGGAATATCCTCGCTGGAGTGGCGCCCGGCTTGAGGAAGGCCCAATGTCGGCAAACATTTTCTGATAACACTGAATTCCGGAGTCTGAATGACTCAGTCCCTCAGATGGTAGAGGTTTCTGTATACAGGGGGGCCACTGAGCGCTGCAGTGGTGGGTGTGTAGGCTTTCTTGGGTTCTGCCCAGATTGTCTGCACATCGCTTCTACTGTTTGATCCCTCTAGGATGCGGATATAAAAACCTTAAAAATACTCCCTCAAAACTCCCTGATACAGTAGGAATGATAGGCTCCCAAAGTAGGAACTTAAGAACTGCGGGAATTTCTCTTCTAGTGCCCCTTGACTCCGACTCTAGGGTCGTGATTAACATACATGGATTTCCCTCAACAATTCAAACAAAAGAGAGATATCAGAAGAAAAAGAAGACACTGCATGAAAAAGTCATCGTAGATGCTGTCACGTCAAAAGTGAAAACAAAATCCACAGCAAAGGCAAGTTTAAACAATCAAGGCAATGTACTTTGAAAATCACTGGATTGAGAATGAAGACAAGACTACGTAGAACACCGAAATCTGAAGAAGACAATGAACCCTTGGATCTAAACAAAAGGTAATTTTCTCAATAAGCAAATATTAGATAAGTTGTGCTAAATAGAAGACAAGTTAGTCGATAATCTTAACTTTTGTTATATATAGAGTCTGAAAATATCTATCTCTCACCCACTGCCAAGCATAAAATACCGTCCATTAACAAAGGTTTAGTTTACCAATACCAACTTGTATATTTTGTTACAAACTGTTTATTGAACATTGTTTAGGTGTAAGTGTCATAAGTTGATTAAATTACATGACCTCGTGCTGTATTACATTTATTAACAATTTAGCCATAATGCAAGTTAGGTGGGCTTGGTAATAAAAATTATAAGAATAGACATCAAAAAGCAATTCACACTCCCAAGAGTCAGTAAAATGTTTGACCCATCAAGACGCAACGAGCTGCAACGAGGGAGGGTTCACGCAGCTATTATAAAAAAAGGTCTTTATTAAGCAAGCATCTTTAAACAAAATTCCCCCCCCCCCCGAAATATAATATATATTGTTAGGTAACATAAATACTATTAGCTTGAGCAGATTTTATAGCTCAAATATAAATAAAAATACGTTTTTAGGCTTTAAATTCCACATTTTTTAATATTCCATACCCCCAGCCCAGTGGTCATTCCCCCCCCCCCCCCCCCGAAATCAAATCCTGGGACCGCCACTGATTAACCCTCCGTCTGAATCAACCAATCAGACTACAATTAAACCATATTATGTTAAATTAGTTAATCAATGTCGCATTCTTCAAAGATGTAGTTGGAGTCTGTACATCCAAAACCTTTGAAACTAAAAGTTCTGAATTGGATTGTTATTATTTTTAACTAATATTTATCTAAATAGTTATTGGTTATGTAATTAGATGTCATAGGCATTTTTAAATACGTTCATTTACCAAGTTTTTCAAGTGTTGAAAAAATTTTTAAATGCTCTAACTGGATTGTTATTATTTTTAACTAATATTTATCTAAATAGTTATTGGTTATGTAATTAGATGTCATAGGCATTTTTAAATACGTTCATTTACCAAGTTTTTCAAGTGTTGAAAAAATTTTTAAATGCTCTAACTGGGAGAAAATTAAATTTAATCTCTTCATCTTACTGTTTCAGTGAAAATTGTGTGCTTAATTTCACAATTTCTAACAGTTTGGGCCAAAGTGGGAATTATTTAAAAAAATTCCTACCAGTGTGGTATTTTAGCGAATTTCCCATATAAGGAATGAGCTATTACCGTAGGTCTCATGGTAAAACCTGGACCCGGGACCAATTTACTTTTTCATTTTGATGTCCCCTGAGGCCAAAAACACCATCTGTTTGATTTTTTTTTATATATGTGTCCATTAGGCCAATTAACTCAAACAAAAATGATTTTTTTCTCTCCAAACCATTGTGAAGAGCTTAAAAAACAAATAATTTAGTATATTGAAGTGTTTTAGTACGGTTATCTTCTTACAAAAGAAATTAAAAAATTGTAATTTTAAAATTCTCATATTATACTTATGGAGAATAACTTGAATAAGTAAACTGTTGTAGTTTGATTGTTAATAGATGTATTTTGACCAAACATGGCAAATTTATTTATGTTATACGGTTATACTAAGCTATTAATATTTTACAAAAAAGACACTTTATTACAATCTTTGTAGAAGGACCTAATGCTATTTTCTTTTTTTTTTCCTAAGACGCTAGGCACGAGCCCGGGATTGTTTTTCACATTACTTCAGGCTAGACCTAGAGTTTACGGCATTATCACTTAAATAAAATCCATTGGTGATTTGGCGGTATTTGAACCCGAGACCACAGGGACCGAAGTCCCGCGCTCTAACCACTAGACCAGCTCGCTTCCCTAATGCTATTGAAATAGATTTAATTGAAAATAAAATCAGGTAAATTCGCTTAGTCTGCAGGTTTGCTGTGGCAGGGGTATTTTCAATCAACTCAGGAGTGATGGATCACCATACAAATGTGACAGTACTTCCTGGTTTATTAATACTGTACAATATTGACTTATTTATCACTATCCTTACAAGGGTATGATTTCTAGAATGGTAGAACTCAAAGGGGGAGTTGTTGACTTTCCCCTTCATGATTTACCATCAACCATCCCTATAATTAATTCCCTCCTCTAAAGACATTTGTGCTGTAGTTCAACCAAAACTAGCAAAAGTAATAATTTTTCAATTCCTTTTCAATTGATAAATTATTTTCCCCTAGAGAGGTTACCAAAAACAGTTTTCTATGCAATTCTCTCTCAAGTCAAGCTCCATTTTAAACAATGAAGCAAAATTTAACGCAAAAAATATGTTATAGTTTTTAACCATAAATACACAGCCAAGCCAATATTTTAGTCTTAATTTCACAATCATTTACTTACCTGAAGTTTGAATATTGCACCTTGGTCGTCCTGTCGCAGCCTATCGTACGAGCCGACAGTCTGTGACAGTTCCGCCAGCCTCGCCTCCAGGTTGGCCACCCTCTCTTCATGCATTGCTGCCAACTTTGCAGCTCTATCTTCTGCTTCCCTCGCTCTCTCTTGTTCCTAATCAAAGTTGTGATCAATCTTAAATATCCACAATACATTGTACTAGCAAGTAGGCTTGTTTAAAAACTCAGATTATCCAACATGTTTCAATAGCTTGCATCAGCACGACAGTTGTTGCCGTTGGCTCGATTACAATAAGTTCATCGCTATTCTAAAACAGGCCAAGCTTTTACATGGGATGGGATATCTAGTAGGGTGGTGCGAAAAAACTCAACCTGTGAAATTGAAGTTGGTATAGTGCGGAAAATTTGCGATTGGTACATACAAGAAAAACAACAAATTAAAAAATTGGCATTCATATTCAAATTGCGCAATCAGCCAGAATTAAAAAAAGAATTAAAAAATTAAAAAAAATTCAATGTTTTTTATACATTTTTTTAAAGTTTCGGCTGATTGCGAAATTGGAAGATGTACTTCGATTTCAAAATTTTTTCTTTTGTTTTTCTTGTATGTACCAATTACAACTTTTCCGCACTAAAGCAACTTCAATTTCACAAATATTCGCACTACAGTACCCTAATATCTAGTCCTATCCATAATTAAAGTCTCTATTTGTCTCGGTTCTATTACTTCTCGTACCCTGAGCAGAGCAATGCTATGTTGCTGCTTGAGTGACGCCATCTCCTCCTGTAGTGTAGACAGTAGGGGAGTGGCCGAGTCTTTCTCTCTCCGCAGCTTACGTCTCAACGCCTCCACAGTGTTGGACAGTTCCCGCTCTCTACGCTCGGCTGCGCTGCGGTATTGCGTCCACTCCCGTCGCACGCCCTCTGCCCCAGCCTCTATCGTCTCACGAGCTGTTCGCTCTTCTGCCAACAGCTTCTGCAGCTCTCTAAACGTAAATTGTTTCTAGTCAATTTGAATTACCTCCGTTTCTTGGAATTTTCTAGCCTTTATGAGGTTTACATGTTCTCCTGCCTAACATGTGAGCAAGAATAAATAATCTATTGCCTTCTGATTCATAGGTTGATAGATTATGCTAACCAAAATTATAAAAATATAACAACTCTAGTTGAAGTACCCTGCATACAAAAACACTAAGGTAAGATTACAGTGGCTCAGAAAAACTTGTTAGGCAGTCTTTTTTTATAAATTGTACACAGTTAACATTCTATTATATGTTCTTACGATTTGTTTTTACACATCAATCAAACAAATGTCCACAAAACTAAGTGGGTCATAGTTCTTGCCTTCAAATTTTAATATCACAGGCTAAATCCCAAGTGAGATTGATTCCGGACCCATATCATTGGGCTAATAATAAATTTGGCTAATCTAACAAAACGTATAAAAATATGTTATATAGTAACAAGAATAGGATTTTGACTGTTTCCATAAATAAAAAAAAACTGAATACTTTGTCAAAAACTACCAACTTGTAGATAAATTCCATAGTTCAAGATATTTTACTTTGGGCATAACAATTCCAGACCCAAAACCAGATGTTAGAAATGATGAAAAAGAATTCCTATAACGTATGATGCCAAACGAAACCTATTAAAACCTTATGAAAACTATAGAAATTTAACATCAATAAACTTAAACTCTTAATGAACCACTTGGTACAGACTAATTTTTTTTTACATTAGCGGTAACATCATGACATTAGCGGCATACATACTCATAATGTAGTTCAAATGTTATCCCCATAACAAATATGTTTTTTCTATCAATTCTTACCTAATCATCACCCCATGGTCGTTGTGTTCTTTCTCTCTCTGATGCCTCTCAACGATCAGCTTTGACTTGTAGTTTTCCAACTCATTTTGATGAGCACGAGCTGACTGATCGAGTTGTTTTTGAAGATCTTTGATGAGTTTATCTTTCTATTGAAAGCATATAAAAACTTTAAATGAGATTGATCAAGGAAAGTATACAAATAAAATTGTTAAAATGTAGGCTATGCTGAACATTATGATGACTATAAATGCAATTTAACCCTTTCGATGCTAGAATTTTTGTTGTGATTTTTTGAAAAATGCTGGAGTTATTTATTTATTCTTTCTGAAAAGTGCTAGGCTTGCCTCGGGGGAGGAGTCTAGTGTGCAAGAAAGAAAATCTGTAAAAATAAAATTTTTCATCTCAAAAGTGCTTAGGAACCATATATCGGGCCTCGATTGTATGAGGAATCAAAAGAAACCAATGCTGTTTTGAAACAACAACCGACTCAACCAATATGCCCATTTAAACACACAGGATGGAAAGTTGCACCGGCACGATATATTGTCGCAGAGCACTGAAAGGGTTAAAGGATAATACAGTACAACCATAGATTAAACTTAGTACTCTCTTATATAGATTTATCATCTTTATGAATCAGCCGAAAACAATTTTAACTTTTAAGGTTAGTTTCATCAGGTTTATATAGGGGGAATAGTTTTGTTTACTATTTGTCATATCCCAGAGTCTATCTTGACAACTTCTGGTTAATCTATTACAATGATTCAGTTCAAATAATGGTCAAGACAGATGTTTGATTGTTACTGTTAACATTCTTACTCACTAGAAATTATGTAAAGGATTTGACTTCTTATTCAATACAAGTTTTTTAGTGTGTGCATTTATTAATACTAGAGGTCGTCCAGTGGTCGAAAACTCGACCAAAAATATGTAATGTACTGACTCCTTTTTTTTCCCTCCAAGCTGTAAATAAAACATGTGATTGGAATTTCTTCCATTTTTGTTTTGATTTTCTGTTTATAATTCGTTGTTATTTCGTCACCAGCATAGCAACCCATAAAGCCCATGTTAATTTTTTAAAATTTTAAATTCATTTTTTGTGCTTATTTTTTAGTCTATTTTAATTTATAAAGGGATTCTGCACATCTACAGGAAAATATCTTTCTAACAGTATGCATAGATTTTCAGTGCAATGCACATTAGCTGAGAAAAAAGGTTTTAACCCTCCGAGTGTTAGCATCGACACATAACACATTTTGTGTAGTGTTTTGTGTCGATGCATCGACTCACAAACACTGTTTACGGCGAAGGCTCTATGACTGACAAAATCGGATTGAACTGGATCGAGTTAGGTATCGTTTTATTTGACAGATTCAGAGCTTTCTCCGGAGGTCTATCTCTAGGCACTTTTCATTTTAGTTCCGAAAATATTGTAGCAGACAGCTGACGTGCGTATTTGTAAACAGCTTGGTTAACCTCGGACCGATGACTGATGTGTTTTATTACGTTTATCATTAATTTAGTGTTAAAATCAAAAGTAGTGATATACGTGGTGCATTATAAGAAGATTTAAGTGATTTTGAAGGGCTGGTTGATGATCCTGAAGAAGTAGTTAGTGATATTGATGTAAATTATCAGCCAGATTCCTAGCTATGGTTAGGCTATGCATTCTTAGCTAAACGCTATGTACTGAAATCTGTTTTTTGCCCATAACTTATTTATTTGCAAATCTACTTCCTTATATTATTATATATTTGTAATCCTCATAAAAATATATATCATTTGTGGTTATTTTCAAATATTTATAGGCCTATAATTTATACAATTTCATTGAGCGCGAACTTTTTTTTTTTGAAAATTTTCCATAATATTTTTTTGAAACAAATGTTCCTTATGTTTTATGTATAATATTGAAGCCTGTGATTTTCCAAACAAAATGGTATATAGAACAGTATTATTAACATTGTTTTCAAGCTTCTCAGATCCGTTTTAATAAAACCTTGCAAATGAGCAAAAAATAGGCAGACATTAAGGCCAAAACAAGGGACACTCGGAGGGTTAAAGGAACATGCTTGCCTATTAATATATAGATGAAATAAAATATGCCAGGCCACCAATTCAAGTCACAATGCTAATTAGTTTCTTGTCACTTGATTTATTTTATTTTAAAACAATTTTATCTAAAAAAAATTAGTAATAGTAGTAATACATTGCTAAACAACTCAACCATTACCAAACATTAAATTCTCTTCACCTAATCCATAAGGGAGGTATACGTATATAATGTTTATGGTAGTGATAATATTTAAAAATATGTGGTTGTGGTTAACCCATTTTAAAAGGCAACAGCCAGGCATCAGAATTAGTGAGTTGCAAACATCTAGAAATAAATATTGTGTCAAAACAAACATTGTAAATAAATAGCATGGTCCAAACAATCAACCTATTTCTAACAAATAATAAAAGTTTGTTGTGTGTTTAAAGTCTTACAAACCAGAGAAGTCATTACGGGTTAGGAGTTTTCAAGCATTTGAAATACACTGACATTAATGGACAACGTGTACATGCAGTATGCAGGCACAGAGTGTTTAATTTATGCCAGAGTGAACAGCTGGGGCCATTAACATGGTTATTATTTGCTAATTTCTAAACTGTTGAGCCAGTACTTAAACATAGTTTCATTATTTTCCCTTCACATTATATTCAATACAAAATGCATCCCTTGATTAGAAAGCAATCAATGTGTAATAAAATATAAGAACACTACTACCGGTAAGCTAACTTTAGTAGGAATAAAATACAATTGTAAAATTGTTATGACCTTATCAAGTTTATTAGTTTACAAAGCCACCCCCGTTGAAAATATAGGCCTAAAAAACATTGCATTTAATTAAATTCTATTAACATTTCAACACTAATAAAACCAAATTAGAACATAATTGTTTTATCTATAATATATTACCTTACTTAACCCTCCGAGTTTTATGTGTCGTAAAAGCGACTCATAACACACCCGCTGTAGTGTTATGTGTCGCTTTTGCGACTCACAAACACTGTTTACGGCGACGGCTCTGGGACTGACTGAATCAGATTGAACTGGATCGAGTTAGGTATCGTTTTTTTCAGCAGATTCAGAGCTTTCTCCTGATGTCTGTTTCTATATGCTTTTCATTTTAGTTCCGAAAATATTGTAGCAGACAGCTGACGTGCGTATTTGTAAACAACTTGGTTAACCTCGCACCGATGACTGATGTGTTTTATTACGTTTATCATTGTTTTAGGGTTAAAAAATCAAAAGTAGTGATATACGTGGTGCATTATAAGAAGATTTAAGTGATTTTGAAGGGCTGGTTGATGATCCTGAAGAAGTAGGTAGTGATATTGATTTAAATTATCAGCCAGATTCCTAGCTATGGTTAGGCTATGCATTCTTAGCTAAACGCTATGTACCGAAATCTGTTTTTTGCCCATAACTTATTTATTTGCAAACATACTTCCTTATATTATTATATTTTTGGAATCCTCATAAAATTCTGAACAAAGTGGCTATTTTAAAATATTTGTAGACCTATAAATTATAACAATTTATTGAGCGCAAACATACATTTTTTTAATTTATTTTATAATTTTTGAGAAATGTTGACCCCACAAAAATTGTTGAACATTTTTTTTGTAATGTTTTATATGTTACATTGAAGCCCATAATTTTCCAAACAAAATGATATATAAAACAGTATACTTTACATTGTTTTTAAGTTTCTAAGATACATTTTAATAAAACCCTGCGATTGCGCAATAAATGGGCGAACATTGTAACGAGTTATTTTTCCTAGGGGGGTAAATATTTGCTATTTGGGCCGCGCGTCTGTTGAGGTTGCAAGCGGTGGCGGCGAACCTGGCTAGCGCCCTTTGACCCGGCTTATCAGTTCGGATAAGCTTGAGTATCCTGGAACTACCGGACAGCCGAGGACGGACATTCGAGTCGTGGCCTACGGTGAGTGAACAGCTGGTTCGTGATTGTCGAGTGAGACGTGGAGTGCTTTGGTGACATCGGTGTCGTGTGATATAGGTGCTCAAGGCGTGTTGGTGTTAAGTTGGGTGTTAAGACCCACTACTGGTGAGTGGACGACATTCTTTTGATTTTGGTTAAGGAGCCGATATTATTAGTTTAATAATATTAATATCTGATTTTATTGCGAGAGTTAGAGTTGTAACCGTGCTGGTCAAAGCCTGACGGTAGTTGTATTAGTCAGGAATAATATTAAAGTGTATTCCTGACGGTTCTGGGCAGGTGCTAGAGCGCAAATAATATAATTTATTGACTGTAGTAGTTATTATTTTGCGTTGTACCAATTGTCAGTTATATTACTAACTAGCTGGCCCGACAGACGTCGTCCTGTCCTATGCTTTTATGTCAAATGATTGTTCATTTTCAAGATCCTGGTTGAAGTTCGTTTGCTACGCTCACTCACCTTTAGGTTGGAGCTCGTTCGCTGTGCTCACTTGCCTTCAGGTTGAAGTTCGTTCGCTACGCTCACTCACCTTTTGGTTGCAAATTAGCTGTTGTCATAAATTTAAAAAATATAATTGTGCTGCACCCTGTTGGTAAACTTATTAACTTTTAATGCTATTGAACATCACAGAATCAAATTGCTTAGTTAAACCAGCTGTTAATTTTCTTTAATTCTATTTAAATATGAGTACTCATAAGGTTAACATGGGAAACTCTAGAGCCACTGGGGCGGAGCCCTTTTGACGGATCTGCACCAAACTTTACACAAACCATCATTGAATAATGCTTAATAATACCTGAAAGTTTCATTACAATCTGTCGAGCGGTTTCGGAGTCCATAAAGGACAAACATACATTGGATTTTATATATATAGATAACTGTGAGGCCCGACAAACCTAGGCTGCACGATTTAGCGTGCGTAGTTGGAAGCACGTGGCCAGTAGGCTAGTAGCTAATATTATTAGCCTATTAACAGAAGCCCAGCTAACTAATATTAAGTAGGTAGTAGCAGTAGTAGGGTTGTTGTCGATTAATCATTTGATTAACTTAATTTAACCTGAACAGCTTGTTTGGTAATCCAACTTGTTATCTTGGTAGCTTGGGTAGCGGAGTACCGGCTATCAGATAATATATTTATCTGGTGTTTGGAACGTATTTACTATTTATTTATCTGCTGCTAAGTAACTCAATAATTTGATAGTAGTGCAATTGGCATTTAGCTTTGCTTGTTTGGCTTGGTATTTATTGAGACCAGCTGCTAGAGGTGTAGTCACTCTGCCGTTAGTGCACTTGTATTATTATATGGTATTATTATTGAGTAAATTGTCTGATTCTTAGCTTGGGCATTAGAGTTGTGTATTGGATTATAGTGGCCTAGTAGACCCCGCCTGGTGATAACGCGCGTTGTGGTTTTTATTGGCAAGTCGTCGTGTAACTCACTGTGTTTTAGGCACTCTGGGCTTAACTATTGGATAGTGAGAACGAAGCCCGAGTTGCGTAGTCATCAACGACCCCCTAGGAGTGTGGAGAATCGGCGTAGGCCTGGTAGTGATTATTGCACGTTTGTTTTGGTGACTTGATTTTTACTTGTTCACAGTGCCCGTGTATGAGCCAGTCCTATACCGGTTAGACCCGGCTATTGGCCTAGTGGTTTCCCTGACTTTATCGCAGACCCTGGAATTTCACCCAGCCATTGTAGGCTGAGCTATCCCCGGCAAACGGTTGCGACTGCACTTACTTTTAATATATTTTCCCAGTGCAGAAAGCACCGTCGCAACATTAAGACCAAAACTAGAGACACTTGGAGGGTTAAAAGCACAATAGATAATTTTGGAATGTTTTGATTAATTAGAAAATAGGCCTATAGAATCAAGGAGATAGTTCAACAAAAGGTCTTTAACTTTGAAAGTAAAATTACGGTATGGCCTATTTTCCTAACCATTAGCAACATAATAATAATTTGAAAGTTACATACATCTTCTTTTTCTGTCCTCATCTGCTTTCTGTCAGCCTGAAAACTGGCTTCCATTTTAGACTTCTCTTCCGACAGAGTTGCTATTGAGTTCATCAAAGTTGTAAGTTGGTTTTTTAGTTGGTCTGCGTCCTCATTATCTTGATTCGCTTCATCCTCTTCTACTTTAGGCTAGAGGAAAAGAAAAAATTATTACTTCATAGCTTTTATACTGTAAGAAACTTTTGAACAGTACAAGAGTTTACACAGTACATTTTAACTTTTTACAACTCTGATATCTGGTGTTGATGGCAAGTTATTTAACAGATGAAGGGGGCCTAGTCGACTCCCACATCCAGAAATGCCAAGGATGGATGTTTTCTAACTTATTTTTGAATTAGTTATGCTCACAAATTGGTGAAGAGGATATGTACAGCATGTACGAGGGCTGTGAAGAATGTAACCTCCTATCAGCTACATAAATGACTGGGACGGGTGGCGTCGTCCTGTAATCCAGCTACTAGGAGGTCACGAATTGTGGATATTTATAGGCATGCACTGTGGATGCATACTCCCTAGTGTGGATTAATGTCCGCACTAGTAAGTAGGCCTACTACGACTATCCGCAGTACTATCCAGATAATTAGACCAATTCGTATATACCAAGGCAAAAATGTGGTTCGGATTCCACAATAAATTGTAGGTACCTTAGTTGCCATTAGCTGTATGGGCTATTAATTAACAGCTGTGTCTAAGGAATATGTCGGCCTTAGTCACTAACAAGACTACAAGATCGTGCCACTCATCCTACACTCATCTCCATTCATACTTGGCTTAAAATACCTACTTTGTATGGTCGCCATTTCATTGAAAAGTATTAAAGTAGGCCTATAAAAAAGCAACTAGGCCTACGTACGTAAAATCAATTTATCATATACAAATTAAAACCATATCTTTTCTTAATTCATCAACAAAATTATCATAAAACTTTTCACTATATGTAGTATCTTTTTTCAAACTTCAAAATTCAGTCCATATTATAAGAACCATATCACATCTTTTAGTTCTTTATCATCACTGAACTGCTGAGATCCCAGCCACTACTTCAAATGCAAGAAGAGATGGCTGTACATCAAATCTCGTCTGTGGGACAGATGTTGGTATATGTCCTAATCGAACCTTTCTAGAAAATCTCTTTGTATCTGAGCATCATGATGTTGGAGCAAACCGGATGTTGGCATACAACGGTGTTTAGCTATGGCTTCTTGGTGATGAACCAATCACAAAATAACCCTCCTCATCACATTAGGTCTAAACTCTACGCATGATTCCCAAGCCGTGGCTGAATACCTTTTGACGTTAAAGTAATTAAAGCCCGAACATCTAATATGGCAAGGTTTTCGATTGTGTCTTTCAATTTGAGACACGATTGAAATTCAGTTTGTAAAAACAAAATAAGCCAACACCTTCACATTACCACGGCTGGACGCTGACTGACCTGATGCATACGTAAATACAAAAGCGGCAGTGCTACGCTCACTTCTCTTGGCCCGTTGACAAACAGAGGATAGTTTCCAAACCGCTTTTATATTTCTTGTCAAACTGTAGAAGTAATATTGATAAGACAAACAATGAATCACATATATATAGACACAATTCACAAAATACATAAATGTTATAATACAGAAATGAAAAATAATTAAATTATCCGTGTGTAGAAACATCATGTCGCCTACCTTTAAATTAACAGGTATTTCATCATTACTGGAATCGATTTCAATTTCTTGACTGGAGGATTTTCCCAATACTCGCAGACTTAAATGTAAAGCTTCATTTTCTTTGATAAGCCTCTTGTGAGCCGCTACAACATCTGTAAAAAAATCCAAATAACCGACTAATTTAATAGTTTAAGGATGTAAGAACAAAAAGCACAGATACACTTTACACTATACAGTACTCAAAAATTATAATATTTTGACTGTCTATTACAGGGTTTTCAAATAAAGAGCTAAATTTAAACATATTGTTTTATTGTAATGCAGAGGTCTCACAAACCCGGGAGTTCAGATAACTCAGTATGTGACCAAGAATTTAAAAGAATTTGTATGTTTATGCAAAACCGAAATCCGAGGTGAATGTAACGTTGTGTCATAACTGTACCATATAAATTTGGTTTTGAATGTTCTCATTTCATGTTTTTTTACTTTTAGTTCTGTCGGTGTTGTTAAGTTGAAATTGCTGTCTTTAGTGGTGTATTAAATGAATAACATATTATTCTCTGAGAGCATTGGTGTCATGTCAATTTTTGCAGTGGTGGAAAGGTGCACCTAGCCCAGAACTGAGGCATATCACTGCCAAATATATACAAACATCATCTTTTATACGGTACTTATAAAGAATAGATATTATAGTTCATGAAACAGCATTCTGAATAAAGTCGATGATGATTCTTAAACCACTTTTCTTTAAAACTTTCTTAAAAAAATGAAACAAATGGATTTTTTTTTTCTTCAGATTGTTTGGGTTTGGCCCGACGTGTTCTTGTGTTACCTATCTGCTACATCTGACATGTATTTAAACGTAGAATGGGGACCATGTCAAAAAGTAGTGTACCAGTAGTTTGCCAGATTTTGGCAACATTTAGGTTATGTGGTATTCATTCTTAGGCCTACGGTAAAAACATTTTTATAACATCCATAAAACTATTTTTATTCGTTTTTTGTACCAACAACATTGTTTTGTACGCACAGAAAAATATTTCTTATTTACAATTAAATTTGTTAGGCCTATAGGCTATCAGCTTTTATTAAACTTTTCCACTTTTGTCTAAACCAGTGCCGGATGGCGTTCCAGGGCGTTCCGGCACCATGATACACCTGTCAGAAAACATTTTTGTAATGCTTATAGTTATTATTCTTCATAACTGCATAATTCTGCATTTTGACAAACTACTGTAGCCCCCTTCAGCACATTCAACACATTAGGCCACGTTTTTGAGACTCTAATGTATTTTTAATTTGAATAAACAATTAATTGTCTTTTTCTATCAATATAAATTTACAATAGCCTAAGGTATTAGATCTGATGACAAATTATAAATAATTTACCTTGTAACCTTGTTCGGTAACGTTTTAGGTCCTCATCTTGTTTGGCTATGATGGCTAGAAGATCTTTCTTACTTGCTTTGTCCATGATCAATTGAAACTATCAGTTTGACTTATGATTTAAGTTACCTGTAATAGGAATAATGGTTTCAGTTAGACTTTGGATCTGAGCTATATATTTTATAATCTATGATCATTTTGGTATCAACACTTTCTTCCAATAGGCCTAGACCAAAAAATTGCTAGACGAGTCTATGAATAACTTATGTTATAATGAGATTCATTATTTTATACCTTCCTTTAAAGGCTCTTGTTAGATACAAAGTTGATAAGAACTTATTAAATTTAGCAAACTTTAAGCCTAATGCCAGTTGTTTATTATTGATGAATGCAGTAGAGCCAAACGGAAGTAATTCACCCAAAACAGGGATAAAAAAGTATGCCTACTTTTTGTTGCAACTCTATTGTTTTACTACTGTTTAGTAAAATTAAGTAGGCTAGCTGTAAGTTAATTTGACTGTTATCAAAACCTACAGTAGGCCTACTCAAATTGGTTTTCCAAGCTAGGAAGCAAGTTAGTAAGCTAAATAGGCCTAGATAAGTTAGACGCTAAACTTAATGTATTTCACTGCTTTAGTCTAATTAAGTTTAACTATGAGAGCAAGATAATACGGGACATGTAGCAGTCCTATCCTAATCAAAATCTGGTGACACGTAAAGAAGAGTTACTTTACCATTTATTTGAACATTGAGCCATCCCTCGTCACAAACTTACATAAGTTATCCTTTTCAATACCATATTGCACCTTTAGCAAAATAAGATAAATCACATACAACTGTAATCAGGGTGATAATTATAAGTTAAAACAGGAGTTAGAATAAAGTTTAATAAATAAAAATCTCAAATAAGATGAAAGCTCTAATATAGCATTGTCACTAGAACATTCCTGATCAATCAAAAATCGATAATCCTGCCTAGACGATCCTTCCAATAAAAACAAGTTAAAAATTATCTAGGTAGCCAAGTGGTGGTGGCGCTCGCTGCCCGCCTTCAGATATGCCCTGTTTATCTGTGAGTTACCACCTTATTGGTCTCTCGTCAGAAAAGTAAACTCCAGATCAGAATATTTTGTTCAACAAACCCTCCACCTTGTCCGGCCTATATTTCTCTATTATGCTAGGGTTTATTCTATGTCTTTCCTGTTATATTACGCATCACTTCATTTTCTCATCAATGGGCCCTACGAAACGGACACCATCTTACTCACAAACAAAATAATGTCTCTTGGCGCTTTGTTGCTATTGTACTCTAGCTAAGCTTACTTAAAGTTAAAATGAAGAAAGTAGGTATGGTAGCCTACCTAAAGGCTCAATAGAGGCGTGATTAAATTTGGTATAGGCCTAGGCCTACTGTTTGGTGTTACCACAGACAATAGACCATAATGTCGTGTTACCTATTCACTTTCTAACAACAAAATTTTGGTTCCAACTAAAAAGCACATCGTAGAAACATACCTGTTAAGTTGTTCCTGCCTTGATAACCAATTAACCTAATACACACTTAGTTACAAACAGTTTACTTGGTGACATGCCATCTTTTAAAAAGTCAAAATACACCAAAATTACACAAAAAGTATGAAATAACTAAGGATTTCCGAAGAGCCAATCCATATTATTTTAACGATGCAGCTACCTAAGAAATAAGAATAATTAGATTAGGCATGCACAGTAAAATAGCATTCGAGTTTGACGTTTCGTTTGACATCAGATCAGACAGAAGACAGAAGAAACGTGACACGTGTAACAGCTGTTACCTTACCAGTTAGTAACAATAACAAAACAAACCAACCACAGTTTTTTTCTAGTTTACTACAGGGGTGAAACAATAACCATGAAGCTGCTATACTAACACAAACAATAGCACCGACTTTTAATTATAGCATGATTATAGCCATTGATTTATAGTACTCCGAATTCTTATCACACTGCAAAATTTGAAGGAAGCAATTTTTAGGTTTGAGTGCTAATTTTGGACAGTAAATTTTTTCTCTTACTTTAAGGTTTACTTAATGATGTTTGCTACTTCTATATGTACCAACGGAATTAAACTTAACATGACGTATCTTAACTTATCAAGGATGGTAAGTCCATAAGGTGTATATGATCATAATATAAATTTAATAAAGGCAATAGCCTAGCATTATTAGTGGGTTAATCAGTGGGTCAACATTCCACAGATGTATATATTGTTTTTATCATCTTACTTCAGTGAGGAATTCCGTGACCATGTGTTCCATTGGCGGTTACTCAGTGAGACTCACAAAAACTGTGACAATAGTGCCTGAGGGGCTAGCCATAAAGTTTACCCCTATCAGAATGTATGCTTTCCTATATGAATGTATGCTATTTTGTTTCTTATGTAATACCTGACCTGTGTAAGCAATGCAGGTCTCGATTTGCTGGGGAACGTGGTTAATGCGATTGCGTCGACCATCGGATGCTTTTGGGCAAGATACAGCACTACGGAGTCGGTGGGGCTGCCCTTAACCTATTAAATTCTTACTTAAGCAACCGAAGACAAGTGGTTTGTATCAAGGGCGAGCGGTCAGCTATGTCTAATGTAGTATGCGGAGTCCCGCAAGGGTCCATACTTGGGCCGTTTCTATTTTTAGTATCGATAAAATGATTTGCCTAATAATATTCTCTGTGATACCTATTTATATGCTGATGACTCGACCTTTCTTGTGCATGGTTCTGATATAGATTTATTAAGTTTGCATGTTAAAGATGTAGTTGGTAACATTTCAGACTGGTTTGCAGCAAACTCTTTTCTCTTAAACAACGAAAAAACAAAATCTGTCATATTAGCTTAAGAAAAGTACCTGATGTTTTTGATTCACAAGATTATGTTAAGTTTTTGGGTGTTTTGATTGATAAACAATTAACCTGGTCACAGCAGATTGATCAACTAACAAATAGGCTTTCAAGAATTGTTTTCTTGTGCTCTAGATTAGTGCACTACGTTCCTTTTGATTATGTAAAATCTGCTTATTTTGCGTTATTTCAGTCAATTGCTTCATATGGTTTAATTTATTATGGTAGCTCTCCTAAAATCCACGAGGTACTTCTATCTCAGAAAAAAATCATCAGAATAATGTGTAAAGAGGATAGTGAAGCACACTGTAAACCCCTTTTTATTGAATTAAAAATATTGACCATCATTAACATAGACATAGACATAGACATAGACATGTTTTATTCATGAATTTGGTACAAATTATACAATGTACATCTCAATCGTCAAATACATTTTATGGTCTAGTAGCATTTAAATCAAAACGAAAAATAATTAGTTAAATCTATTTTATTCTAAAGATTTAAACAAATAAGTCAAATAAAAATGCCATGTTGAATGAGATCAGGCAGACAGGAATTCTTCGGTACTGTAAAACTCACCTTCCACCAAATAATTTTTCAGTAATTTCCCAAAACCATTAGAACCCAACCTTGAACTGCACTGCTTTACTTCTTCAGGAAGCCTATTAAAGAAAAATGGGCCCGAAAAATTTGCATTCCTTTCAGAAAGGGTCAGACGATGACATGGAGTACGAAGATCTCCTCCATGCCTAGTGGGGTATCTATGACATTGACCAACCGATGGAATATCCTTCAGATGATTTACTGCAGACATTATTGCTCTGTAGATGAATATAGAAGGCAAAGTTAAAATGTTGTTCTCCCGGAAGACTCCTCTGCATGAATGGAGTGGTGGTAAGCAATTGAGGATACGCACTGCCCTTTTTTGTACGGTAAAGACCTTATCACCATGGGAAGAACCACCCCAGACTTCAATACCATAAGTCATGACTGAGAAAAAACAACCATAGTAGACTGCAACTAACATTTCCCAGTCAAGAAGAGGTTGCAACGTCCTAAGTGCATGACAGATGCGGTTCAACTTGCAACAAAGCTGTGATACTTGATTGGACCATGACAACATTTTATCCACAGTTAGACCTAAAAATTTCACAACAGAGCACTCTTCTATCTCGAACTTATTCAACGAGACGGATTCAGGGATCTTATTGAGAGTTAGGAATTGCATGAAAACGGACTTATCGGAGTTTAGTCTAAGATTGTTCAGCGATAACCAACTTAAAAGTGAACTAACTGACTCTTCAACTCGAGATTGCAAATTGGAACATGGACCTCCAAACAGTAAGGTTGTGTCATCCGCATAGAAGATTGATTTAGCTGAATGAAGATGTGCTGATAGATCATTAATATACACGATAAAAAGCAATGGTCCGAGAATACTACCCTGAGGAACCCCGAACTTGCATTCAGCGAGATGCGACCGAAATCCTGAAATCTCAACAAATTGCATTCTATTTGAAAGATACGATCGGAACCAAGCTAGTGGAACTCCTCGAACACCATATTTTTCCAGTTTCTCACAAAGAATATTGTGATTAACTGTATCGAAAGCTTTCGAAAGATCACAGAATACACTCAGGGCCGGTTTGCGCTGTTCAAGGTTGGATAATACATCCTGAACAAACTCAACAATTGCTTGAGTGGTTGAGCGACCCGCTCTGAAGCCATATTGGTTTTGTATGAGAATGTTATTCATGTCTAGATGATTCATTAACCTGGAATACATAACCTTCTCCATTACCTTTGATAAAGTGCAAAGAAGAGCAACGGGCCTATAGTTGTTAACATCGCATTTGTCACCTTTCTTGAAGACCGGGACAATCTTTGCTGTTTTGTAAATATCGGGGAAAATACCTGATGACATGGAAGCATTAAACAGATAAACTAAAGGGTCTAAAATGGATGTGTACATTTGCTTTAAAAGAGAGCTGGATATTTCGTCAGAGCCTGTAGATGTTTTTGATTTAAGCGATTGAATTGCTTGCTCTATCTCTCTGGAAGAAACTGGAGACAAAAACAAAGAATGCATTGGAGGGGTCTGCTGGACAAGATTGACTGCAGTAGACGATTCACCGAATGTAGATCCAACAAAAGAACCTGAGAAATGTTTCGAAAAAAGATTTACTACTTCAGAAGGTGACTGAACCAATGAATCCTGGGATTTTAAGATGGGTAAAGAAGGAGGTTTCAACTCACAGGTCTCTCTACGAACAATATGCCAAAGGGCCTTTTGCATGCAGTCAGCTTTCTCTAATTCACATGAGATATCTGTACGTTTTTCCTGAATCAAAAGCCTCCTGAACAGTTTTTTTCTCTCTTTCAAAAGTGCTTTCAAGGCTGGATCCTTAGTATTTCGGACGAGAATACCCAAATCGACATTACTATTGGCAAAATCTTTCAACTCCTTACTCAATGGTTTTTTGTTTCTCCCCCTTTTTTTCTTAATTTTCTTCAAAGGAAATGATCTATTAAAACATGTTTTGACAATACCATGAAAAAATTCGAATTTACTGTTTACTTCATTGACCTGGTGCAATCTACTCCAATCTACCTGAGACAAAATTTCCTTAAAATTAGAAATATTACGTTTACAGAAGGATCGTTTCTTAACAAATAATTCTGTTGGTTTGCAATTGGTTCTTATAGATACTAGCTGAGAATCATGATCTGATAATGTGTTTATAAATGAACTACATGAAACTATTTCAGTGTTTAAATTGGTAACAACATTGTCAAGGAGGGTTTCACTGGTGTCAGTGATTCTAGTGGCATGATTAACTAATTCACGTAAATTGAAAGATAAAAAGATATTTCTTAGCTTCTCAATACTTGGATTAACAGAATTAAGAAAATCAATATTCCAATCTCCACACAGTACAATTAACATATTATTTTTCAATAGATGATGAATTAACTTTTCAAATGAGTTAATAAATTCTTGTTCATTATTGTGTGGAGGTCTGTACAAACAAACAATTAAAAAATTCAAGTCATCATTAAAAACAATACTATTTACAATTTTAATATTTACAACGCAAAACTCGAAGGAATTGGCTTTACATAGCTTCTGAACCAAGTTATTTCTATAATTTGACACTTTAAGATTAAACATACTATGGTTTTTATAGTAGATACAAACACCCCCACCCAAACCTGAACCTCGACAAAACTTAGAGACACAAGTAAAATTAGGAACAATAAGAGGCTCGTCCTCATGCAGCCCGCTTAACTATAACTTATACATTTATCAATTATTATTGTTTACTTTTAAGAATAGCTTTAAATACAAAATGAGAAATGAAGTGCACAGTATTAGTACCAGAAACTGCAAAAAGATTGATCTGCCTCAGGTACGGTTGGAAAAAACAAGATCTGGACATGTTGTGATGGGTATTAGGCTATTAAATAAATTACCCCTGGCTGTGACAGATTTAGACTTTAAGAATTTTAAGAAAAGGCTGTTTTTATTTTTAGTAAACAACCCGCTCTACCGTATCGAAGATTTTTTTAGCATGTCTGATAAGTTAATAAAAAATATTTGAAATAGGATGTAACTGTGATTTAGATATAAGTTGCACGATTTTTTAATTTATTACTGTCAAATTTTTAATCTCTTGCCATGGTTTGTAACTTTTGTATTTATTTGCTCGTCGCTCAATTTCAATTTTAACTCTTGTATTATTTTGACTGTATTAACTGAATTCCTTGTTATTTATATATTTATACATTTATTTACTCAAGACTGAATACGAGATGTACTAACCAACATTTTGCCTTATCTATGCATTTCATATGTAAAAAATGATGAATAAATGTCTATGTCTTAATGTTATAAAAAACCTTCAGAAGTCTCATAGCCAGAACAATGAGCAAACTGTTGTTATATGGTGTCTAATATTGTTTGTTAGCTGGTATTTGCTGTGATATTATTTAATAATCAGTTTCCAGAAGTTACAGGTTGCAAGTATTTCAATCATTTGCCTCTTGAAGTGATAGGCAAATGCCTTAACCAAAATTCAAAGCCTTTCTAACTAATTGGCTCTAAGAAACGCCTTTCTATGACTCCTAGTGAATTTCTTGACGGAGGTCCACCTGTGATAAGGTAATGCATGTGCTTTTTTAACTGCATTTTGATTTTTCTCTCCAAATGTGCATGGTTTTAATCTGATTTATTGAACCTTTTATTTTTCCTACAGTTACCTAACAATGTACATGTTCTCTCACTGATTTGAGAAAGCAAAGTGGCCAATTCGCTCATCAGTGAGACAATGTTAACATTGTCTCACTCTAATTACTTTGTCTCACTCCAGATTTGCAACGTGAAGGCACGAAATAGTGAGCGCGTAACATGCAGGCAACGTCGTACGCGCGCGAAATACGTTGGCAGCACTGGCTGTAAATCAGCTGGTCAGCTGTTGTATTTGTCACTTCACATTAAATGTTATATTAAAAGTTCACTTCTGTGTAAAACTAGGTTATGTTTCTTCACCAATTTATTTGTTTTATGGTAACTGTAGGAAAAGTATAATGTGCAACTCGAGTGCAAAGTACAATTGCCTCACTCGAGAAACCATTCCTCACTCCTACGGCTTGTGAGTAAGGATTTCTCTCGAGTGAGTCAATTGCTCACTTTTCTCACTAGTTGCACAAATAACTATTTCCTGCTGTTTAACTAAATTAAGCATGGTTTGATTTTATTGTTAACCAATCTCTGATGATGGTTGTATTTTTATTTAGTCGAATTATGTATAGACATTGCATATTATGTAATGTTTAATGGCCAAATAAACAATTTGAATATGAATTGCTGGCATAGTACTTTCTATTAATTAACCCAGGTTCTTCTTGAATTAAAATATTTAACCATTTATGACATACATTTCTCACCAGCTACTTGAATTCCTGAGATTATTCAGTGATCCAATTGGGGTACAGTTTCTTAACTGAACTGGGCTATGCTATTATCGATTGAAACTATTGATTCGATTAGTAAACCTTGATACGATTTTTTCATTATCAGCAAGTTTGGTTAGTTAGGCTAGATTATGACAGTTTCAATTTATAATAGATATATTTAAAAATATTGATTATTACCTAATCAATATTTTCAATTTGATAGTTTCAATCGATATTAGCATAGCCCAGTTAAGAAACTGTACCCTTTCTTTTTTCCAACGAGATAGATTGTATTTGATTTTATTGTAAAAAAACTTAACAGTATCATTAACAACATTTAGCATTTTTCGGAGTTTGTAATGATGTTTTAAATGTTAGTTAATTGATTGTAAGGATACAAATGCAAAAAAAGATCATTTATTTCATATAAACTTGTAAATCAATCTGTACAGTAATAATTTCAAATGAAACATATACAAAAATATAAGTCTTTTACAATTTACATTTTTTTTTTATCAACGCCATGTCTCTCTCAGGGGTTCGCCTCCACCTCTTGCGTCTATTTGAACATCATAGTTCAGCTCTGGTTCTTCATCTTCGCTGTCAGTTACCGGTTCTTCACCTTCGCTGTCAGTCACCGAGATATTTGACCCTGAATCTTCACTCTCTTCTTCATCTTCATCAAAGTACAAGTTCATGATGTTCAATAACCAATTAGGAAATTCAGTATTCTGTAGCTCTCTAAGGTTGTTCAAGGATTCAGCGGATTGGTAAACTGACTGTGACTGTAAGCTACGAGTATCATCATCATGCACAATGGAAGCTGAGCTTGCAATTTCTTCTGCTTCATCCTGTTGATCTGGCACTCTAATTTCATTAGATACTGGTTTTGAAAACGTATTTGATCCATTTTCTGAGATGTGATAAACTTCCATTGGTCGAACTAAAGAGCTGTTTGAGAATTTGGAATGACCGTCCAAAACAGTGGTAAGAGAATTAAAGATTTTTAGCTTGTTACTTCTTGTATCGCTACAGCCGGTTCCTGATTCTGGAGTGTTTTTATCATACTCAGATACGTCTAAATTCAAGGAGTATTTTAGTGCAATACTAGAGTCAGATTTTGTGCTTCTCAAACTCAAAATATCTGATGAATCACTAACATCACCAATTGTATTTTTATCTTTAGGAACAACTATTTTTGACAATTCAATATCTGGAACCTGATACTCGTACTGATGATCTTTTGGAATGTCTGACATTGAAAGATCAGAAATACAAGGTACACAGTCACCACAATTTTCTTCAACTAGTTGCATGTCGTGATCTAAATATCTATCATCATTAGCAGCAGCCAGATTAAGTACATCATTGTTAATTTCATCGATTCTTGCTTCAAATTCAAGGGCTTCTTCATCCATGTCCGCAACTAAATTATTACCTTCTCCATCTCTATTGTTGTTTGCGACGTCACCATTTTGAACATCATCAACCAACCTAGGGACCTGTGGTGGAAGGGGTAGAGGAGACACTGACCGAGAGCTTGCGTCGTTTTCCTCACTCTCTGTCTCAATGTCATCAAACTGTTCAGGGGTTAGATCCATGTCCATGTTACACTCAGAGTAAGAGTCAGGATATCCACTGTCAACCACCCTGCTTGTGCTGCTACAAGTCAAGTCATTCTCAATGCTTCTAACACCTTCCACTGATCTACTCAGCTTTTCCTTCTGGTCCAAAACTAATTCACTTTCATTTAATGTTGTATCCAGTTCAATGCCAAAGGAAGGTGAACTACTAGTATTTATTTGCTGCAAGGAAAGGCACTTTGGAATATTATTCCTGTGGCGTTGGGAACAACACGGTGTGGCGTATATGGAAGTATCACAGGGAGAAGACAAAGTGCTTAAACAACCAGAAGGGCCCTCCTCCTGAAGATTCTTCCCAAACTGTACAAATTCTTTGGGAGAATCCATTATCAGAGCTCTTTTACAGTCTTTGGCAGTATGATTTGGTAAAGGAAGACAACAATCACAGTCAGATTTTGAACCATTATAAAAACCAATATTATATGGAGTGCCATAAACACTCTTTTCAAAGTTGAGGTTAGTGTCTTTTTCTGAAACAGTCTCAATAATACTACAACTAAATCTATCAGACATGTCAGTTTCAGGTACAGTTGTTTCTAAAGTAGGACTAAGATTTGATGCAACATCACTACAGATATTTGTGCTATAACCACATTCCCCACCAATATCTACTGTATCTAAACTATGGTAACCCTCTTCTGTTGTCCAATTTTGATCATTACTGCTCTCTCTAGAGTTTGATTGAACATTGCATGAATCAGTTAATGTCATATCCATACTAGACTCATTAAAATCCCAATTTTCTTCAGTTACAAGGGGGCTCCCTACACTATTTACATTAACATCACAATTGTCTGTTGTAATATAGTCATTTTCCTCTGGTTCCCAGTCTTCTTCACTATCACTAAACACAATTACCTCTTCACCACTTGAATTCTTTCTCACATCCCATTTCCTTGCGAGAAGTATTTCTCTGAAATCAAATGAGCCACTGTTACTTAAAAATCATTAATTGTTATGTAACATGGGAGACCTCAACATATTCACTTCACAATGCAATTTAATACTCAGTAATGTATATAAAAGGAAATTATGTCATGTATGTTTCAAATAATACTTATCTATTTTGAACTGTGGTTTTCACTAACAAACAGTTTCTAATAATTAGAACCTTTTTGTATTTTCACAATCATATATTTCAAAATAGGCCAGAATTGCAATAAAATGTGTAAAAATAGTCACTTTGTTAATTCGGAAAATGAATGATAGCCTATGTCTGTTTAACTGTGAATGTTTGCCAAGGCAAATAAAATATTTTATTCCATGATACTCATGGAATGCTGGCTATAAATCATGAACAAATAAAACTTCAAAATGTAAGTAGAAGTAACAGGAATCTTATATGGCTTATAGTGAAGGGAGTTCTCAATAACAGAGACAATTCCCTCAGCCAAGAGACCCATCAACTGATGTTTTAACTGAGTCCCAGTCAAGTTGGCCTGAAGATTGCACTCTACATTGAGGTTGAAACATCAGTGAATGTCAAGTATTGTCGGGTTTGACACATTTATCTCACAAAGACCACAAATCTATTGTAAACAAAATTAAATGAGAGACAAGAAGTCCTAGTTGTATGATATTAGTGCTTTTGAATCAACTAATTTGACCCATTCTACTTCAAAAGCTATTATAATTAAGTATTATATGTTTTAAGTCTAGTATAACTGACTTAAAATAAAAATTACTTGAGTTTTTCTTCATTGTGATATTCAATCCTTCCCATGACAGCCTTGAGAGGTATTTTGTGTTCCAATTCATCACACATCCGACTGCGCATCTTACAATGAGTCAGAAATTGCTCGGCTCCATCTCTGATCTTCTCTTCCTCCGATCGTTCATCTTTGTAAAACGGGAACACAGATTCTTGGATCAGAGTGTAATGCCCATCTTGCTCTTGGATATCCTTTGAAAATAAATAGGCACATCAAATTCGTACTATTTTGACATAATGTATAATTTTTTAGTACAGTATAGTAAATATGAAAGTTTTTCATATTTTATTAAGTGGGAAAATAAAAGTAATAGGATTGATATATTTAAGCAATAAACTTACTGGAAACAAAAGTAACTGACAATTCTTGTTTGGGAAATATTTGTATACGGTAGGCCTACAATGAAAAATTGTAAGTTAATGTTAATGTTTCAATTAATGGCTAGAATTAATCACCATACTTTTAAATTGGCTTATAATGTATAATTTTTTAGTACGGTCTAGTAAATATGAAAGTTTTCCATATTTTATTAAGTGGGAAAATAAAAGTAATAGGATTGATATATAAGCAATAAACTTACTGGAAACAAAAGTAACTGACAATTCTTGTTTGGGAAATATTTGTATACGGTACAATGAAAAATTGTAAGTTAATGTTAATGTTTCAATTAATGGCTAGAATTAATCACCATACTTTTAAATTGGCTCTACTCTGAACATGTGACACCAACAAAAACAGATTTGTGATCATGATCTCTTAGTTTTTGACATGTTAGGGCCCTTTCACACGAGGCCACTGGTGGCGGACACCGGTGACCGCCACCAGTTACCGGCCGGGAAACTGCAGTGGATGGTACAGGCAACTTACAAGCCACTCTACTACAGCCACTGTACTGGTAGTTGTGAAAATGCTGTCGAACAATGAACATCTCCTTCTTCTCGCGTTGATAATAAAGAAAATAAGGCAAAGACACAGGCGTACTATACCGAATAGCCGGTTACTTTTCAATTTCGCAAATTAGATCATCAGTATCCACTTTGTTTTCTATTTTTTTGTTTATTCTCTTCTTCTGTTGTCTTCCTTTGTCTTTTTCTTTTTCAGCAACGTCCTCTTTATTTTTCTTCTGATCACTCATTTTCACAAACAAACAATTCAACACGAAAACACTCAACAACTACAACCATAGTGCCTTTGTCTTTGCAGTCTGAACCATAGTGCCTTTGTCTTTGCAGTCTGCACGTGAACTGATTCAAAATAGTAGCTGCGCGCTCATCTACGGTGGCGGCCACTGGTTGCTACGTGTGAAAGCTCCCATATAATTCAAAGCCCCACGACGAGTTGCCGCCACTGCAGTTGCCGACTAGCAGTTGCGCGAGGAGACACTGCTCGGCCACTGTGTAGTGGCGGGCAACTACAGTGGCTGTGTGTGAAAGGTCCCATTTAAAATAATGTTAAAGCTGTGGCGGGCAACCAGTGGCGGCCACCGGTGGCGGCCACCAGTGGCCTCGTGTGAAAGGGCCCTTATAGCCCTGCTCTCCTATCTAGGACTTCAAATCAATCCTCATTAAATACCTACTCGTAGAAAATTTTTTTAGTTTAACAAAGATAAACTAAAAAAATTGCCATCATTTAAGGATTCTCCTTGTGTATTACAAACTCAACTGTCAATAATAATTAAAATATATTAAAATTCAGTAATAACACAGTCAAACGTATTTCTTCATTGACTTATCATTCTCTTGGATTGACTGAAGATAATTTTAAAGAATATACCTTTCATGTTTATCTACAGGCGGTTTTTTTTTTTACTATTTGTTTGTTGTCACATTGAACTATTTTAACTATGACAATCTATGTTAATTTCAAAACATCTATTTGTAAACTACGGCTTTTCCTTTGGTATCACGTTTGAAGAGTAGAGAACAAATCCACCCCAATATAATTTAGAAACAGTCACTCATCAGCATTTTCAACCTTAACAACATCAAAACAGGCTTCAAATCCTACAAGGGGGAGAAGGTTAAACATAACACTCACATCAGAGGAGTTGCTGCGATCTTTGACTTTGATGAACTTGGCCAATTGTGAACAACAGCCAAGTTTTTCTGAGCCCTTCGGCCCCGGCCCAATACCTTCAAATGTCACTTGGTAATCGGGATACCGCTCCACCAGGTTGTGAGCCCTGACAAACAGTGTATGCTAATAAGACAGTAAGTCCCGAAGGATGAAAAAGCGGAAATATATAAAATATATGGTTAGTAGTGGAAATTGTATTCAACCAATAATCATATTTCTTGTTCCTGAACTAATTCCTAAATAAAAATACAGGTTTTACTTTACCTCTGTAAAATAGTCCAATGATTATACAGTAGAATAAGCGTAAACATGTTTGACTGTGAAAAAAAACCGGGCTGGACTCAAGTTTGACGTGGTCGCAAGCTTTAAAAGCATGTAAATTATTCAACTGAATAATTGTTGGACTATATATGACCTGGAGGTCAAGTAAAAGCCTGTTTTTGACAAGATCCTATTGATGATTATTTAGTTGCAAATATGACACACCAAAATTTAAAATCTGATGCCATTATAATTCTAGCGTTTTCTGCCAATATAATCTAAGCGCTTTCAGGTAAGTAATGTTTTTTCCCCTAAATTTAGAAAATCATGCAGTGGGTTCACAGCAACTCCAACTACCGTAAAATGAGGTAAATCGGAACACCATAAAAAAATTATAATGTGTAAACCATCTTGTTATTTCACGTTTTAAGGGTTGATATTTAAAGAAGAAGGTAAGACCCAAATTTTAAAATTAAAACTATGTTTGTAAACCATCCTCTTACAATTAATTGATTTTTAACTTTGAATTTCAAAAGTGTTCCGATTCACCCCATTTTACGGTACCTAGTTTTGTTTTAACTGCTGTGCATACCAGAATCATCAATATTAAAGGAACATATTTTATGATATTAATTTTTTTTAAATTGTTTTTCTATTCTGAGTTTGTTTGGCTCTTCTACCCGTCCGATTTTCATTATTGAGGTCTCAAATTGAAGGTATACACACACAGATTTCACATCAAGCATCGGCATATATTTATCTACTGTATTACTCGACCAAAAAACACAAATATGATTTAATTTTGAGTTCTTACTTCAATTTGGAAGTATTTTAAGATATATGTTACCAGTTATAGTTATATAATCCTATATAGTTTAGTCTAAGAACTTTCAGTGAAATACCACCTTTTATTTAAGCTATTGGTTATTCAAATTGGACGAGTTTCAAGCAAATGCAAGGCGAACAGCCAAAATGAAAAAAATTTACAAGGTTATTTATTCTATGATTAAAAATCAATAGCTTCAGTATTATTTAAGTTTTTTTATATGTTTTAGACTCAGAATAATCAGTAAATTATATGCTTTAATTTGAGCTATTGATCGTTTGAAGTTAAGTTCAAGATATGTATGAACTTACTCAATCAAAAATCATAAATTTGATTATTTCTTGGACAGTATTTTATTTTATGATTATATTATGTATGAATACAAATTGATATAAAAACTAGCCTACTTATACAAAACCAAAATAAATAAAATCTACCATACTCACCAGTCTTCAAACTGTTGTCTAGTCCATTCAAATTTATGATCATAGTGCCTAAAACGAGTCGAACCCTTGAACAGTTTGTTGAACTCATAATTTGGTGTAGTAAATATCGCAATCTTTGGCTTTATAAATCCAAATACTGTAAATGGTAAGCAGTCTAACTCGGGAGGAAACAAATGCTCTATCCTGCAAAAAAATGTATAAAATGAGTAAAAACTTTTTATTATTTTTTAATACATTTTAAAACAAATCTGAACTTGTTAACACAACAGATTACTGAACTAAACATTAATATAATAAACTAAAAAAAAAAGTTTACTGCACTAGCCACATAGGAAGTTTGTGGCGACTGCAGAGTTAGAATAGTGCAGGAAGCTGGTATCAAACCAAGTAGGCCTACAGTAGATCCTCCCCACTAATAAACCTTGCCTAATTCGACTCCTTGCTTGATCCGACCGTATCATCGCCTATCGGTGACAATATTATCGAGGAAATATCGTGAATTTTTGTCACGGTCATGTGAAGATTATCACCGTCTCTCAAAATTATGATAGTTCCCAAAATGTCAGTTAATCAATTAATTTGATCATTTAGTATTGCTTCTCGGATAATTTTCCGACCTAATCACCGAGGCCACGGTCTCGTATCAGACAAGTAAGCAAAATTGTAGGCCTACTGTTGGCTAACTTATCTCATTTATCAGACCATGACAAAACCAATATAATTTGTTATTAGTATAATTGTTAAAAACAGTTTTAGCCTAGTTTTGGCTATACACAAGAATAAATCAACTAAATCAAAAGTTTTTAATATTTCCTAACCATTGTTTTTTGTTGTAAAATAATGCCTAAACTGAAAAAAATTAATAGTCAAGAAATGCTTAAAGAGGGGTTGTCAATTTAGTTCTCTTAGATTGTGAGTTAAGTATTTATTTTTGTAATCAGACATTCACAGTAATTTTCTGAAAGCCCTGTCACTCATTCTCAGTTGGGAGCCTTTTTGTCCCGCAAGTGTGGGATTATCAAGAATCATCTGTATATATTAGAAAATACTTACAATTCAATGGCGATTACAGCATCTGCACCAGCGAGGGAGTTGTGCGTGTGTGCAACACTTCCGCAAAACACTTTGACACACAGGGGAGTTGACCTTTTGTCTAAGAAGTCACAAGGAGAAGGATTAACTTTGCAACAATTATTATTCAATGTCTCCAAGTCAATGTCCACAGCAACAATTTCTTCAATTCCTGGAAGTTTCCTCAAATATCTCGATTCAAAACTCAGCTCTGAACATCCAAAGTCAACTACCTAGAGTGAAAGAATATCTCTTAAAGTTTACATAAAGTAGCCCAGTTCTATAATTAAAACCTACTGTATTAGGAAAACACGTGCATAGGCAATATAGGCTATTCATTCCGTCTATTAACTTACAGTACGCTACTAAACTAATAACGTAGGCCTACCATATATAAATAATGTACCTATATAAAGTTTCATCTAAATAGCCTACTCGGCCTGCTGTTTAATTGATAATTATTGTTAAAAAATGCAGTATGATTAGAAAATATTTATATCCAAACAATTGGTCAGTATTAATTTTCAAATACCATCAATCCCTATACCTACCACTCAAGTTTTTTCAGAAAGCATTACAGTAGGCCTACAGCAAAAAGTATTCCTCTTAAAAAAAGTACAACCCTTCATATTTACCATACCAGGCTGTAGCAAAAAATGGCCATGTCATGTGTAGAGGAATATCTTACTATGAAAAATTTTTTTAAAATAAGAACCCATGTGTTATGAACAAAATTGGGTACAGTTTCTTAACTGGGCTACGCTAATATCGATTGAAACTATCGCATTGAAAATATTGATTAATAATCGATATTTTAAAATACATCTTCTATTATAAAATTAACTCGTTCGCTACTGCAATAGTACGAAATTTTCCATTCACATGGACCAGCGACGCACATATGCGACGGCCGGTTTCCACCCACAGACTGGCGACGGCTAGAATAGACGCATATTTGCGTCGGGGTTCTAATGTTATTAAAATGCTTATATCTTTGTAGTGGTCTATTTGAAGGCACTGAATTCCCTGCAGTGGTCTACAGAGATGTCTGACGCACAACTGCGTCGCTTGGTCTGTGGATATGATGATTGGTGACGTCATATAATAGTTGGAAAAACTGGTCTTTACTTTTCTGCATCACTGTATGTATGTATGCAGTATGTATGCTGCATTATCCTATGTAGCTTTTATATTTGTTCAGTTATAAGTTAAGCTGTTCTTGAATAATCTGTTTATTTTTTTACTTACTTTCACCTTAAAACACAAAAAAATGAACTGTCGCATATATGCGACGTTTAGTCTATTTCAAGAAAACTATGATAAGTTAATTTTCACTATTGTCTTCGCTGTAGACCGGGCGTCGCAAATATGCGACATTACAAAAGGTTATAAAAAATACAAAAAAACAAGAATAATTTATTTACAAACACGATTGTAGCGTATTACAGTACAATGTAAATGATCACTGTTTTACAGGTTTTTGCCCGTGGTCTAGGTGTGTATTGTTATCCAAGTGACAGCCGGTCTATGTGTAAGATTCAAATGTATACCTCGGTCTGTGGCAATGACCGCGGCGTCGCATATATGCGACGCTCAGTAGCGAACGTGTTAAACTATCATAACCTAACCTAACCAACCAAACTTGCTGATGATGAAAAAATCGCATTAAGGTTTACTAATCGAATCGATAGTTTCAATCGATATTAGCGTAGCCCAGTTAAGCAAATGTACCCAAAAATTCAAAGCAACGTATTTTAGAAATTTCCAAAAAACGTTTTTTTGTTTTTGTAATTTGTTAAGTTAAACATAAGTTAGGCCTATGCAAAGGGAATTTCAAATGAAAAAGAACGCCACAAATTTAAACTCTCTATTGTTTTCGAGTTATATAATTTTAACGATTTCAAATCGAGGCTCAAAAACGTTGATTAAGTTATGGAATTTTAATGCTTTGTAACTCAAAAACAAAAAGTCAGAAAAATTTATATTTTTACTAGTCTTGGTTAGTAGAACCTGCATACAAAACATCAAGTAAATGTAAGAAGTCAAGGTGGTTGAATTGACTTGGAATGACCCACCAATAAGTTCAGATCGAACCCATAGAAGGGGTCGTGTAGGCCTAAGTAATCACCCACTACAATGGACGTGGTAGCAAAATTGTATAAGTTACCTACATAGAACAATATAACAGAAACGGTATGGGTCATACACATATGAAAAATAATTCACTTGTCCGAAAGTAAATACGTTTTTATTTTATTTTTTAAATGGAACTGCCAAATGTCTACTATACTTGTAGGATGACTGCATTAGGATGACTGTACGCCGATTGCAGCCGGCAAGTTATACGTACTAAGTTAATATTTTATGGTGGGCATACAGTACTAACTTAGACCTACTAGGCCTACCATACTAGAAAACAAATAGCCTATTAGAGGACAAGATAAAAACTAACCTTTTTGACACTAGATTCCCATTTAGGTTCCTTTAAAATTCTCTCTATAACCATATAGCGTTGAAGGTATGCGGGTGGAAAAAACTGAACTTTCTTCTTTATAATTACACAGCGAAACTCTGGTTTTACATTAATTATTAAATCTGATGCATTCTTATCGTCATCAGAAAATATGCTTACTGTTTTTGACTGAACAGGATTTAAATTCTCCTTACTCTCGTCCCCTTTATTATTCTTATAAGGCTGAACATTTTGATCCGCAGGTCTCAGTGTAGTGTTTAAATCTGAACTTGATTCATTAGGGCTGGGAGAAATGTTCGGTTCTTCATTTTGGTGAACATTTGTAGGCCTTGCTTCTGTATTGTTAGTTCCATTGCCTCTGGGCATACTAGGCCTATGTTGAGATGGATCATTACCATTTTGGCTAGGCCCATTTTGATCATCAACGATTTGACGAGAAATATAAGTATTCCAAACATAATAAACAAAATATACTGCTAGATGAAAAGTGGTAATCATGGTCATAGCCTATAAACACTTAACGTATTTAACTTAGCCTACTATAGCCGATTTTAATAAACAGGTCAAACGCAAATTTTAGCCAGACGATGAATAAGTAGTGCTAAGCAAAGAGAGAGGCCTACGATATTTCACATTTTTTTAAATCTTTTAATTTCGGAGAAAAGGGCCTTTTGAATTCTATCTAAATAAATACACTGATTGATTGTAAACGTAAACACCAAACATTTTTCAAACAAGACTTTTTCTTCATTGTTTTTTTCTCTATGAAGCTTATTGCTTAGTAAAGATTTTCTTCATGGAGTAGCTTTCATTCATTTCAATTCAGTACCTCCTCAATGCTTTGATTATAGGATGCTGCAATCGAAAACTTAATAATGCTAAATAGTGAATACTTTCGGTTTAATTAATTATAATAAAATTAATTTCTACCAAAGAGATTAGACATCAAACATTTATTCATTTTCTGTGACAACCATTGTACAATTTATGTGTATAGATACAAGTTTGTAATTCTACAAGTGAAAGACGTGGGGTGTCATAGCTTATAATGTCATAGCTTATAATCGTGAATTTGTTCCATAGCTTATAATGTTGAAAATGTGGCATAGCTTATAATCAGTTATAAGCTATGCCACACTTTCACGAAAAATTATAAGCTATGCCACAATTTCTCTAAAACGTTATAAGGTATGACACATTTTCAGTTTCACATCTTATAATGGTCAAATAGTGGCGCAGCTTATAATTCCGATTCTGTTCTATAGCTTATAATCCTGATTTTGAGTCATACCTTATAATCCTGATTTTGGGGCATAGCTTATAATTGAAGAGAATGTTGCATTGTGGGAATGGCATCAGCTGCTCGCTTCAGTCAGGTCTACCATATATACGATATTTTATGGTAGGATACGATAATTATTATTATTGTAATTGACCGTACTGACAACTGCGATATCGTAATTTATAATCTAAACATTTATTTATTTAAATCTTTTAAACGATTTTTATACGAGAAATGGCAACAATTACATGCTATATGACAATGAAAATGCAAGAAATATTTATAGTGAGAAGTTAAAAGATATGAAAATGAAGTGAAGGATAACGGCATTGAAAATTAATGAATCTTGTCAATAGTCCGGCTGGTGTTGACAGAAGATCAAGAAGAGGAACAATAATTATTAATAAATTGTAAACATCAAAAAATTCCAAAACTATTGAGGTGTTGAAATCCAGTAAGTTGTGTTTTAATCCAATCCTGTTCCTAGGCCTTGTTATTCAAAGTAACAAAATGCAGTAGGCTATTATTTGCTTGAGCGTTATTAGGTTAAGTTAGTAGGTACAGTTGCCTAGCCTACTTAAGCTTAAGGTAGCTGTGACTCAAGTTACAGATTTCCTGTGACAGGCCTAAACAATTAACTTAATAAAAATATCAGTGAATGTATTCAACGGCTGCACTTTATTTTACGTCCTACACTCATTCGAATGAAAATATCGATTATTAGATTGTTTCATCCGATATATCGTTTGGTTAGGTAGGTTAAGGTTAGGTTAGGTTAACCTTACCTAACTAACCAAAGTCGGCTCTATGACGAATCCTACTGTGACGCCATCATTGTTATGACGTTTTACTGTGACGTATATTCGTCGGAGGGGAAGTAGGAGAAGTGGAATGGGTTATTGCTCATCTATTGCCAGTTTCACGCCGATGGACGTAAAGTAAAGTGCAGCCCTTAAGTTTACGTCCTACACTCATTTGAATGGGTATTTAGTATTCGAGTAGGCCTAGGCCTATATTCGATATAAGTAGGCTATCAAGTTTGTATCATTTGTGTAACCTTTTTTTTTTTTTTTGTCCTAGGACGCTAGGCACGAGCCTGGGATTGTTTTTCACATTACTTCAGGCTAGACCTAGGGGTTGCGGCATTATCACTTAGATAAAATCCATTGGTGACTTGGCGGGGATCGAACCCGGGACCTCACGGACCGAAGTCCCGCGCTCTAGCCACTACGCCAGCTCGCTCCCCCATTTGTGTAACCTTAGAAATGGTAAGCGTGATAATACTGAGCCAAGAGATTTAACTTACAGTTAAAACACAGGTAGGCCTACAGTTTCTTAACTGGGCTACGCTAACTTAAGTTAATATATTTTATTGAACTACAGTATTGAATTAAAAATATTGATTAATAATAGATATTTTAAATATACCTATCTAAGTTTATTATAAAATTAAATTATCATAACCTAACTTAACCAACCAAACTTGCTGATGGTGAAAAAATCGCATGTAGGTTTACTAATCGAATCGATAGTTTCAATAAAATTAGCGTAGCCCAGTTAAGAAACTGTACCCTTTAACTTATTCTACCATCAATACTGTTAATACTATTCAATGAAATGGCGACGATACATATTAGGTATTTTAAGCCAAGTATGAATGGAAATTTAGTAGTCTATAAAATAACTTACAATAGGCAACGTCACAAAACTTAAGTTAGGTTAATTTCACACAGTAAACAAGGCAGCAAACCATGCAGTTAACTTATGGCAAAAAAACATGTAGGCTACCTAAGAAAATGAAATTGTGACACATACCTGAGTACATGAATAAAATTACAAATTAGGCAAGTAGGCCTATGGGTAAACTTTTTTCATATTAGCCCACCATACTTACAATTGATTGTAATTGGCAAAGGCAAATATCCTTGTATTATGTTTCTTTCATAACCTAAAATCAAATGAAAATTCGGTTTGAAGGTGTAAGGCAGGATAAATCTGAATAAGTTCGCGAACTAGCATGATCGGGCCATGGGACCGGGTTTTAATGAGTTCTATGCAGAGAAGGGGCAGAGGCCAAAAAATGGGGTTTTCTCATTTTTTACCCTTAAAACACAAAATTTATCAATTATTCTCTAGACCTTTCTAAAGAAATTTAAAAAAAATAATATGTCATCTATGTATCGTGTTGTGTATAGTGGAGTCTTGGATTAGTTGTCCGCTTAACTGTGTGTGTGTGTAAGTGTTCGCATAAAAAACTCAAGCTAACCGTTGCACCTATAGTGTTAAAAAATTGCACGAATCTTAATTATGACACCAATGGAAAGACACTATAAAATTTAGACGATTCCGTTCAGTAGTAATTATAAAACCCTCAAAATACATTTTTAAATTTGTCCCATAAGAATAACATTAGAAGCTACCTTCTTCTACTTTTTATTTGTTTATGTTTTGCGACCAACAAAAAGCTTAAAAATATTAAAATATATATATATATATATAGGCTATATTTATTTTTATAAATCAAACTTGAAAGCTTTATTTTATACTAAGCTATTAATGTTTTAATAAAAAACACACTTTATTAGTTATTAGTTTAGAGAACCAGTGGCCTTCGAGTTTTTAAGTTTTTATCTACCAATCCAAATATTTGTACAAAGAAAATATGCCCTACCTTGAGCTATAGTTCTATATTCTGTTTTTACTTTTAACAAGAAGTAGGCCTGAATGATGTACACTGCCTATTTTTGTTCCAGGTAAATTTTCTTGTAAAGCTTGGAGCATTGCAAATGTTTGGTGTTAATGTATGAGAGTACTTCACATGTAAACAATATTGATGAAGTTGTCTGCTTATTTGGGGCCAAACAAGAAGGAGAGAAATTTTCTTGGAAAAGAATCGAAAGCAATAAAGATAAGTAAGTTTGGCTAAGTTATCAATATGATTAAAAAGCATTTTCAGTCCTTGTTTAACATTAACACGTTGACTGCTAACACCGACTCTAGTCGGCGTCGCTAGCACTTCAATGTGGCGCGCGCCGACAAAAGTCGGCACCAGACCAACAGAGATATATTGAGTCAGTGTGAGCTTAGCCTCAGACGGAGACGTTATAATCGTTGCCAGCCTGCCAGCTTAGAATGCGAGCTTTACTTTGGTGTAGGTTGGTACTAAAATTTCCCGTAAAATCCTGTCTGGCAATGCTTTTGTCCCGGTTTCGGGGATTTTTTCTCTTCAACCCACATTACAAAGACACTGGATACGGATCCGTGCAGTACTGCTACCTTTGGGTGTTTCAGTGAACTACATCCACTCTCGGGGTAACGCAGCACAGTCACCACTGCTCTTTTGTGATTCGTCAGACTGAAATATTTGAATGCCAATTGCGTTCGCTGATTCGGTTGCGTGCCGGGGCTTCGCCCGCCACTGGGGAGCGCCTGTACGTTGTTTTCAGCAGTCATCATGTTAACTTATGATGTGCTGTGGCGGTTAAGTTTTTATATTTGGAAAAAATACACTTTAATCAACTTACAGCACTGTTCAAGTTTCAGAGTTACCTATGGTGACAGAATAATACAAGGCATATTATTTAAGTAAGTACTGTTTTTAAATTTCTCCGTTTCAGTGCTGCGATTGGCATTTTGGACATTTGTGCTGTGTATGTGGATGTATTGGCAAGCCTGCGCTGGAAATTCGGCACAAATCGGCTGTGTTTACATCCGGTTTAGAGCATTCAAAACGGTGCCGCCAATTGAGACTGCCGTCGCCTGTGAAGTTTGCGCTGTACCGGTAATTAGATTTTTAAGTGCTAAAGGTGTGAAAGCCATTTAAATTCATTGACAGATTAGTGAAGTGTATGGGGAGAAAATTATGAGTGGCGGAATGGTACCTATGCAGGTGGGTAAGGGCATTTAAAGATGGCCGCACCAACGTTCATGAGGAGCAACGCACAGGGTGGCCATACTGACCATCTATCAAATTGTCATGGTGATTTCCAGGATGTGAATCCGTTATCTTCGGAACCGGAGACTTACGCTGTACAACTACACCAGTCTAAATATGTGGAAAGATCAAGTTATTTGTTTATAGTTTATTGCCCCCACACAACTGGTAACAATAAAGTAGTTTCACATCTTTTTGTGGTAAAAAAATGTTAATACCAGTTAGTTATTTTTCCCCAACACCCATTAAACCTTAGATACATCGATTGCTCATACATAGGAGCTTGAACAAAAACAATTATACTAGTTTGATGAGACACCGTGCTTGTCAGATCATGTGAAATGAGAAAGGCTACTATCTTATTAGTATTATAAATGTGAAAGTTTGTGCGTTTGTTTGTGTGTTTGAAGTTCAATCACGTGTTGATTACTGGATGGATTGGGCTCAAATTTGGTATGATGATAGCTCAC